TTCGCATGCATAATGACGACACGTCAACACTCGGAAGACTGAACCGGACACAAGTATTCAAGGGTTAATTGATTTATGCCAATTTAACACAGACCAGAGACCACGAGCATCTATTTTCGGAGCCGTCTCGACAGCTTAATGTGTGCATGGGTATTATATTATAAATAATTCGCGCGTTACCACAGCGAACACATTAAAAAACACTGAGGCAGGTTTTGTGTGGCCGCGGCCCATGAAATGACCTCTTCCTCAGCACCAACAATGTGTACCACGAGTACACATCAGTTGAGTTTCATTGCCGTTTTTCATTCAAGTACCGCTTGACCTCTTATTACATCACTGTTTCGCGTACTCCATACCTGGGGTACGTACCCCCTATCTACTGAGAGCAAGAGACAAACTGATTAGATTCCAATATGAAATGGACCGTTCACAGATGCCGTGGTGATTTTTTACTCGGATGTGCGATAACAATAATTGTTATTTGTTTATTAATAGGCTCACGATTGCAATTTGCACCTGTTACGAGTGACGTCACGCCGACCGATCGGACTAAGTCCATTGCATGCCATCGCCGCTGTCTACCGTGTAATAATTATAAATTTATATTTTATTTATAAAAGAATAAATTACAATCTAGGTACAAAAATAGTATTACAATGAGTAAATCAACTATTCCTAACACTACACGATATGACGACTTGTAAGAAGACCCCGTTCGTTGACACTACTTCTCAATATGAATATGAAAGATTTGATAGATAAAAAGTAATAAACTTTACTATGTAATTAACTAATCGTATTATACTGTATTTGTATAAAGAATATATTGTATAATATCAAAAGCCTGTTTTTATTTCTATGGCAAAAAAATATTTTTTTTTTAATAACATATATATACTTCCCCAACCGTTTAATATAAATCAAATTCTATTATTTTTCGCGTACCCCCAGGGGTTGAGAAACACCGTACTATACATACAATAATAATATTATAGTGATGATGTAGTGCGTATATTATGTTAGATAAATTACAAAGTCTATTCCGGCGTCGAGACGACTACAGGCGTTTATATATTAGTATTATTATTATTATTAAATAGTAATTATTATCATAGCGTACAAATCTAATGGACACGAACGTCGGCCGGCGATCTTGGGATGTGTGTACACAGTGCAATATAATAAATCATAATATACCTACCAATGTCTTCGTCGAAACGTGCGCGCAAATCGATGCGGCGGCCGGGTGCAGCTTCGGTTTTGCTTTTTTAATTTTTTTTTTTTCTTCATACTTACTCTTTAAACCCATTGACCCAGGATTTTTTAACCGACTTAAAGCGGACAGTGTAATTTGTATGCGTCCCGGCGTTCACAAAAGGAGTGCGTGCAGTAGGACTCGTGGGAATGCGCGCGACAGACACACGGGAAGAATTAAGAAAGGAACGACGTCCGAGACCCGGCCAAACATTAATTATCTAAGCTCGCCAGCCGTAAAAAAGCGAATTTTCAATAGGTCTCCCAGGGTCGCCGGTGTCAACGCGATAGGTCAGCAGAAAAAACAACATTTTTTTTTACAGTGGAATGAGGCATCAGTGCATCTACGACCGTTTGATTGGTTTCCGGCCATCCAACACACGAGAAAACGAATTAACTTCTAGCATATAAAACCATCCGGAGAGCTTTAAAATTGTAATAAAATATAATATTAACAATAGCTGTTTATGCGGAGTGTTAAAAATTACCAAGCCAAGTTCAGATAGCTACAGGTTACGCGACATGAACGTCAAGGCTTCGTTTCTCCTTTGTCGAGAAGGAGAAGGTCTAATGCCGTGTTCCAGTTTAACACTGTAGCTAACATGAAGATCGCGGGTATCTCTCACACCGGCTATACTATAGGTAACTGATGTTTTAAGAAAAAACTCCTCTTACGTACCATGGGTGTCTCGCATTGCGTGATTCTCAAGGAACCGCGTGTGTCACTGGTACCTCAAAGTTATTTAAAGTTGCTCTTGGTACACCCGTGTCTCTCATGGCAAATACAATGAGTTTTTAGAAAATAGGTCTGGTAGCCAGCGTGTTAAAACACATAACAGTCAGAAACATCATAACATAAACACAACGATGTAGCTTAATACTTATTAAATTAATTTTTACACGCTATTTAAATACAACCTTTATAAGTTAAATTTAAATATAATATTTGAATTCAAACATGGGTAACTTTTTTAGTACATAGAAAACTTATAATTTCGTATATTTTATAATCTAATTTTTTTTTTCATTTATATGTTTCCTGCCAACAGCGAAAATAAATTATTTTTAAACTATTTTCGCTGCATATTATTCAAGTCGATGTATTATCCAGATTTTATTGAACTAGTGTATCTAGCCTCTAACGCATGTGTAAGACATGTTTAATCAGTCTTGAAAAAAACTTCAAATATTTATAGTCATGCCCATAATTTAAATATACTAGGTTATTGCATTTCTACCCCTTCTTCATCGATATTTTTATAAGGGTTAGCCAATTAAATTCATTTATTTTACAAAGGTATTATTTGTATATTTATCAAAAAAACAATGATGTACCCTTACGCTGCCATTTTATGAATTGATAATATAATAAAGTAGGGATATGCAATAACCTTGTATATTTAAGCCATGGCCATGCCGATTGCCAGTTAATTGAAATTTTGAAAACTTTGGATATTTTCCAGCCATTTCCATAGGAAACCCATAATTTTTTGGGACCATTTGCTGCCAAGTTAACATTATATGAAGCATACAAAATAGTTTTATTAATGTTAGTTTTAATCGAAACGTGGGTGTGTTTAACATACTATATTTTAATGATCGATCGTAGTAGTTTCCAAACAATATAGTCTTTATTAGACACTTATGGTCTTATGTTCGCAAGTTACTCAAGGTCGTCGGCTATTTAAAACTAAAATTGCACCTCTTAGATAATAATACAGTTGTTATAATCTTAATTAGCCCAAAGGAATCTTCCGCGTGGTCGACCCCAAACGAATTAATCATGGAAATCTTCAAGCATAGAATTAAGAAGCCCGTCTGTAACTAACTGCCTTAAGTATGTACGTGTCTATAATTATTACAATGTTGCCCAGACAGTCCTCAACCAATCATTAACGTCCCAGTGCCGAATGTTTTAAAAACCATAAATATATTATTATTCATTTATAATACTATTATTCCAAATGATATCACGGTTTTTTGGCGTTTTGATTGATACTTTAACAAGAACTGCTCGAAATTGCCCAACTACATGAAAAAACAATAGTTAGACGGTGGACCAATTTAAATTATGGTTAGTATAGAATCACAATAAATTAATAGTTGGAATAACTAAATAAATAGTCGGTGAAATAAATGTTTAAGTTAATTCCAACTATAAATTGATTATGTCTCTATATTAACCATAATTTTAGATGGTCCAACTAAGTATTTTTTTTCGTAATGAAATATAGTTGACGCCAAAGTTATTAATTATCGTATACATTTTATTTTTTTTTTTTGTATTGTTTGCCTACAGTGACTCATTCGCCGGTGGAAAAATAAAACCTATCATAACGTAACGTCTATATTGTTGTAAAGGTGATGTATGTATTAATCTTTCAAATTTTAAATGCTAGAAACGACCTCGGAAAAATTTATCTCATTGCTAATAATCTACGGGAGATCTTTGTGAGTTGTTGATTTTTGATATCTAAATAAGGTCGGAGAGTAACGTGTAAATATTAATATACAGATACTAGTTAATGTAAATACACGAGCATAATAATTCAATTGAAACACAATAAGTATGAGGCCCAAATGTCTTAATTAAGACATCACTACACGCCATATACTATAATAATCGTGTGATAGACAAAAAAAGTTACCGGCGGCACATTGATTGTAATATCAATTTATTGTTCTTGCACCGAAACATACCCTCGGGCATAGCTTATAATGAAATTTCAATTGAGAAACACCATAATTAAAAATTATTCAACAGCTATAACCTTTCGGATAGATTTGATATATTTTTTTAAATATATTTTTATAATTATAAATCATGGATGGTGCCGGGACGCCCATGACATTATGTAATCGTTTAAAATAAATATACTCGTATACCTAATAAATAATATTTTCATGTTTCAGCGCGATATCGAAAATATTAAGTAACAATTTTATAATAAAAAAAATTACAACTTAGTTACGCGATGTAATAAAAGTTTTTTCTTTCATTCAAAACCAGAGGATGTGCACTAATCATATAACAGAACTCGGTACTCATGTAAACAAACGCTTGCATAACTGTATTTTTATGTATTCAATATGTATTTTATCTTTGTTAAATTTACAAAAAAAAAACTATATTTTTACACGATTAGGAATAATTAAATCTTATAAATATAATTTATAAGTATTTTGAATTTCCTTATTTTCCAAATAAATCATCCAGCTTAATCGTACAGGGAAACAAAATTATTGTAAGCCCAAAGAGATCAGTGTTTAAAAAAAACGATTATTTTTATGACTATCCTAAATTATAAGTGAACGTGGATTTGGTAATATGATAATTAAATTTGAAATAAACTTATAAACGTACTAGCGGATACTCCCATAAAAAAAAAATCGTATACTAGAGGATCGTCAAAGAAATAACTTTGAAAATCACGTTTACTTTATAGGTATACAGTGTATTTAAGAAAAAGGGCTAGTTTTATGTTATACTGCCAATATTGAACTACCTCGATATTATATCCACTATACTTTTAGGTGCTTTTCATAGCTAATTTATAGATTTTTAATAGCCTATTTTATTGATTTTGAATAGGGCATTAGTTTATTTATTTTGATGTTGATAACTGACGAATGACAACGATGGTAGACTTATAGATTGGCACTTTAATAGTTTTTCTCTGCAGTCGACATTCGACTGATCGAAAATTAAAGTGTGTCTATTAAAGTAAAGTAGCCGTTATTACCTTATCGAAGAGGGTGTTGTCTCCGTCCGACCGATTCCAGTGTCTAAATCGGACCACCTTGTGCTTGAGCTCGTCGTCTTCTTCGTCGTCGTCATCGTCGTCGTTGTCTTCGCCACCCTCGTCGTCATCCTCGGGCAACGCGGTGGACGCCGTTGTGGACCGCATCAGCAGGCCCCTGTCCGTGGTCAGCACCGGTGACTGCGACCTGTTGCCACCCAGGCCCATCCTGTCCTGCAGGAATTTGTCGAGTTTCGAGAACCGATTGTTGGTGGCGTAGTAGCCGTCCACCCCGTTGGACAACGTTTGCGCTCGGACCAAAAGCGCGGCCAACGTCAACACACCCAACGCGGCCGTGGCCGTCATAACGTTAATATGCGAGCTCGGGCTAAACTCAGTCCAGTCAGATATGTAAACCCCGCCGCGGTAGGAAAGGAGTAAAAAATGCAAATTGAGGGATAACGAGTATTCAGTAATGGGACTTGAACGCGATCGGCGAGGACGGGTACGCGGTCGGCGAGCACGTGGATGCGCGTGTTCGGGGCTCTCGATGGCACATGATCGGACACCGGTCGTGCGGGTACGCGGACGAAACAGAACTGTTGTAGCGCGCGACGCTGCGGTTTTATTTCCCAAGTTGCAGTGGCCGCCGCCGCCGTCGCCCCGTTGTGGATTACACGCACGCAGCTGCTCGGTCGGCCCCACCGCGTTCAAAACAGCAGTTTCACGCGCTCGCGTCAGAAGGGCCCCCTTTGATAGACGTGGCTGCCGAGGGGCGTGGGGGCACCTTACGGCCATCCGCAAATTTCTGGCGTCGAATCTTCAGCGCAAACACAACCGGACCTAGAACAATACGTTTTTGTTTCCACTTGTATTTGACCATTTAGCTTATCAATCGCTGTAGTTTACCTATCAGATAAGACCGGTCTCGGGAGAATTTTCAGCTCACGACTATTACCACAATACAATGCATAATATGATTTTAAAAATCGATAAAAATAAATAGTGTTGCGCATGTTTCATATTGTGCATTATAAGCCGAGAGACGTTTAGCGGCGGCTAAGTACATTTGAACGCAGTCCTAAGCGTGTATTCGTGAGAAAATTTTAGGTATTTTTCTATTTATTTTTTGACATTTATCGATCATCAAACATATGGTATTATGCATTTAAATGTTGACTATGTATGGTATACAACATAAAGTCGAAAACAAACAGGTGATGTGTTGAGAAGAAACTGAGTTCCTTCGAGGAGGAACTGATAGGACACACCTCCGCATTGGCAGAGATCCGAGGGACTTAGCTCCCCCAAAAATTATTGCAAAATATAAACATTTTGAACAGTTTTATGCTTATGTTTGTAAAAAAAAAAAAAATTTAGGAAACATTGAAAAAATATAATTTAGAACAGATAGCTGATGATTTGATTTCCGTAGAAACGTCTCAAACCAAAATAAATCTAATGTCTGTGTTCTGTCTGTAATTCATAATTCTCCATTATTCCTCATAATTAGTCAATAATTCAAGACACCATTAGCATCGATGATTTAGGACTTAAGAGACCTTTATTCGGGACCAATTTAGCCTAGAACTAAGGTAACCAAAATTTAAAAAGAATATTTATTTATTTTCAACCTATTGGTATGGCCTATTTACATTTTGTCACTTGCTATCAGAATTGTGAAATCCATTCAAATATTTATTGTACAATTCATTTAAAAAGAATTAATCATAACATTTTAAAATTTAATGATTATTCTAATAAAAGAAAAATACAAATAAAATGTCTACAATTTATTCACATAAAAAAAAAATACGTAGTCATACTATTCCTAATAGGTATAATTTTTATTGTAAAGGTAGTAGGTAGGGTTTTACCTACTGCGTAAAAATTTATAATACCATTTTTTAAGTTTATTTTAGTGTGCTAGTTTATAGTAAGCAGACTTTACGATTAGCATGGCCTACCTATAAGTCATGTAAAAACCAAAAGGTTTATTTATTTCTCATTTTTTTTTTTTTTGCGATTAAAGATTATTGCTTTTTTAAGTGTAAACTAAGCAATATAATGTTATTGTGAAATTAATAATTCCTCATGGTGTTTATTTCATTTGCATTCATGAATTATTACAATGCAGCGATGGCCGTATGATTGTTAATAACTTAAAACGATGATGACTAATTTAATAGAAACATTCTCGAAAGCGCTGTGACAAACGACGAGTATAATAGCTTAATATTTCATAATTGTTTTTTTACAATTAATTTCTTTTATACTGCTACCGGGCGTGATCATTTAATTTAAATATATGTTCATCCGGTACCGTTGATTATTGATATTGAGTTCAATGTCAAAGAAATTCTATTTGTTAGGGAAATTTGTTTCTTATGAAATTGTGTTTATAATCGTCATATGAAAGCAGGTTGATTGGTAATATTAAAATAATCATTTTTTATCATTTATTTGCAGCAATTAACTTTTGTTCGCCAAAAAATATAAATGTTTGTATAATTAATAAATTCTTTGAAGTAACTGTTATACAATGTATAGTTTTATTAGTCACGGGAAACCCGTGTAGATAATAAATAATACCTGATGATAAACTTAATCTTATTTCAAAGTCAAAAAACCACATTTCTTTTATTGATCGTTCTAATTTTCAGAAATCGACGGAAGACCTTCAGTTTGTGAAATTTCCAAATAACTAGGTAACCTTGATAGAATGTTTTAAACTAAATTTACCTTGTAATTACTAATTTCTGGGAACAATTTGAATATAAATGTATGTATTATCTCAGTTGTTATCCATCGACTAAATCGCGATGAGTGCATATCATTATAATGTACCTGCTTTTGAGTTTCTTTATGGCCTCCTCCCGGCTCATTCGTGAAGTTTATAATAGTTATTACTCATTAAATTATTACCTTTAACCTTAAAAAATGTCAGTGAAAAGGATTAGATAGTTTTTATAGAAAGTAAAATACACCATTCAATTAAAAAATGTTGTTTATTAATAGTTAAACGAAAAATACAGTATAAGTGAATTAAGAAATTGTGATAATCAGAAATTTACAGAGAGAAAGAGTATTTTACTGGCGTTACTATTTATATGACCTAAAGTAAAAAAGAAATAATACAGTGTTTTTAAGAGAAGGGGCCAATGGATGACGAGTTTTCAACATTCAACAGACACGGCAGAACTTTTCAAAAGTGAATATTAAAAAAAAAAAATGAGATAATTTCCCCATAATTTTTTGACAATCGAATAAAAAGTGTTGAGGTCTAAGCAAACTGTAAGGAAAACCCATGTTAAAATTCCGATAACTTAACGAGACATTATCCTTTTTGCCGTAGTCGTTTTTTACAATCAAAACAATTTTTTTCGAATATTATCTAAAACCCATATTGTCATCATCATCAGCCTTAAGGCTCAACTCTGCCATATCATGAGATGATGGTTTCTAGATGGATTCGTTGTCCGGACGGGTTGCCAGTCCGTCGCCGGAGAGGGGGATTACCTATATTGTACATTTATACCACTTAATAATAGCCAGATATGGGTCCAACAGTATCAGGTGTCTTATTTAAAATAAGACTTACATGTTCGGTCAAATACAAGTGGTCTCTCATATTTCCTACAGGAGGATGGTTTCTTCGCCTAATTAAACAAAAGTATAATATAAATACTAAAAACATTTAAGTATTTATTTTTGGTAAAAAGAACTTGATATCATCGAAAATGAAATCAATGTATGCGTAATACTAGACAGTCGGTCGCGTAGGTTTCAAAGACATCAAAGTAGGTAACATAAAGCTCTAAATTAGTTTTTTTTCGATGTCAGTCTACAAATGAAATAAACTAATATTTATGGTTACTAGATTTTTGGTTGCCTATTCTCGGGATTAGTATAATAATCGTTAAAATTAATAATGCTCTTTTACCCAACATAGGTCGAACATTTGAAAACGGTTAAGCCAGGATAACACAGCTCATGTAAGTAATAGACAGAGATGGACAAAACTAAATTAAACGACAAATATCTACTAAAAAAATAAAATAACGGTTTATTTAATTTTATATATTCTAGCTGAGGTAATCGTGAGACATTTATCCGAGCTACTCGAGTTGACGATAAAATCTGCACTTATCAAGCTTTGAAAAAGTCAATTGAAGACATAAATAATTTCATCAAAGTGTTACAAGCCTACTTGAAAAAACTGCTAATGACTAAAAGAGTTATGCTGGAGTGAGAGTATAATTCGCCAAATTGAATAAATCCCTAATAGTTTGAATACCTAGTTGTTTTAACAGTTTGTTGTGATATTCCTTTAATTATTTTTGTTTGACTTCTCCGAGACGTTATCATACTATACAGTAGAAATCGTATAATATATGTAATGACAATGAATAGCAGAAAACCCACTAACACTGAAAAATGGACTTTTTAAACGTTTTATTAAACATTATAATATATTGTTTATGAACGAGCAAAGCCCATTAAATACAAAATGTTGCAAAATGTTTAATATCAAAATGGACGTTGTGTGATCATATTTGAGTATTATACAATGCCTCAATGGATAACGGAATATAGTCTATACAATAGTTTATTACACTCCAGGACGGGGTTTGTTCGTACTACCAATCTCCGTTGGGCTAAAAGACACCTGTCTAGATGTCACTCCAAATGAAGTGAGTCCCTATAGTGGAGGACGCTTATGTAGTTTTGGCATTTGAACTGCGAGAAATGTCGCTCTATGTCGGGAATCAACCCTGTTTATATAAACTACGGTTTAATCTGGAAGTCGAAAGCCTCATGCCCGTTTTTAGGGCATGGGGGTAGGAATGAAAATAAGGAGGGGGCTAGAAAAAAATTCAAATTTATTATAATATATTGGAAAAATAAACATAGAAATACACTCTTAATGCATACGATTTTATAAGTATACAAGGGAGAGCCTTCAGCCTACCTTGTTCGTATTTCCCGAACACTATGTTGATACCTCCCTCAAACACCCAAGACTGTAAAATGTTTTCAAAAAATATGTAGGCCGACAAAACTACCTAACAAAAAAAATATTCTTAAATACTGTATTAATAATTATAGTTTAAGCTTTAAAATTATATTTTTCAAAATATTGCCTATACTAAACTCCTTAGTAGTCGTTTAACGTCCTAAGTTGTATAGAGTGAGGTCTCAATATTTTCATTGTTTAAGAAAACCCATTTTTATTAATTGTGCCCCTATTGTTTAGTATAGTTGTAAAAACTGGCATTGTACTTATAATTCCTAGGAACATATTATATTAGGTAAATGTTTTTATCAATTTTATTTTTTTCTAGTTGTGATATCAGAGTTGAGAACTTAAACAGTGTCACCTGATGTATTCTAATTTACCTGTAACTGTGGCAATTAAAGGCTATGATAGGTCAATCGGTGATCTATCGACTATCATACACATTACACATTGGTGTAACAAACATACATTAAATTGTTCATATTTTTTATTTTATACTTATTTATAACTGTTATTTCCGACATTGCAAATTTATAGATACTTTGTAAAAATATTGTAAGTATTGTACAGATTAACCATATATCCTTTTAACTAATCTACCAGACATCCAAAATGCTTAAACATTTTTTTGCCATTTTCCAAGTTGTAAAAAACACTGTTTTATGATATTTTACTGTGTTTTTTATGATTAATTTTTATAATTTATTTTAAATGAGTTGGCTATACTATTTTTACATTTTATTGTTATCCCTATTATATAACCTTTTATTTCAAAAAATAATCATGAAATTAAAAAAACTCCTCAAGAAGGCTTGTGTTAGTCTTGAACTTTCTATTAACGTAACATCCATGACTAAATTTTTTCATGGTAACATTATTATTTTTATAATAAATATTTCTTTATAAAGAAGTAATAAATAATTAAGACACACAATATAAAATTTAAATTAAATTGAATTAAGTGACATATATTTTTCTCTACAGATATAATACATGTAAATAAATTATTATTATACCAATTACTTGGAAGAATAACAAAAAATATAAAAAAAACACACAAATACATATAATGCAAGAGCTGTAATTACTATTTTGGATTATAGTCTGTTTCTTGGGCAAATTATATCCATCACTTTTGGCCAATTTTTCACCAACTTAATTTAAATCTAAAATAATAATTAAAATTATTTATATAATTTAATTTTACCATAAATATTAGATCAACTCTACTCACATTATCAACAGCATCTTCTTGTTCTGAATCGCTGATTTCGTCTCCAAATTCAATATCTTCATCCAAACCATCGTCCACAAACGTAACTGTATCATTGATACGAACTAAAAATTTATAATTATTAGTGTCTAATACATAAAAGTAATTTAATAATAAAATATTTTCTCTCACCTGTTTCAGGAAATTCTCCATAAGTTTTCAAATTACGTGCTTCATCTGGTGTGTATTTTAAAATAACATCAGCTTTAGTGTCTTGATAATCACGAAGACCCATTAAAACAATGTCGCCTTGATTAATCCAAACCTTAAATAAAACATTACAATATTTTTGTTTATGCTTTCAATTGTTTAACATCTTTTTTACATGCGTTGTGACATAGCTATTAAATTAAACTACATAACACTACTAAATGAACTAATTTAGTTTAGTTTAATAAGTTATTAACTATTTAAAATAACTTTTATCTGTTGTTATCGTAAATTATCTAGATTGTAAACCTTTTTCCTTAGTTTTCCTCGGATATGACAAAGTCGTTTAACTCCATCAAAACACATTGCTTCAAGGCGACCATTACCCAACATTTTTGTAACTTGTGCGTATTCTAAAAATACAAATTTAATAAATTATGACTCGATGCATGTTTTAACCATAAAAAAATAATTAATTTTGATTCTTTAGCCTATTACATAATTATCAAAATACAAAATAATTAAATATAAAAACTCAATTGAATACCTGAGAACAATTGAGAATTTCTTATTGTTAGGCAGTATCTATTGAAAATATTTATTACTAATTAGGACTTATTTACGTAGTAGTTACACTTAAGGTACTTATTTCTTATACTATTAAGTTTGTCAACAAATTTAAATTATTATTTTTTTACTAACATAAAACAATAATACATTTTATGTTAATAATATAATCAGACATTTTGTAAAAAATTAAAATATATCATTTTTCAATGGAACAGCTAATCATTTAAATCGAGTGAATTCTTCAGCTAAAAGCATTTGTTGTTTTACATATATTAATATAAATATTGAATTCAATACCAACAATGACAAATAAAAAACAATATCATGTGTTATTATTATAAATGATGTCAATTTTTTTAATAAAATATTTGGTAGTTATTTTTACAAAATTATTACCTTGACCATCTTCCTTGAACACCAACTCTCGTTTCTCTGTTTCATTTTCGTTTTTACCACGTCTACGGTTTTTACCTCCTTTACCTAAAGACAGACGAAACGGAAAAATTCGTTAAAATTGCATTTCTTTTCAAAAGTTATTCAATACCGTATATTGAACTACTTACCTTTATTCTTCGGCATGTTTGCGATACAAGAAAATTACTTAGTAAATTTGTATTTATAAAACAATGTTAAGCGAGTAATCGGCCTTAAAAAAAAAGTTATAAGCTAACTTTCTTGGGACCTAGGTATTCTATAGTTAAAAATAGGAAAAAACCCGCGTTTTATGAAAAAAAAAACATAGATTGAAGGCTAATGAATAAAAAGGAAATTAATTTCACAACCCAGCGCAAAAGCGTTATCAATAACCATTGTATAAAATATGGAAAATACCCCTTCCAATAAAAAAAGTATGCTCCCGTGATAATGCTACGCCAAAGAGTATACAAAATGAATCTTAAAGTCCGCCACAATGTTGAAAAACAAAAGCACAACAGTTCTTTTTAACTTTATACTTATAACTTATAATTTTTACAACAATAAATAAGTATTATAAGTACTTAAGAGTAAATATATGTTAACTAAAAAAAAAAATATATTAATGTTGGTAGTACACAATTCAAATTTTCCTAATTTAAACATATTATTAGATAAAAGAAAAAAACGATGATGAAAAAAGACAATGTCGTTTCTTATAAAATGTCATTCACAATCAAATTATAAAAAAAGGACAATTTATTAATTAATTATTTGAAACAAAACAAATTTAACTGGTTGTTAAATGGTTTTCAGTAAAATAAAACATGAGTTTTAGAGAGTTCCCGTCCCTAAAACATGTATAATATAGGTACCAATTATATAGTAAATACTAATGACTAATCCTCTCCATTTTCTTTAAATGTTGTTTTACAAAATATATAATACACATATCGGTGAACAAATTAAAGTCTAACCAACTAGGATAATTTATACTGAACGACAATGAACGCTATATAGCATTCTAATTAGGAAGTACCTTTTAAGTAACAAGGTTACTCTTTTTGTACCGAAGGTTTTTATAAAAATTAATTACTAATTAGATACCTATTAAGTAATGGGTTCATAACTCGGGAATTTAGAATCCAAAGCAAAAGTTAACCTTAACTCATTATACTAAACATCTGTAACTACTGCGATTCTGTGTTATATTTTTTACTCAGTGTACAAATTATGATATGATTATGCGTTTTCGTTCATTAATATTATGTAGCAGTTCACCTGTAAGTTGTATCAAGTGTTTGCTTTATTGTTGGTAATATAAAAAAAAAATATTTTTCTCGATGTTACAACTCATACAAATCATCCTTTATTATTTCACTAATTTTACCAAGCTTTCTGCAATCACAGAAACGTGAATCGTATATTATATTATAACATGGTACATAAATAGGGACAAATAGAAAATGCATTATATTGACATTGTTTAGCTGACGTAATTTCCAAGTTCTTCTCCGTTAATAAAAACTAAAAACGTATTATCATATTATTAACATTATTACAATTTATATCTGTGTGTATTCAATTTCTACAGACTAATAATGCTAATAGAAATAATAATAGTTTTATAATAAAACAGTTATTAAATGTTGACGTTTATGAGTTCAGAGTTATTGACTATTTTGCATGTCAACCAGTTCTAGAGGAAATGAAAAAAAAAAAAGTAAAACTGTCATTGGCCTTATTGATTGCGCTGACTGCGTCAGTGATAACCGCCCACCAAATTTATTATCTTTATCTTATCAACAGTATTCTCATGAATAATTGAATATTGCAATAATAATCTTATTACTGTTGTACTGTTTTATGTATGTGACAACGGCTGCGAATAATTGAGTGTGTGTAATTTCCAACGTTAAACGTATTCAGCACTTATTAACTGAACATGCTAATCTATAAAATGTAGCAATAGAATTTTAATCGGATCGCAATACTTCAGAAAGAGTTTTGTGAATATTACCGAAACTTTAATCTAACTGGTAGATATTTCTACAAATAAATATAAATGCACCGTGCGCCAGTGAAGTAAACTTTCCATATTGTGGTCAAAATTGGAAACAATACAATATAATGAAACTGCTTCAGAATCTGTTGTTTTACGTGTTACTCGTGTGCATTTTATGCAGAGGCTACTACAGCAGCATACGGAACCGTAAAGATTTGTGTCCTAAAATTTACCCTTGGATTTTTGTCGGATACAGACCATTAAGTAAGCATTAATAACTCATATCATAGATAATTATTCTGTTTTTATACTTTAAAAAAAAAATATGTTTTTTATTTATATTAAAAATAGGTAAAGAATCAGCTGGAATTTATGAAAAAATTCCAAATACTACGTTCGATGGTTGTATTGCAAAATGTTGTGAAACTGATGGATGTAATGTTGTATTCATGCATAAAAATGATTGTTATACGGTAAATATCTAACCGATAGAGCACAGCAATAATTTGTTCTAATGTGAATTAGTTGCCTGTTTCAAAAATGTTGTTCTTTTAACAAGTTGACTACTAGAATAATTTAGTATCTATTTCTTTATTAATTTGGTATCTATTAAGTATCTAATTTTTTGAGTGTCATATTTGGTACTCAAATTGTTAAACTTGAATACTAGACATAATCTCCCACATCATCCTCGCATACACCAGCAGTCCTCATACCATTCTCAATCGCATCCAACCACCTCTTTTTCGGTCTCTTCTTACCCTCTTTCCTTCTATGTTTATTTTCATTACCATTCGTATTGCTTCCAAGTCCTCTTTCCAAATGATATGCTCAAACCATCTCAGTCTAATCTGTCATCACTGTTTATCTGTATAAATTGTAATCAACGTCATTAGTATCTTATTGTTAAAATTTATTCATAACCATTAGTACTTTGTTAAGCTTTTGTAAAATTGTATTATTTTGAATTTCAGCTATCATGCAAATCAAATGAAGACTGTACGCCAGTTTTTGCTAAAGAACACTCAAATATAAATGATTTTAAAATGATTTTAGTTACTCCGGTTTTACCTGCTATGAATTGGAATGAAGTTTTAGTTAATGACGGAGAAACTTCATCGGAACAAGAGTAAGTGTATATGTGCAGCAGTTAAGTACACATATTTCTTACAAAAATAACTTGTTTATTTATAAGTATAAGGATATTGATTTATATTTTATAATTTAGAGAAGAAAGAATCTTTTCATTGGATAAACTATGTGAAATAAATACAGATTGTTCTGAAAATGAACTTTGTTATTCTCAGATTGGTATTTGTACTTGTTTGAATGGATATCAACTGGATGATACAAAAAAATTTTGTTTACCAAACAATAATGTAGGTGGCCTAGGCATAAACGTTACCGGATTTGATATTGAGGGAAACAATGTTGTTCCTCAGCAACAATTTGATTCATTTAAAAAAGTACAATAAATTAAATTTACCATTGATCTAACAGATTTGTAAGTATTTATTTAATATATAACTATTTTAATTTCTAGGAATTGGTGGAAAGCGAATCGCAGAAACCTCCTGAAGTAAAACATTTAGTTGTTTCGGTTTTATCGAAAACTGTACGATTACCCGAAAATGAAGTTACTCTTTCTGCTTACACAGTGCCAGCTGATGACACAGGTAAATTAGCAGTTTGTTGATCCAATGTAAAAACAAACTGTTATATAATAACCAGTAAAGGTTATTCACTATTATACTCATGAATTTATCCCTTAGGCCATAGCTATCAGTATGAATGGACGTTGGTGTCAAAAACTCAAGGATCAGGCCAAACAGTGTCTATGAACGATCAAAACGGGAGTACTCTAAAATTATCTCATTTAGTTGAAGGGCTTTATACATTTAAGGTGACTGTCACTGGTACTAACACTTTTGGAGAAGCCCAAGCTAACATTACAGTATTACCACGTAATTAACAAGTTTTTATTTTCGTATGTTATTTGTCGAGTTTATCATGCTTACATTGTATTCTGTTTGCAGCACAAAGAATCAATACACCGCCAAAAGCAATTATTCAACCTTCATCGTTAGTAGTTAAATTACCTAACAACGTGGCAGTACTCGACGGTTCCAGTAGTCACGACGACGCCGGTATAGTGCACTGGCGCTGGGAGTTGCAAAAAGGCCAGTTAGGGTATCGACCACATTTACCGCCCGATACTCCAACTTTGCAACTGAGCGACTTACAAATTCCTGGAAATTATACATTCAAGTAGGTTATATTTATATTATTATCAAACATTTTGTACTTTTATTGTTAACATTTAAGATTAACCGTTATGGACGCGTGGAATGCCACCGATTCAACTACAGCCAACATAACCGTTACTCGGGTACCAGACTATCCCCCGGAAGCCAATGCTGGCCAAGATATGGTCGTGTATTTACCAGTAAAAAATGTGACATTAAATGGAAGTTTAAGCACAGACGATCATGGTATTAGTGCATGGGAATGGACAAAAAGCTCTTCTGATCAAAATAAAGCTGTTGATATTCAAGTAAATATAAATACTGTTGTGACAAAAATGTCATAGGAATTAATTTAAATAGTTATTATATCATATTGTTTTTATTACAAAATTAGGATACTCGTACTCCGTATCCTAGATTGTCAAACTTAGAGGAAGGTCTTTATACATTTGTGTTGCGTGTGACAGACAATGCAAATCAGACATCAAGTCCATCAGAGGTTCATGTTTTTGTAAAACCCCCAACAAATAAACCTCCTGTTGGTATGTTAATTTTTCAATGTGTTATAATTTATATTGTTATTGATTTTTGTATATCAACAAAAATATAAAATACAGTTTTCGTTAAATGTTTTAAAAAAGTTTCTAAGAATATTATTTTTGTTAAACATTTGATTTTAGTGTATTAGTACATGAATTATATTACGTGAGTACAATATATGATAACTAGGATTTCAATGTGTTACAAAAATTACTAACAAAATTTAAATTTCTGTAGTACTAAAATTGGGTTTTTAACTGCTTTATATTCCTGATTTTGGACTAGATAATAAAACTATATATTATTTAATATCTACATTAGATAAATATAGAGTTCAACTTTCTCTAAAATCATAAACTATTGTTATTTTAATTTAATATTTACAGTTTGTAAAAAATATTAAAATGAAATGATTTTTTTTTTTTATATCATTACAAAATTTACGTTTGTCTCTCTTTTTGTTTTTATAAACTTTATCAAAAACTTTTTCCACCTCTGATATTTTTAAAATTTTAATTACTATCTGTGTATGTATTATTATTTTTAGCTGTTGCTGGTAAAAATATAACATTGTCATTACCCCAAACATGGACGTTGCTGGATGGGTCTAAAAGTAGTGATGATATTGGAATACAAAAATGGAACTGGCATCAAATAAAGTAGACATAGTTGTTAATTAAAAATCAAAAATAATACTTATTAATATATATGGGTTTAAAATTTAAATGTTAAATTAGTGGTCCATCGGTTGTGCATTTCAATAAAGTCAATGAGTCAAAAACAAATGTCACAGAGTTAACTAAAGGCATTTATTTAATCCAATTAACGGTCACTGATGGAAATGGCAATAATGCATCAGACATTATTAGTGTTACAGTAAATCAAAGTAAGCGTGACAATTTCTCAAGGTTTTATATTTATTAACAAAAAACCATTTTGATTTCTTATTTTTTTGGAAAATATTTATACTATTTACTCATGAGATATGACTTCAATTACAGAGAAACGAAATACTATTTTTAACATATTGTGTTTATTTTAGACAAAAATACCCCACCCAAAGCTAATGCAGGTGGGGACAAGACGGTAGTTTTGCCTGTGAGCGCAATAGTGCTAAATGGAACATCATCATGGGACGATTTAGCTATTGTGAAATGGGATTGGATTCGTGAACAAAATTCTCTAGCTGCTGGAAATATTATATTGAATACAGATAGTTCGCCAGTATTAGTGGTATGTACATTTTAATTTAGTATTAAAAGTTACCCAAAAAGGTTATCTAAATTCCATATAATAACCAATTTTTTTTTATGAATAAAACAACATTTTTTTTGAAAAAAAGAGTGTAATATAGGTTATGATGAATAAAATACAATACTTTTATTTTTTTAGGTGTAGTTTTTTTAACTACTCTAATATTTTATCTTAACAATTGCTGAAGTATAATACACAGATAAACTATGTTGTCCCATTTATATATATATATATATAGTTATAAAATTAAAATGGATTTTTTGTAGATAACAAATGTAGTGGAAGGAAGATATGTATTTCGTTTGAGAGTTACTGATGATCAAGGAGCTACAAGTGAAGATACGGTTTCAGTCAATGTTAAACCAGGTAATAACAGTTGTACACCAGATTAAAAGCGGGTATATATTTGCGTATGTTTTTTTATTATATTTAGATCCAATAGCTAAGTCAATTGTGAGTTTAACAATTTTCATTGAAGCTAGTCGCTTAACTCAGAGTCAGGCTGAGGAGGTTATTTTAAAATTAGGCATGCTATTGCCTACTGGAAGTCAGTTAAAAGTGAGAAAGTGGACCGAAGAACAAAATTCCAAAAGAGCTCAGTTGCACTTCTTTGTCAACGATAATAAAAATAAGACGTTAGCTGGTCCCGATGTTGTGGCTATGTTGAAAGCCAAACTCAAACAAGACTCTTCACTATTACAATTGTCAGTGGACAACATACAAACTACTATTTGTCAAAACAATTGTTCGGGTTTGTGGCTTTTTTTGAAGATTATTCAACATTGTTGCTGTACTCATATTAATAAACTACTTAATTAATGTGTACCTAAACATATAAATTGTACAGGACATGGAATTTGCGAAGAAGAAACACGTGTGTGTGTTTGTGAAGCATTTTGGATGCATGATCTTTACCGAACACTATTTGGTGACGGAGAATCTAACTGTGGTAAGTTTTTATTACATCAAATAATACGTTTTTTTTTTTGTGCTTTGTTTAAGTAATATTATGTACAACAGTTGTTATAAAACTAATTTACGTTTCAGATTGGAGCATTTTATATGTGGGGATTATATTGATAGCAATGTTCATTACTACTGTATTATGTTTCTGGTGTATCGCATGTTTCTGCAATCGTCTTTGTACTACCAAACAAAAAATTAAAAAATATAAACTTGTCGGAGTTGACGATGATAGTCGTTCAATGAAAAGTAAGACGATCTTGAATTAAACATTGCAACACTAGGTAACTAAATAAAAAATATTAATGCATTTTTAGCATCAATGTCACACTTGGAACTATCAGATACAGATTCCGATTCAGATGTTTTGTTAGACGTAAGGAAAGCCAAGTTAAATCAAAGCAGTATTTCTGACCGACTACTGAATGCATCTCGGTATAAGAAGAACAAAAGAATCGTTGCTTAAATTACATAATGCATTATAAATTATGTCTAATTGTAATAGCAGGTCATTCAAAATCTTGTGTAGAGCATTTGAAATTGGCTTTCTTATTAATAATGGTAAATCTTCAAGCACAAAATAATGTTATTCCCATTATTATATGGATATCAGCTAATACACTTGTCAGTGATCTTTTAATGTTGAATCACACTTATTTATTATGTATTCTTTGGTAATATTTATTTCGTTAAACTAAAGCTTTATATAAAACTTATCGGTCATTTCAAAAACGACATGTCTCCGATTTTCAAAAATTACTTTTTGTCAAATTTGATAATTATATACTTAGTTACGTATTTTGTATGAAAACTAAATTTGTCAGACTCATATTTAATACAAATGTTGAGTACAAGACATTAGAATCACTGCAAAAACTAGTTATGAAGTTTTTTGTGGCTAGTGTAAAATTTAAATTTTGTGACTTGTGTCGTTTTTGAAATAACCGATTCAAATATTAAAAAATGTATACCAATTAATGTCTAGTCATGCTTGTATTGTTTAATTTTAAACGTAATGTGACTGAAAAAAGAAAATATACTACTTTTCACAATTAATTAATGGCCTACATTTTTATTATGCTATATATTATTATTTCTATTCATTGTACATTGTTTTTATTTTAGTTTTCATAAATAGTCTTAAAAAAAAATCTATAAATATAAAATTATTTGTTATCTGTGTACTAATGGTTTTCTTAAGTTTTTAAAACAAACAATACAAGTAGTAAAAATCAAATTATTAATTTCTTAAAAAAAAATCCTTTAGCTTCTACACTAAACTGTGAAGGTATTAATTTTGCAACAATTTGTTTTTTATGTATGTTAATATATAAATATATTATTACATTATATATTTATTCATTATATTATGGCCAGAAGTCATACTTATTGTTATTTTTCAATTATATTGTGGTGATCCAGAGAGGGAGATTTTTTAAAAACAAGATGTTTATCAAGGGTAAAATTATTATCTATATTTTACCGCCAAGTAAATAGCCTTAAACTTTTAATGAACAATCAAGCAACTTTGCATTGGATTCCTTGGATATTTAGTACGTTTATAAGAAGCGGTTAAAGCTTTTCAAAAGTTAAAATGTTTTGAAACCTTTTAATTACTTAGAACGAGGGCTTATCGTCCAAAACGGTTAATAAATAACGGTTTAGTGTCGTTTATATGGTAGGTGTTAAACCATTTTAAGTTCAAACCGTTTTAATCGCTTTACATAAATATATAGTACTTGAGTGTTTGACCAAAATAAAATGGTGATTAAAGTACTGGCCGTTTTATCTCCGTTTCCTTTCATACATAAATTATACACACCCGGGTGGGGACTCATGATTGGTGTTTTATAGGTTTTGTTGGCTAATTATCTTTTTTAAAAATTTTAAATAATGATAAAAAAGCCGTACGGAGTACTGCGGCATAGGTATTTCAAGTATACCGGGAAGCGGTGTATTTTCTGTAAGGGTGTCGGGGAAGCAGACAGACGCACAGACGCCTTGAATGGCAAACAGACGGACACGGTATACGCCCCACCCTCGCGGACCGGGATCGATCACCAACCCGCTACCGGCGCCTTTTGCGGCATCAGATGTACGATTGCCCGTGCGATACGTATATTCGCACGGCCGTCGGCTACCTAGGACGTGTTTCAAGTGTCGCACTCGAGTGCCGAAACCATTTGCAGTAATAAAACCATCAAAACGTTACATCGTTCATCGTCGGTGGGTTTGAAAACCGTCGAGCGACGCGGGTCCTCAGGGACAGTATGACTTGAAGTCAACTATCCGCACGACCGCGCCAACCCACATCGTCATGGACCAAGAACCGGAGAAGCCGCCGAAAAAGGTGAGTTTCGGTACAAATGATTTTAACGCGTCTGAGTGACTACGAACCTCGACTAAACCCAGCCGAGGGTAATCATCTTTAATATTATCGGATAGTCTACTACTGTTGATTCTTATTCGAGGGGTCCGAAACAGGGGTTATTACTTATTAACGACAACCAGGGCGATTGATGTATTTTTTATTGTTTAAATGGGGTAACGCCGTAACGGAAAGACGCAAGACGCTCCCCACTCATTTTCTAAGGAGTAAAGTATAGGCAATCTTTCGCAAAATCTTAATTTAGAGCTTAAACGAACAGCTGAGTGGAAAAAGTATAAAAATCCAAAAATTTAACTGAGACAGCCATTTTGTAGCTGAAAGGTAGACTCGTATTATGAACGCACCATAAAGAAAAATATTCCTTTGAAACCTAGTTACACATTTTAGCAGGAATTATATAATTCCCATATAAAGTACCTATATAAGAAATACATTTTACACAGTTTTCTGTAATTTTCCGAAAGTAGGGCGTGACAAGGAATATTATGCCTTTTCCACTCAGCAATTCAAACTATAGAGTATTATTATTATTATTATTATTAAAACTTAATGGTTGTTGTTTTTTTTTTTGTCAAACAATAATAGTAATTTTGCGACAAAATTACTATTATTTTCCATCAAAATAGATTTGCGCTAATCAAAACCCATGTTTCTTAAAATCGTTGTGAAATCGCTACATTTTCACAATAACTAGAACCTAGAGGAAACATGATCTGCGCTTAAGCGTTATTTTTAATTTTCGATTACTCAACCCACAAATTTTTAATAGTTTGTCTATTGTAAAATACTAAAAATCACAGCCTCTACACCTACAGTATTGATTCGCGCAAACCCTGTTTTACACTACAAATTACTGGTGGGGAGCGTCCTCTTCATAAATATGAGGTGCAAAGAATGCGCGTTATCCACTTACCCTCGTACATGAAGCTCTGTGTATTTTGTTAATGGTATTTTTATTGAGTTTGATTTAAACATAAAATAGGACTTTAGACTTTTTAGCTTCCTATGTGTACCTCAATTTGTATTGTGCTAACAATACAAACATTGTAGCTGCTATTATTATAATGACAATGGTTTGGCATTTACATCAAATAGTAATTTAGATTTATGCAGTCTAATTGTAAGGAGTATATAATAAATTACGAACAATGATCTATACCGATTAGACACTCAGTTGGCACTCGCTAAGCTTAGGCTGATATTACCATTTTAGCGTATCCTGAAATCTGTCGAACTAAATTTTATATGAACAGGTTTTTCAAATCTTTGTTTTTTTTTTAATCAGTTGAATATTGACTGAATATTGCAAGAAACCGATTTAGACCAAAAAGCTTGACAAAAATATGCACAGGTACTTAAAATGACCAGATTTAAATTCTGTAAAAATATTTGAGCTCGTCGTCTTTTTTCCAAGTTACTGTGGAAATCGATTTTTGAGTAGCTGTTTCATTTACTTAAAAAAAAAAAGAAACAATAACAATTTAAGAAATTAAAATTGGATTTAACGTGGGCGCAATTTTGCCAGCCTTTTATGTCTAAAATGTCGAAAAAAACACAGACCGCTTTCAATCCCCCAAATAACAATATACACATAGTGCTCGGATCAGGTGTCTCGCGTTACCGTCCCGAATCAGCGTTGACAACAGTTGACAACTTCTTTAGTGATATTTATTACAAAATGTGTACAAGATTTACAGAAAACAAATAATAATAACAATATAGTATTATGGCCGTCTGCGCTTGGACATTTTTGACCGTGTGTTCCTCGACGCTTGGGCCCTGCCGAATGCCTTACGCGCAAAGTTTATATTTAAATCATTGCTATTTTTACGGTCCTGCGTGCTCACACAACGCGCGCACACTCGCTTAGAGATTACCGACTATACTTGAATTCTTCGGCCGGTGATTTGCCCGTCATCCGAAATGCACAACGGATCCAGTGCAACGCCACCAAATAACAATCGCTATTAAATTAAAAAAACTCTACCACCGTCAAACAACGAACTTGACGGGTTATAATTTCTGTTTTTTTTTATTATCGGAAAACGTTTTTTTGTTTTGTTTTACCCATTCGTTTCGATTTGTCGTCTACCGTGATTTGAGGGAGCCGTTAACGAATTATCGAATTATGTTCAACAAGAAATTCCCTTCGGCCCTCAGCATCAACGTAAGTAGTACACAGATAACACAAATCCCGATTATAAAAATATATATACACTAAAACTACCTATTTACCTATTTTCACACCTCTTCGAGCATAGACTTTCGATTGTTAATGATTGATTTAACCAACATCCATTTACATGACGTTGTCTGTACAAAAAAAAAATTAAGCAGCATATTATTTATATTAAATGAATAAAATTCGACGAATATTTTTTGGAAAACTAACCACCACGTATGTTTTTTTTAAATCAACACTGCATTATGGAAAAATTTCCATTCCATCCCGTCCCGTCCCGGGTTTTAGATATACCCTAAAATATACATTTTTAAATAGTTCCAACCTAATATTGAGCAAATATTAGTAATTTGTTTAACTTTTCAAATGTGATACGCATTTCAACGCGAATACTTTTATGTTTTTTTTCTACTTAAAATACAATAAAACAGGCCGGTAGCAATAATTTTCTGTTCTATAAACACATGTCAACATTGGTGGAGTGGATTTTTTTTCGGAGTATATTCGTAGCAATCGAGCTGTGTTCCAGCACGTATGTCGTGTCAAATTTGTTATAAAGTAGTTTTGTGATTTAGTGTAGCCTTTTAATCTGGTTTAACAATACACAATGATTGATTAAAACATTTGTTGTTGTAAATGTTGTTTATAATAACTGCCAGACATTTATAATAATATTATATCACTCGACGTTTTTTCAAAACACATGTTCTTGTAACCAAACATTTTTGTTTTGTTTATAAACTCACATTTTTAGCTTCTAGGATAAACTTTGCGATAAAGTATTGTTAAAATGAGGTTGTTTTTGTGATAGTCGCATTTTTATACTATAATATGTATTATAAAAAAAAAACGCGTGGGAAGGAATTTACGTCTGATGTGTATTTTTTTTATTTCTGAATTATTCAACAGCGTGAAATGTGTTACTCGCTTAGCTTTAAATTATAAATTGTTTTCAATACTCAAAACCGATTTTAAAGAATTATTTTAACTAACGTTTTATCGTTGCAAATAGGCAGGTTTATTTTTATAAATCGCAAACAAATCTCGTTTTAGATAATTATTTTATATTTTTAAAGTCTCACGAAACACACATTAACTGTGTGTACTTAAAGCTATACAATTAAAGCGATTGTGTTGTGTTATTGAGCGTAATTTTTGAAACATTTGAACTACGGTTAGTATTGACATTTCACACCATTCTATATGGTCATACTATTACATATTTCAATATGGTATATACTAGTTTTATTATGGCCGCCACCCTTCTTGCATTTGTAAACACGAACAATACAGTATACACATATTGTATCGGTTATAACATACCTAATTTTTTAACCCCTCTGGCAATTATTACAGTTTGTGATACCTGTTATTGATTATCTAAACATGGTATTACATATGTAGTTACGGTGCGCACGCGAGTTTTGTCGTTTTGTATTGGCGTGCATGTGAAAAAAGTCACAAGGGAATCATGCACAAATCGTGTCCTTAAGTAGTTGTGCGGTTGACCCCCTTGCACATGTCATGACTATTCGTTGATCGTTTCAGATTAAAAAAAAATTGCTTGTAATGTTCTCCCAAATTAAGGTCCTCTGTAGTTTTTGTGCACGGGGATTGTTTTTATTGTTACGCGCAACATGTCTAACTAAGAAGCTATGAGTATAGTTGTACTGACAAAAACAAATTCAAAACTATACCAAGTACCATTGATTATAATTACTAGTATTTATATAACCAATGCAAGTGTCAACCGCCTACCTAGTAATAAATAATTAGTACACGCTTGTTATATAAGTTATTTAAGTTTTTGAAAACTCGACTCCTCCTTGGATGACCTCTGGACACGCAATTCTTTTTATGAGTTATGTAACTTAGTAATTTTCTTTAATTATAGTCGGTAAGTTGGTTCATTGATTGGGTCGTATGGATTTAAAAAATAACGCACGTGTGTCATTCTTTATTAATATAATATAGACATGTATAAATGTAGTATGGATAAGCGTAGCTAATACATAAAAAATAAATATATTTAAGTTTTACAAGTACATTTATGTACACAGATGGACTTATTTTATTTGATTTATAAAAATCAAATAAAGAGCAATTATTTTACTTAAAAATGTTTTCGATTCAACTTCTAAAAAAAATTATTTACAATTTATTATTAAACAAAAAAAAAAATCGTAAAAAAATTGTCCACCTTTTTGCTTATGTTTTTTTTCTAATGCTAAAAATACTCAAAAGGGTTTAAAAAATTATTATTTTGTATGAACCCTGACCTTTTTTGTTTCCCAAAAAGTTATGAAAAATCTTAAATAAAGTCACGCAATTCCTACGACTTTTCTATTATTCGTGGCATGCTCTACTGTAATTCACAATGGCTCAATACATTTATTAAGGTGATGTGAGTTTGATATTGTAAACGAAAATGGACGAATCCCAACTTTCAGTCACATGCTAACAAGTCTTGTTTCGATAAATCATTCATGGAGACGGCTTTTTGGCTTAGGGGCAATAACAATACCATATTATTACACACTAGCGGCCGTTTTATTATACATCGACGGTTAACTTTTGACAGAAACAGCTTTATTGATTTTTTCTTTGAATATACAGAAGGTCAAATAGGATAATATAGGTATTCTAAACGTCGGCAATTCGCAGCTACTATCAGACGGTAGTTTCTATACTAGCTATTCTTACTGGTATTTGCTCCATCAGATCTTTAGGAATAACGACCATACATAAAGTGACTACAATATAATATACATTTATTTTTCATATTAAACATATTATGACCTGGCTCCAGCCAGGGTAATATTAATACCCTAAAATCCTCCACTGTGTTAGCACCGAAAAATGATCGTGTCGTTGCGTGATTAAATAATAGGTACTTACTATGCAAATTATTATTGTTATTATAATATATGCTTTAACGGTAGTAAATAACATTTATAAATAGGTAAGAGGTTGTATAGATTTCTCTGTTGTCCTTAATATCAACATCTTTATAACATTATATATTATCAAAATGCAAAATATTTTATACTTATTTATTTACAATGTAAATAGATATACATATGAGTGCATTTTTAGTTACAAATATAGTACAATGAATACTCGAAAGCAAGGGCGCCCTCAGGGAGGGCAACTCCCCCCCCCTAGATTCTCTGCAAGTTAAATAAATGTATATCCAGTGTCTATAATATTAAAATATTGTAAATCTATTACAAAACCATAGGCAGTGAATTTTCAACTGCGGGCGCCCTTGCTCGAAAGTTAGTAACACATTATTTAGCTAATTTTTAAATTTAGCATACAAGCGTGTTCCTGACAAAACTCCTAACGTAGGTAACGGGAGAGACGCCAGGATTTCCGGACTTTGGTTCTCTTCCCGTGATCATGTTGTTCGAGGGAGTTTGTCTCGGGTTCGTTCGTTACGCTACTATAATAAAAAAACAATATATATATATATATATATATATATAGTACATGCACATTTGTAGTTATATTTATGACGTGTCGGAGGACGCATTGTGTGTCCAATATTATGTACGGTGATATTGGATTACCAGAACGTGGGAGCGGATTGTAAAACGATACAGGAGACAAGCAGCACCGCTACATACAAGTGTGCTTAGATTCGAAAACCAATCATCGGATAGGCAATGTGTTTTATAGTCTAATGTTAATTAAGGTCATGGTCATCGGAGGGAATTGCATATGTATACTGGTCATGTGGCGTATTTTCAAACGTTAGGTATCAATCGTCGTTATACCTATCACTTATATCAGATTTGAACAATAAAAAATGTCATCAGGCGAGGAGTGACATAAAAATAATATTATCGCTTTTTTTTAATTAGCATAATATTGTTACAGGTAATTTAACCAAACTGACATATCACAAATAAACGCGCGACTGGCTGCTAAAAAAAACATTATTGTTAATTAATTTTTAATTTTAATGTGAGCACAAAGAAAAAATTATTCTTTATTTTTTTTTTAATTTTCAACAAACTAGGTATGTTTAAGGACTGTATTACTACAGTTCAATTTTATTATTGATTTCTATAAATGAAATATATATGCTAATAATCTCGAAATACAAAATATAAGACTTGTATACAGTATAAGCCTAATGTGTATATTTTGTTTGTTCATTATAATTTTCTTTCTCCTATTATTTTTTTTTTTTTTTGAGCACAAAGGACATATTTTGTCTAAATAATTATCACATTAATTTAGAACTATATTTTGTCAAATAATTCTGAGAATGCCATAAAATATTTTTAATATATTGAATTAATATTATTTATGAAAACATTTTTTTAAATTACAACTTATTTAAACATATGTTAAATTTTAAATTATATACGAAAAATATTGCAAAGCAACTGAACATTTGAAGTATTTGAGTAAAAATATTGGGACAAAAGTATTCAAATACTTTATTTATAAGAAAAATTCTGTTCTAATTACAATAGTTTTGAAAGGTTTTAAAATATAAATAATTAGGTACTATATTTTGTCTTCGGAGATGGTTATTTTTGAGAGTATTAAGATTTGTAAAAAATAATATTATCATTTATACTTTGCATTAGGTATATAGGTAACAATGAAATCTGAGTTATGATATTCTTTTGGATGCTTCGATTTAATGTAAACTCTACAAACAAGTTTCAGGTTATTGACAGAAATTTAGGGTAGGCCTGTAGGTTAAAAATTATTATAAAGTTAAAAACCTTGAAACTTGAAGTTAGTGCAGAACAACTACATTTTTTAGATTTTTTTTTAAAGGTGTCGAATTTCCAATATTTAACAATCCTAACTTAAACTTCCATTGTTTTGAGTATACCTAGCCCCATCCTCCAACGTTTCAGGCCTACAATCTACAACAAAAATATTATTTTTATTAAGACGATCTAGTGTCTAAGTTGGAACGTAATACTCTCGTGTCTGAATCGTGTGATTTATACATTTTTATGTTTCCGCCGTATCGCGGCATCTCAATGGCACGTCATAGGGAACTCCCAAGTTCAACGTTGCCGGATTTGCCGACCGAATTTTGATTGCCACACCCGGGGCCCTGCCGTATCGTTCTGGGTACAATCTGCACACCCCTCGGCAGCGGCCGCTCGTGTATTGATTTTGCACAGACCAGGCCGGCGGCGCCGGTGCTGTTGCCGTCATAGCGCCGCAGTCCGCACCGTCGTCAACCCCACAACAGCCGCCTCCCTGTTCGATATACGGCACATTTAACCCCCCGAAAACCGTAGCGGGCCGGTGTTGTATTTTTGTTAACACATAATATGATGTTCGCGCATTGCCAACCTAAACGACCGGCCCCTTGCACAATTTTCAAAAGATTGCGACACGGAAAAATGTATATTTATATTGCTTATAGGTATTTTCAAACAACACAATATTATCACGATAAACTCGACTCCGCGCGTCCCAGCCAGCTGCTCCTTCGTTACCAGAGTGTATACCTGTCCTAGTATGCTGTTGCTTAGCAAATGTAAAACGGGCGTCCGCGGACTGCGACACTTGATGGTATCAAAAAGGAAAATCGCCCTCGTATTATTATACCGTATAATTTTTCTGACGTCGAGGGACTAGGAAGAATTTTTGTCAACGCGTTTTATACGATATTCCCGAGAGTAGGAGTTTTAATCGTTAATTAAATCGTGAATCTAAATATGTTTGATCAAAATGCGATTTTCATGAAAAAAAAAACGTTTTATGTATAAAAAAGAATCATGTATACCGTATTGTATCATAGGTAATGTTAGTTAGTGCAGGTTGAACGGTTATTGTTTTGTATTATACATGCAGGTCACATACAGGTGTATGCGGCATTTGCAGCAAGTGTGTACTAGTTACGGGCAAGGGATTGGCAACAATGGCCGACCGGGACTTTGCGGTAATGACATTTGAACGAAGGGTTCGAATCGGGGGGTTAGTTCCACCGTATCGTTGCCGACGTTAAGCTCAAAGGGGCCAGTTTTATATCGGCGCCGTACGCGGCAACACCGGCACATAAAATGGCATAATCCGTATTTTTAAATACATCTATATATACACATATATTTACACAAATATTCATTTTTATAGCTGTTAGTCATTAAAGTAACTGTGTTAGACTGAGTACTCCGTGGCACCGACCGAGATGGTGACCGAGACCGGACAAGTAAGAATTGGATATCTTTTTTTTTATATTTACTTTTTTTTTTAAAGTTTTCTGTTAGTGTAGTTATCAACGCCTCGGTCTACGGTGTTGGCTATGTCTACTGGCACCGCCTGAAGTATTATAATATCTTAGAGCCACAAAATACCTAAAAAAAACAATATAACAACACTGATCCTGCCATCCTGCCAGTGTAGCGTTTAGGGTTTCTTAACGCAGCGCAGGTTATATAATCTCTAACTAAAAACTGATCAACAAGCTAAATATTCTATAGAATTTATACCTATATCATTAATTATTCGGGTAACTATGTCAAGGTCTTACATTTTTATTTCGCCTACAATACATTTTAAACTTCTTTACACATATACCACATTTATTGGTTTGAGCTGTTAGTAACAACAATTTTTATATTAAAATTAATAATAGAAAAAAAACATCATCTTATCCCGCTTTTATTCGTTAAAAATAGTTAATTATAATTGACTATTATAATCAATTATTTATCGAGGTCGAAAATATTTAGCTAGATACTTATTTTTTCTGTATTCACTTTAGTATAGATCATTGTTGATGCATTATAATTATTTTTAACATCTAGGTACAAATATATGTTAAAAATGATATTATTGAATTACGCAAATTATACAGTTCTGTTTAAAAAAATATACATATAAATATGTATATTTGTCTTAACTCATAAGTGTTTTCTTGACTAAATAACAGCATACAATTTTAATAGTAAAAGAAAAAACGTTATTCTGTTACCCTTCAATATCAATCTTCATTGGTACAGTATTATAATATCTGTTCTTATAATGTCAAATATCCAATACGTGTTCTATTGAATCAAAAGCAAACTAACTTAGACCAAAAACGGAAATTAAATGGGGATCTATAACATTTTAATGGTAAATCGTTTTAGTACTATCTATACCAGTACATGATTTTTTCAGTTGAAATATACTAAACTATAATTTAATATGTATGGAGGCTCAGGGTACTCGCCTGTACCTTTTATATACTAAATGTGTGTTTTTTTATATGTTTAGTCGGAGGGTAACACCTCTTCATTTCTGAGAGCAGCTCGTTCCGGAAATCTTGACAAAGTAATCGAACATCTAAAAAACAAAATTGATATAAACACAGCGAACTCTGTAAGTTTTTGTTTGTATACATTATTATTATTACTATTGGTTGTTTTTAAACATATTTAAAAATACGTTTAAATCTCATTTAAAAGACATCTCGATTTTCAGAATGGCTTAAACGCTTTGCATCTAGCTTCAAAGGATGGTCACATAGATATTGTCAGAGAACTGTTGAAGAGAGGCGCCAACGTAAACTCGGCAACAAAAAAAGGCAACACCGCGCTTCATATCGCTTCTTTAGGTATGAAAAAACAGAATAGGAAACACTGACAAATGACGATTATTAGCTACCTATTATTTTATTAACATAATTAAATGTTTCTAGCCGGTCAATACGACGTGGTAGTTATTCTCGTAGAACATGGAGCGATGGTCAATGTGCAAAGCCAAAACGGTTTCACCCCGTTGTACATGGCCGCACAGGAAAACCATGACAGAGTTGTCAAGTATTTATTAGCAAATGGCGCCAACCAAAATTTAGCGACTGAGGTATGTGCGAATGCGGTTTTAAAATATTCTATCCAGTACTAATGGTTATTTTTTTCAGGATGGATTTACTCCATGTGCTGTTGCAATGCAACAAGGCCACGAAAAGGTGGTAACGGTGCTTTTGGAAAATGACACGAAGGGTAAAGTACGCTTGCCCGCGTTGCACATTGCGGCAAAAAAAGACGACTGCAAAGCTGCTGACTTACTCTTACAGGTAATTTGACAAACTCTTGTATAAATATGCTTTTTTTTTCTTTCATCTAAAATACGTCATGTATTGTTAACGCAGAACGATCACAACCCAGACGTGACATCTAAGAGTGGATTTACTCCACTACACATTGCTTCACATTACGGAAACGACGGTATCGCGAAACTGCTCCTCGCTAAAGGAGCCGATGTTAACTACTCTGCAAAAGTATGTCATGCACGTTAATTTTGAGCGATAACATTTGCCATAGCAGTAATATTGGATAGTATTGCCAGAGTCAACTTTTGAGATCACTGCTAAGCGATAATATCGGCCTACTGTCTATCAACTTGTTAATCATAACATTTAATCGATATATTTATTTGCACAGCATAACATAACACCGTTACACGTAGCAGCCAAATGGGGTAAGGGCAATATGGTATCTTTGTTGTTGGAGAGCGGAGCCAACATCGAGGCGAAGACAAGAGACGGACTCACTGCTTTGCATTGTGCCGCTAGATCCGGGCACGATCAAGTCATCGACATGTTGTTGCAGAGAAACGCTCCGATAAGCTCCAAAACCAAGGTAAGGCATTACCTTTGAGAGTTTAATTATATTCGAGATTTAAATTAATTTATACCATTGCAGAACGGTTTGGCAGGACTGCACATGGCTGCTCAAGGTGACCACGTGGAAGCAGCCAAGGTTTTGTTGACCAATAATGCCCCGGTAGACGACGTGACTGTAGACTATCTAACTGGTCTTCATGTGGCCGCTCACTGTGGCCATATTCGTGTTGCCAAGCTTCTGTTGGAGAAACATGCGGATCCAGACGCTAGGGCTCTTAACGGATTTACGCCATTACACATTGCGTGCAAGAAGAATCGTATTAAAGTGGTAGAACTACTTCTCAAGTACAAAGCTAGTCTGGAAGCCACTACAGAGGTAAGTCAAGTTTCTCTACCAATATGGTCGTCCATCGAGAGCAGAAAGATATGTGACAACTTCTCTTGGTCTTACTGAGCTTTAATATTTTGACCTGAGAGAAGGTTGAAGATTAGTTCATCATTTAATTGTGACTATTATTACTACGTATGGCGCTCATGGTCGGGAGTGTGACATTTTTAGGCCTAGTTTAGTCGACAGAATTTTCAGTTTGCACCATTTAAGTTTCTGCTATTTTAAGGACGACTCTATCTCTTCTTAGATAGGTCGCTCTGCCCAGTAAGAGACGCCGCCTTTCAATTGTCATAAACACTACCGATGACGACGTTGGTATTAATTATAGGTACACGCCACTCATATTGTACTCTCTGGACCCTGTGTGTTATAAGAATATTCACTATTTCCGCTCAATTTTTGAAAACGTACTCTCTGGTATACAATCAATAACAAAGTAAAATTAATAATGTCTTTTTTTTCTTAACAGTCTGGCCTTACACCGTTGCACGTCGCTAGCTTCATGGGCTGCATGAGTATTGTTATATTCTTGTTGCAACACGAAGCCAATCCGGATCTACCGACGGTAAGAGGAGAAACGCCTCTGCATCTAGCCGCTCGAGCTAATCAAACGGATATAATACGTATATTGCTACGCAATGGAGCCCAAGTGGACGCCAAAGCTAGAGTGAGTTTCGGTATTGTGATTATATCTTTAAGCAGTGGTGCACACAAAGAGTTCCACACGTTTCAGTACTCAAATGGAGACTTGACTACATTTTAATGCATTTAATCATCTAAGATCGAGGTGTCCTTAGAAAATAGTGCTTGATACCCTCTTCGAAAATATTGGTGTGCCACTGCCCACTGAGTATTATAAAAATTATAACAACCATGAAACCTACTTAAAAACCGGTGTTTATTATAAACATTTTTCATTTGGTCTTATAGGAAAAGCAAACACCATTGCATATTGCATCCAGATTGGGTAATGTTGATATCGTGATGTTGTTATTGGCACACGGAGCGGCGGTCGATTCGACTACAAAAGACTTGTACACAGCTCTTCATATTGCATCTAAAGAAGGCCAGGAGGAGGTAAGAACACTGATTATGAAACGCATAATGGATCACGTGGATACGACGTATTTGCTTGATAAGTTTTGGTCGGTTAGAAGAGAATATTTTATCTAAAACAACATGTAATGTTATAGAAATCAATCATTTTATTTATCACTATTGTCAGCGAGTACACTAAAATATGATATATCTTATTCCAATATTCTTGGGATTGCAAGAGTGCGGTACTATTCAAGTAGAACTCTAATCCACTGTACTTAATCAAATAGTACATTTATACTCTCTTATTGCAATTTCTTATTGATGTTTCATTCAACATTTTGTGTTCTTCGGATAGCAACTAATGTATTTTGTTATTTTAAAATTACTTTAATTTATAATTTTTAAATAATAATAATAACGTATTCAAATAATGGAACCGCAGTGCCAATAACTTTTCGTCAGAAATGTAAACATTAACGTGTTCATTTTATTTCGTATGCATTCGCCGTTCACATTCTACAAACATGGGCCAAAACTTATTTATGTAATAAAATAAGTCTGATTGGTGTAATTTGTTACTAAAATAAAATTCTTAAAAAAACGAATTCACTGCCTTATGATAACGTTTGTCTTAATTAGTTTGTTTATCAATTACTTAAACAATTGTTTGTACACATATTCCAAGCAATACACAATTTTCTTCGAGTGCCAAATAAGTAGCTGTTTGTATTTATAAAAAAATATTCTTTAAAAAAAAAAAAATAATAAAGTAATGTAACTTAATTTCTCTATTCGAATTTTCTATAAAAAAATTTTGATACATAAAACAAATTGTTATTAAACTATAATTTTGATCAAATATTGTTCTTGTTAGTCGAAATTCCATTTTCGTAATGTAAAATTCCGAATTAATTATAATGAAGAGCGGATAATTCAAATCTATACTATCATTCTATAGTTTTAATTTAGATTTATAATAATTAATAGGGAATATTATTTTATTTGCATTATTATGGTAATTATAATGTAATAACGTTGTATGGTTAATCATTTAATTATTATTATACAATATTAATAATTATTAATGTGAGTATTATTATTTTAAGTTTTTAATTCTTGTATTGTTAATGCTATGTTGCGTTAGGTGAAAAAATTTAGTGCTGTTAGTATTTTTTAACGTTTCATGAGAGTTGAGAGTTTACGAGGTGTAATTTGTTTTTATTATATCCTATTTTGATCTCTATTTGTTGTTAAACAATAAATATGCCAATAATAAATATTATAAAATATATACAACCCTAATGAATAATAATATGTATATGCTTATAATCATTGTCATTGTTCTTTTTTCTTAAATTAAAAATAATCTATAAACATGTTTGTTTTTTGCTTCGCCTATTTATTCCGTTATTAAACAGCCGAACTCGTAAAACGCTGTATTTTTTTTTCTACATACAAAAGTCAAGCAAGGTGTACATAAAAAAAAGGTGTTGAAAAAAAACTCGATTAGGTAAGTCCTTAACTTTAATTATTCTTGTGAACAATTTCCATTTCCCCGATAGCATCTTTACTTTGACAACACCGTATTGATTTCTAATACTTAATCTTAATCGAGTTGAACTATACATTTGCCATTATAACAGGAATTGAATTAACTGGCTGTGTGTAATATTTATCACGAGCACAGGCTTAGCTTTACAACACTGATGCAATAGACATTTTGTTAAATGCTTTTTGTTTTTTGTTTAGTAAAAGTAAATATCTAACAGCATTAACTAATTTTCATATAAGCTTTAAATTTATATAAATAATATTATATATTGTACTTAAACGAATTAGTAAAATTTTACTGTAAATCACTAAACGTTTTCTTTTTGTTGGCAGGTTGCATCAGTGTTGTTGGAGAATGAAGCCTCAGTGACGGCAACAACTAAAAAAGGTTTTACCCCATTACACTTGTCATCGAAGTACGGAAACATTAAAGTGACAAAGTTATTATTGCAAAAAGACGCTCCTGTCGATGCACAAGGAAAGGTAAGTCAAATATAATTTAATTGTATACTATGTACATGAATATGTTTACTGTTATAAAGGATGATCAAATTAACTTTTTTCTGTCGATAATTACAATTTTATAGTTTTTATAAAATATTAATTATTTTATAGTTAATTAAATATATACGTTTCCATTTAAGTTTCCAAAATAGCGCTTTGGAAAATACTAAAAAAAGTAAATATTTGGTAATTATATAATATTGTACAATTATAAAAACAACAATATTTTCAAAAAGAAAAACTATAAACTTGTAATTATTTTCCGAGAAAATAAGTTAAATTGATCACCCTGTATTTCGCACACGTGATTCAAATGTGACAGAAGTCAAAAAGTAAACAAACATTTTGTGTACAAAAAAAATATAAAGGATCAGAGGGTATTTGAGGTTACACGTTTAATGGTCAAATTCATATTTGAACTACCATAACATATTGGGTTTCTAGCTACTTGATCGCATAAAGCAATTTTTTGGGTGTACAAGCAGACGACAGAAGATAAATATATAATAGTTTTAAGTATTAAATATTAAGTACGATGAAAATGTTATAAAATAATAAAATCCACAGCTAGGTAACAACATTAAAAAACGATAAGGCAACATGTCATTGTTTGCTTTAACCAAAAAACATGATTATGATAAAATTAAAGAAGATATTATCTACTAACTAATAATTAAAACTTAAAACCACTTACGGCTACAAGATATAGGTACACGTACATAATGCAATTGCAAGTCATATATATCTGAAAAAGTTATCTTAGTTACATTAATAACATAACACTTAGTATACAATAATTGTTACATTTGTTGTTTAAAAATAAAGAATCGCGTTAATAATTTGCGTATCAACGATCAAAACTTAGGTTTTTAATTTGAAATAATAATACGAAATAATATATAGTACATATTTTAATACTCTTTTTAAGTTGATCAATAATTATAATCATATATATCATAAAAAATGACTTTATATTATAACATATTTGCCTAATACTGTATAGTCAGATTTTTATAAAAATAACTTTGGTATAATTTAATTTGGTGAATTGACAAACCTTAACTGAAGTTCTGGTATAATTATAAAAAAGTAAGTTTTCTATCTCCACAAATGTCCGTACTGATACATCTAAACTTAACGTTTTTTGTTTGAAAACAACTCCTCTCAAATTTTCTTCATTCCCTATCGTTCTTCTTCATTGTTCTAATTTAACTTTTAACACGTTCACTCTCATTCACTAAGCTACGTACATCATCTGTAAACAGAATACATCAAAGTACATAGTATTGTTATAGAAAATATATATTCAAAGGGACGTAAATTAGGTTGCTCGACTATTACTGAAGAAAACAAGCAGGGTCAGGCTGATTTTTTTTATCTCCTCCCTTAAAGATGTACGTTTTGCTACTGCATTATTGTACATCTCGTTTATTCAGTTAAAATTAAAATAACTTCTTCTCAAATAATCTATTATTTATTTGTCTCATTACACATTACTCTGTTGAGCATCTTTATTAACAATTTAATTCTGCTACTCATTATATTTTCTATACTTCAACAAGCAGTCCGTCCACCCTTGTTTATTTTCTACACCTCATTGCATTTCCAATTTTTGCATACTTTTATTTAATAACCCTATATTAAACAACTCTTTAAAATATTGTTTCTCTTGTATGTAATTTTCTTACTTAGTATAATACATGTATCAATGTATTATACAATAAGTTAAATAAGTGATATAAAATAAGTTTAGCCAAAATTGTAATAATTATTAAAACTTGTTTTATTTTTAACATTCAGAATGGTGTTACTCCATTGCATGTAGCAAGCCATTACGATAACCAAGCTGTTGCATTAATGTTACTCGATAAACATGCTTCGCCTCATGCCACAGCTAAGAACGGGCACACTCCTCTTCACATAGCTGCAAAGAAGAACCAAGTAAATAAATTATGAAAAATAATAAGAGCATTTTTGATTTTAATAACAAAATGTTATTAATGAACTTATTATATTCAATGTTAAATAAAACAATAATAATTTTTTAGATGGACATTGCAAATACGTTATTAGATTACGGAGCAAAAACCAATACAGAATCCAAAGCCGGCTTTACTCCTCTTCATTTAAGTGCTCAGGAAGGCAATGTCGAGATGTCTACATTGCTCCTGAACCACAATGCAGATCCTAATTTCCAGTCAAAGGTAATGATAATTACTTTAGTATTTCTAACACGGAATACAATTTTAATTCGTGCAATTTTACAGAACGGCTTGACACCAATGCATTTGTGCGCCCAAGAAGATAAGCATAAAGTGGCAGTTGTATTGGATAATTACCATGCAGATATTAACACCAAAACTAAGGTGACTTAAATATGAAATTAAATTAGATAATAACTAGAAATGTAATTTGTAAAAATCTTACATTGTAATAATCTTCTCTTTAGGCCGGATTTACTCCTCTGCACGTGGCTTGCCATTTTGGTCAGTTAAACATGGTTCGTTTTCTAACATCTCGTCAAGGAATTAACATTAATGCAACTACTGCTTCTGGATACACTCCTCTTCATCAAGCGGCTCAGCAAGGCCATTCCACGATTGTCAGTCATTTGTTGGACAAAGGAGCAGATCCGAATATATTAAATAGCGTAAGCATAAGTATATAGTAGATGATGAATTTAGTTTAATATGATTTGAATATCAAAATAATGGCTGATAGAATTAGTATTATATATCAACACTCTTTTTGTAACAAGCAGAGTTGAGAATAATACGAATTTTCTAAGTTCCAAATCCAAGTGTTTTAAATATTAAATTAGAAGTTTGTTTATGAAACCGATTTTTAAAAAAATTGGACTTTTGAATTATAAAATATGAAGTAATCTTATTTTGCCTAACTCTCACAAGATACATTTATTGTTTCAATAATAGCATATACATTTGTTTTGTAGCAAGGACAAACGGCTTTATCTATTTCACAAAAACTGGGGTACATCAGTGTCGTCGAAGCGTTGAAAAATGTCACAAAAGCTACACCTACATCCACGTCTGACGAAAAATATAAAGTAATTGCACCGGAAACCATGCAAGAGACTTTTATGTCAGACTCTGAAGATGAAGGTAAGTTTCGATCAATTGTCGTATACACTGGTAAATACTAGCACACTGCGGTTTGGTGGGATATTGAAATGATATGATGTAATGAGTAATTACTTAAAAACACAATTGTAATATAACCAAGAAAAGCGGCTCGAGTTATTAAGCAGCTGTAAACCATAAAACGATTACACGTTTATAACTCAACACTTCATTTAGGTATAGCTCTAGTATATTTCTGCAATAACAACAGATTTTATTTTTAGCCAGATTATATGCCAGACGAAAAATGTTCAAAATATACATAATTTACTATGTTTATATGCTTGTCATAAACGAATTAATGCAATCCGATTTAGATTGCTCTAATATCCTCCTCTTGGCCTACTGGAGCTAAAAACATATAATCGCTTGTCCTCTTGCCGTTTCTCTCGATCCATACGACTAAATCTTTCCAGTCATCGGTCTTTATTCTTTCTAAATCTTTCTCAACCAAATCCAAGTATTCCATGCCCCGCAAGGCGCTCTTCTAAGTAAGAGTGGGCCTGACTAATGACGTTTTCAATCTAATCTTAGTTTTCTTTGAGAACATTTTTGTCTTGAATAATATTAGTTTAAAAGACGTTCTCTCTATCTTTGTTTTTTTTTTTTAAACTTATATTTCTCACGACGTGTCGTTTTTCCTACTCACAATTACGAGATATACAAAATTGTGAACTTTTTCGAAAATCCACACTTCCCTATCACTTGTATCATCGCTAGTAGCTGCATAATTTTTATTTTTTCGACATTGACTTTTAACCCCTTTTTTCTCCGATGATATTTCCAACATTTTGATCGTTCACTCTGTATTATCGTGAGAGTTACCGAAGATTTTCGGGTCACCTGAATCTTATGCTGGTCTACTGAAATTTCACTTGTTTTTTTTTTTTGCATCTCTTTTATCGCTTTCACCAATGGCAAGTTGAATAGCAACGGAGGTATTGCATCTCCCTATTTTAGTCCTGTGACACCGTAAAACATCGGGTATCATTTTTTAATTATTTGTTAATTTCTTATCTTATAATTGTATATATTTTATAAAATTATATATTTTCAACCAAAAAAAACCTTGAAAATAGTCTTTTGACAACTTATGAAAATGCATAAAATATTCACACGGTTGTTTTAAACTATTAGGTACCTATCCCAACGATATAATACAAAATGTAATTTATAAAAACAACTATCTAATTGGCCGCCTCGTGTGTAACTCGAATTTAGGTAAACTCAAATATTAACACTACGATATTTTTAATTTTCCGCTAATCAATACAGTCTATTAGGCAACAGTGTTCAAAAGCTTTAAACGTTATACTGTTGTGCAAATGTGTTTTTATTTTGTAATACTAAAAGCTTGTAGTATGTGCGTGCGTGTGTGTGTATATGATAAGATGATGATTGGCACACAGGTGACGTTTTGCAAAGTGGAAGTGTCGAGTACGGTCTCAACGTTATTGTTCGGCCGATAGAAAATGTAACCGCGTCGTCACGTGAGTTTAAAGTATTATAAAAAAAAGAAAAAAACAAACAAAACATGGTTTTTGGACGTATGACATTATCGTGTCTTAGTCAACATTGCATGAACTAATAGCCAAGTTCAAATGTTTCATTCGCCGTTGGCCGTTGTCCAACTGTTACGGTTTATACGTTGAACACCGGTCGTGCTGAAAACAACATGAAATCTCAATTTTTCGCGTCCGGATTGGTCGGCACAATCGACCAATATTAGAGTATCAATAACGTTTTAATAAATTATCATTATAATAATACTATGAACTTGGCTGTTCAAAAAAAAAAAATACAAATGTGTACGATCGTGTGTGCTCCCATCATCATCATATTGGCTTGTTATAAAACCACTTAGCTGTACGCTTAGCTTTTGTACTTTTTACATTGTGAACGACACCTATTGTTTGCTCCTATTGAGTAGCTGTTCACAAACTACACACCACAGTAGCGCGCGTTTGATTATCGAATGGTATGTTTTACAATATTCGTGTACAACATACGCAATGGCACACTTAAGAACACTCATAAAGATAACTATAATAAAACATTGACATTCCGAGGATTATTGTTTTTATTATCATCATCATCGCCTCGCCGTGTATCGAGTGTCGACCGAAATATTTACATTTATGTCGATCGTTCCAGTTTTTTTTTACTAGTTGTAGTAGCAGCACTTGTAGCGTCCGTTTAAAATTAAATGTGACCGGCCATCTTGTCAGTGAATTTACGGCCATTTGGCAAGATGCCGTTCGCGTTTCGTCATTGGCTTTCCTCTTTTCGGATTTTTCGCGCTTTGGCTTCACCAGCATCATAATAATGGACCAGCTTTAGAAGAGGGAAAAAAATGATAAAAATAACTCTCAAGTTTAGTAGTCGCCCACTGTCTGCCCGTTTCAGCGGTATCGCTAACTGGGTCGCCGTTCTCCGTTTTCCTTAAATTTCTTAAAAAAATTGATTGATAAAAATAATAATAAAAACAAATTTCACGAACAATATCAATAGTATACAATAATTAGTCACAATGTGTAAACGAAGGTTTTGCTGTTGTTGCTGTTTTAAAAGACAGAAAGAAGATATCTCTCCTCCACCAGCAGGTTAGAAAAATCTATGTTCAGTTAATAATTTGCAAATGTAGGCGGACTTTTTACCTCGTTCAAAACGTGGCGACGTTTAAATTTTATCTACTATATCATAATAAATTTAATAAAAAGAAAATAGCAATAATTATTATAATTAGACAACTTGTATCATATTCAAGTTAAAAAAATTTAGATCAAGTTGTTTCACGAATCAAAAGGATACAAGTGACTTTTATATAATTTTACAGAAAAGTAAAATAAAACTTAAATTTTCAATGTATTCGTATGAATCGTGTTTATAAGTAATCTTTAATATCTTTTTTGAAAAATTAATGAACAATTCTAAAACAAATATAGAGAGAAAAAGGTTTCATTAGGCAACACTATATGATAAACTTGCCGCTTGTACCCTTTTGGTTCACACTATACTTCAAATATCTCGTTCTTGAAAAATTGTATTGTTAAAACGTAGTTGTTGATTTAGAAATATACTTAATATAATACACATTGATTCGCTTGTTATATAATTAAGCATCTATCTATTTTGCGTACATTGACCCGTGAATTTAGCAAAAAATATTAAATGTATTGGTTGTTTATTAACTTGTCAACTGATGACTCATTTTAAAAGAACACGAGAAACATTTAATATTAATTGCTAATTAAAAACATAATCTACATTATAAAGCTTTTGTTTTTATATTTTGTTATATTCTCAATATTTTACCCAATGTTATTTTAATCTATATCATTGTTTAAGTATAACTTATTCAATTTGGCGTAATATAGATCTTCCAAAGATATTTAATGTAGTTTTAGAAAAAAAAAATGTAAATGCATGGACACATATTGTGTGTTGGGGCGGTATTATCATTGCCAAGTCTAAATACCGCCGCCGTCGTTTTGCTGGTATTGATTTAATTTGTTTTATTAATCGAAACTCCATTATTTTGATTAGGAGAGGAAACCATGGTAAATGAACAGTCGTACAGATATTTGACAGGCGAAGAAATGAAAGGTTTCGGCGACGAGTCGGCTCCCATTGACGTCACCAGGGATGAACGATGCGATGTCAACGCCGGTAAGTAAACGTTATTACATTTCCAAACGATTGCCGAGGACATAATATACAATTGAATAAAAAATAGAAAGTAATAACAATGACGGTACAGGTTGATTGAAAATAAATATGTATGTCGTTTACTTTTCAGCGCCTCCCTCGGCCATCGATGATGTAATCAGCCCGCAAACAGTATACGACCAATACAGCGGTCCCGTCGACAACATTGACATTGTTAAATATCCGCCCCACGTTGGGTAAGTAAATAATGTACCAACAAACGTATAGTACATATTATTATGTTCAATGTAACTGTTCTAACAAGTAACGAATTGATGTTAACGTTATTATTCGTTTGACCTAACAAAATGTTTGTATTCTGTTACTGCATTCCGTCGGACAGTCGTTTGCAATGGAAAACGTAAGCACAAAAACTAATATAATTGTTTGTTTCGATTTAACTTATTAAATTTAGATAGTTTTTTCCTTAAATAAGAAATATATATGTTCCGTTGTTTATTTAGTTTAAGACTAATCGCTTGTTATATTTTCTCGTATCTTCGTAGACGGCGTTGTAGAGTTGTGTGTTGCATTAAGTCGGTGGAATGTATACTTAACAACGTTTTATGTGTCTACAGATTTTTGGTGAGTTTCTTGGTGGACGCCCGTGGAGGTGCAATGCGCGGATGTCGCCATAGCGGAGTCCGAGTGATAGTGCCACCGCGGAGGGCGTCAATGCCTACCCGCGTGACTTGCCGCTACTTGAGACGGGAAAAACTCATACACCCTCCGCCGTTGATGGAAGGGGAATCATTGGCCAGTAGGATATTAGAACTTGGACCGGTTGGAGCGAAATTCTTGGGGTAAGTACGCCCACGGCATTTATTGTGAGATTTTTGTTTTAATCAAATGTATAATCACCCGCAGGCCCGTTATGATCGAAGTGCCCAACTTTGGGTCGTTGCGAGGTTCGGAGAGGGAAATCGTAGTACTCAGATCCGACAACGGGGAGACGTGGAAGGAGCACACGGTCGAAGTGACTGACGAGGTGGTGAAGGACATAATCGGATCGAATTTCGACAAAGAAGGTATTTAATACGACTATTGGTTCGACGTGTAATTAGATAGGTAAACGTTAGGTAACTGTGACTGTTCAATATTTAGTACCTTATTTAGTCAACAAAATATTTTTTATCTACAAATTAGGAAGTTATAACTTATATACTTACTTTATTACAAAATGTAGTATACACCTCATAGATGAGATGGAAAGAGACAACATAGAGGTGATTTCCAGAAAGAAAGTCACATTGTAAAAAACGGTAGTAAGGCCAGCAATGATGCATGGAATGAGTGTTGGCTGTTATGCACTGAATAATAGAGATGAAACATCATACCCTCTTTCATTGTCGCTTTAACATAAATAATAAGGGCAGGATACAAGTGAGGCGAAATGTTGTAGAAGAAAATATGATTTCGTGAAATTTGAACAGTTAGCTTTCTCTCTTACTGGAAATTTACTTTTGTGTTTTATCTCTCTACTAGCCAGTCAGTAATAAATTGGCCTATAAATTGTCCTCCCACTTTCTAATCATTGTATCATAGGTTCAACATACGCAGAAAAAACGCTCCACGTACTTTTTTGGTAACCCAATTTACAAACCTACATTAACCACTGGATTTCTGTGTCCATTCGTTATCATAAGGGTTGTCGTATTTCATATTCCCTTAAAAACTGACCGTCGTATTCGGAGATGGGCTTTGATAGAAAATTTTGATACGTTCTTGAATCATAATGCGCTTATAAATTAACTTTTCGAAACATATTCGTTTCAATTGATACTTAGATACCTCAAATTCTATCTCTGGATACAATATATATTTGACTAGAGGCGCGGAGAGCGCCGTTCAAATTATTTCAATATTTTTAGGCCTATGCCACGATTACTGATCTTTTGCTCGTACACAATTAGTAGCATCTAATAATATTGTTAGCGGCCATTATTGTAATTGACATGAATACGTCTTGTGGCTGTCCAAAATTTCGCCATTAGTTTTACCTAACCTAACCTGAATTTGCGACTTCAAGCAAAGAGCTGGGAGGGGAGGAGGAGAAGAGAGAGAGGAGATTATTGATAAGAGGATTAGCTTATAAGTAGTTATGTGAGGAGGATGAACATGAATCATCGTATAGGTACCATAAGACATATTCATGACCCAATGTTTTTCCTTCAAAGGAAAAACTAACGATTATTTTTATCGTTTTTTTTTCTTGTCTTTTTGCAGATCGCGACCCATGGCATTCCGGCAACCGGTTGACGCGCATCGTGACCACGGAATTCCCACATTACTTTGCCATCGTGTCCCGGGTCAAACAGGAAGTGCACGCAATCGGACCGGAGGGCGGTATGGTATCTTCGACGGTGGTGCCTCAGGTGCAGGCGGCGTTCCCGCAGGGGGCTCTCACCAAGCGCATCAAAGTCGGCCTACAGGTAAACTTGTTTAAACCGCGGCGAAACGTGGCCAGCACGTGCCTAAAGAAAATCTCCGTGAACCACGTGCCGAAAAAAAAACGGTTCTCGCTAATGTGGTAAACGTTAAGTGCGCTCGAGGGCGTTAAACGGCGATGACGGCCAATTTGGTCCACAGAAAATCCTAAAAATATGTATAAACTGACGATACGCCTTTAACATACACGCTTTCGACTCATTTACACTGCGCCAATAATAAAAACGTTACATTTTGTTTACTACCTATTCTATCCCATAATATATTACAATAATGGTATAAGGGCGAAAAAAATACCAAAATAATTATCTAGTCACTAATCTATATCCAAATTGAAAACGACACTAGTCACACCCGTCACCAGGACGTAATACCAAACTTAACTTGTATCAACTAATATAATTTAATCGAATTATTAGTTTATATTGATTACCTAATGTATTATTTTTTTATTATTATAACATTAAAAAAATATATATATATTTTTTCAAAATTAAGCAACAAAAAAAACGTGACATATGAATATTGTATGTGTTCATTGCGTGATTAATTTGTTTTTAAGGGATTTATTGTTTAGCATTTTAACATTAAAAAAATGAGTCTAGTGATTTACTTCAAGGTTTGGCATACAGTCAAAAGCTTAATTAATGCGTCTGATTGAAATAACATATTATATTTGTACAGTCAATGAAACATCCTTTTTATGTATTTGAAATAATGTGAAATCATATTATTTTTATTCTTAAGACTTATATATGTATTTATATTTTGAATTTAAACTCATCGCTTTATAATATCATTTCCACCAAATGTATACGATAATAGCACGTTTTTTGTGTTTTATTTATGATTTTTTTTTTTTTTTACTTTAAAGCCCAATAAATATAGTATATACAGTTTTTCATTGAACTAACATGTTTTTGTCATTTAATGTTTTCCGTGCTCAAATAGTTTATTTCATATATAGAATTATACTTCATGTGCTAAGTTTTTCATTATCACAATAATTAATATGTTTTTAAGATTGCACATCAATTATGAAATAAACTATCTAAGCTTAAACCTGAAAATTCCTTTTTATCTTAGATATTCCAATTTACAATATTTCGAGAAACGATATTGTACATTTTAAAATTTTAAATAAAGTTATCAGATCAATACTAATTAAAAACTACTATTTATTGGGCCATCGTTCAATTTTTTTTTTGTTCCCTTTAAGTGTTTTATTTTTTTAATATCATACCATTTTTTTTTTTGCTTCACTGTTATAACGTTGCTTTTTAACACGGCTTACAGTTTTACATAAGACACTAATTATTAATTTACCCCCGCAATATATGTTAATGCTTGTAAAAGAGTATACGTTTTATTTTAATTATATAATTTGCTGAATTATTTTTGATGGCCCTTTATTAGTAGTTGATGCAATTAATAGAAGCTTAACCCATTCGTCGTATAAGACATTAAAAACAAAAGCAACTAATTTAAAATATTATACAGCGAGCTGAAATAGTTTACACTGTAAAGGTACATACTGAACCTAAAATAACATGACATAAGGTCAGCTTAGTCATCGAAAAAAAAAATCTGATACCGAAGACATACTAATAGGTAATCTACATTCAAGTATAAGATCCTCATGAAAGTAATACAACAAATTTCAAACAAGACTTGTAAACATAGTATTAGAAACTAAGTTAGGTAAGTATAATGAATGTAGGACACAGTTTGTATCCCTCTTCAATTTTTACAAAGGTATAATAAGTTAAATCTTATATGTTTGCCTTAAATATCTACAAGTCTATACAAAGCTGAAGAAACTAAGACTTCCTGAATAAAATGACAAAACAAGAAAAACGTCGCAAATGGTTGAAAATATACTTTCATTATGTATCACAGAAGATTTAGAAAGTAATACTTAGCAAATGTATACTTACATAGTTATAATTATGATATTATGTGTACAACTGTAATTTGTAACAAACATAATTACATCGAGTGTTCCAAAATGATATACAAAGGTAAAAAAGAGAATTAAACTACACATATTTTGTTAGCACGTTAAGTCCTCAAAAGTCTGCTATTCTTTCATGTACGCTATAAAATAATTTATCAAGACTTATTTTGATTGAAGGAAGAATGCGTGATTGAAACATTCCGTCAAAAACGTATTTTTAAACACATCACTAAAAATGGTAACTTTAACGATTACAATTTAATGGACCATGTCCAATTTACTATACGTTCATGACACTACTATATGTCGAATGGTTCATTAGACTTTAATGAAAGTCTATGCAACCAACATACATACAAAACAGCCAGACAGAATTTACCACTCCAATTACAATAATAATATACTTAAGTTAATAAACCTAAATAAATATTAATGTATAAAATGTCAAAAAATAATTCTTCGGTGGACTATTATATTAATATTTAACTACTTAATAAGACTACAGCATCATAGATAATAGGTCTTATACTGTCGTTTTAATTGAACTAAAAATGCAGGATATTATTATTACAGGATATCCGATATTCAACAACACGGTCTTCAGATCTAAAAAAAAAATTGTTCTGATTAATAAATACGACAAAACCCGGAATTTTTAGATAGGAAAAAATTCCGTTAAATATAGTCTTGGAACGGTTTCCAATGATATATTCTAGACATAAAAAACTAGTGCTTAACCGAAAGACTTTATTTTTTTATAAACAATAAACAAACGCTTTTTTTATTTAAATAAATACATAAACTTTTAGAGTTCACCATTTTACTTAATTTGATCCAAAAATTCTTCGATTAAGCACCTTATACCTAGAATATGATGTATGAATTTCATTGGAATCCGTCTAGTGATTTTTAAAATATAGTGGTCACCGTCAACAACCAAGCAGATAACTTGGCCCAGACTTCGTATTTTGATTTGAAATTCATATACAATTTTTTTCGAGTATAGTGTAAAAACTTGGTATTATATTTAAAACAAAAAACATTATACAACAGTTGAAACAAATTGTTATATAATTGTTAAATTGCCTATTTTTTCAACTTACTGATTAAACATAACCCCTTAAATGTGCAAGTGCACTACTGCAACCATAAGATACACCACTTAATAATACTGAACGCAAAAGCGAGAACGGTTTGATACTGGCCTCGAAAACCGTTGAACATAATTATTGTTCCTAACGTTGAAGTTTGGGATTTTCACAGGCTCAACCAATTCCTCCGGAATTGACGATTAAACTGTTGGGCAATCGAGTGGCCGTTTCACCGATAGTTACCGTGGAACCGAGACGACGGAAATTCCACAAGCCCATCACTTTGACATTACCTTTGCCACAGGCAGCATCCAAAGGCATGATCAACCATTACACGGGAGACGCACCAACACTACGGTTACTCTGCAGCATAACAGGTGGGCAAAAGCTACGAATTGAATTTATGTTTATTGCAAAGCCGTTTCCGTCCTATTTTCAACAACCTTTTGCATCCAATATAATATAATACAATAACTTGGTTGTGTATTACAAATATGATTGATTGTCGAAAAAAAAAACACTAAACTTTTGTACAAATTTGTTATGTAAATTTATTTAAAATGTACATTTTTCGATTAAAACCAGTTTTTATTTTTGGCTCTCGCTGTTGCGTAATACAACACGATACTGCACTCTTTTGACAGGGTTGTTTGGGAAAAGATCTCGCAAAGGTAATCAACTAAAGAAATCAAATACATATTTTATAACAATATTAGATATTAATTATGACTTCACCAAACTTATTACTTATTTCTTTTCGACACCCTCGTTTATTTTGTTTATTTCTTTAAGCTAATACTATTTTTATTATATATCTATGGTTTAGATACATTTTGTACATACCGTCTAAAAATAAAAATCCATTTCGTTTAAGTGTGTGAACATGATTTTCAACATTATACCTTGAACAAAGTAAATTGCATGGTTCATTAACTAGTTGAACTTTTCACGGTTAATTATTAAAAATGTAATAGTGTACGTTTCATTACTTCAGTATCGCCATAATAGTGACCATCTTTAATCGTTAATCTCCGGCCATATTGTACAAATATATATTTAAAAAATATTATAGCCACTTTAAAGACATCTTTTTCATCAATAAATCGAATGGAATTTTAAATGAATTAAAAACTGTTTAGAAAACTCTTAATCTATTAATAAGTACGTGATCTTTTCTGAAACATATTAATGTATTATAAATGTAACTTAAGCTTTAGCTTCTGTAATATAAATAAACTTCTGTTGTCGAGTCTTCGAAAAAATGTTTTTTTCCTATTTAAACCGATCTCGTACTTAAGCTGCATTCATTGTAATTCAAACAGGAGGAACTTCCAGAGCTCAGTGGGAAGACGTAACTGGTTCGACACCTTTAACGTTTATAAACGACTGTGTGTCTTTTACTACGACAGTATCTGCTCGATTTTGGTTGATGGACTGCCGGAATGTGGCAGACGCATCGAAAATGGCGACGGAACTGTATCGCGAAGCGATTCACGTACCGTTTATGGCTAAGTAATATTAAACATGATAAATGTCCAGCAGAATATAGAATGAAAACTGATTTGTAAATACTCAATTGAAGGTTCGTGGTGTTTGCCAAGAGGACGGACGTGAACGAAGCCCGAATCAGACTGTTTTGCATGACTGACGATAGGGAAGATAAAACTCTAGAACACAAAGAACAATTCACCGAGGTTTCAAATAGCAGGGACGTAGAAGTAAAGACCTAAATCCGTAAGTTGTTTAATAAAATGTTTCAATGTTTTTTTTTTCTCAACTCGCCCTAGGTACTCGAAGGCAAACCGGTGTACATTGAGTTTGCTGGTAACCTAGTGCCCGTCACCAAGTCCGGCGAACAGCCCAAACTAGTAGTCCGAGCTTTCAAAGAAAACAGACTACCATTTACGATGCGCGTGAAAGATCCAACAGCAGAACCTCGATCGTGGACTATTATTATGAAAGAGCCAAAGGTGCGGTCGTTTACTTAAGGAATACTTCCAAATTCCTACAACAACCTTTTTATAAATGTACGACTATGTTGCAGGTTTCTAAGAACGAAGTATCCCAAACGCCAGTTTGTGTTTTACAATTTGCATTACCCGAAAATATTGTACCTGACACTGACATCAACGATGATGAACAATATAATTTCTCATACACACATGACTCTAGTAAGTACCCAATAAAAATATAACATTCGTTAATTACTAATATATGTTAAATTTATTCCAAAATAATTATTTTTAAGACCTGGAACCCAATAAACGCACTGAACTCAGGATAACTGATATAAGTAACTTTGTATCGGATGATTGGGTAAGTCTAGCGCATGAACTAGGGTTCCAATCAAATGAAATCGCTCAAATTAAAAAGGAATATCCAGAGAGCAGCAGTCAACAATGTATGAGCATGTTAAACCTTTGGATGAACGAAATTTCTGCACAAGATTCGGGTATGTTAATTTTATTAATAATACATTTCTATATTTACTACTTCAATATAAACATTGTTGAAATTGTCTTATTATTATTTAGTTTATGTCCATGTTTACGATGAAATATACTAATATCATAAGAAGATTTTCTTTCTGTTAAAACTTTTTTGTATTAACAATTTAAATAACTGATAACTAGAGAAATGTATAAAAAATATAAAATTCTTTCGTTTTTTCTAATAGTTTTTACTATTAATACAGTTACAGCATTAGAAAGTGCGTTGAGCAATATAGGACGTACAGATGTGGTAGAAAAATGTAATTTTGCAGAAATTGGACACTATCAAACCCAAAAACCTATTCATGCAGAGTCTAACCAACAACATAGTAATTATTTTTAAATTTACTTTATAGAGTTTTAGTTAATATTGCAATTCACCTAGGTTATCGTCCTGACGACAAGTACGCTGCCGAAGAAAAGGTGGTCATCGAAGATGAAATAACCAAAACGGTCACTGAGAGACGGATAGAAATTGAACAAAGAATTACTGGTGAGCCAGTGATTATTGAAAAGAAATCAGAACCACCAGTTAAGAAAGAACAAGATACCTCCACAAAAACTGAAGAGTTACCTGCTGAACCCATCGAACCAACTGAAGTTTCATTTGAACACAAAAGAATGTCGTTTGAACGAGGAGTGTCTATCGATCAAGTGCTACAAGAGGATATTCCAGTTAAGGAAAAACCAAAATCGTTAGAAGAAAAGAAAATGGAGTCAATTGAAGAACACGGACGTGATGTAGATGTGGATGCGACCAGTTTGACATTCCACGAGAAAAGACTTTCATTTGAACAAGGAATACCAGTTAAGGAAATTATACAAAAGAAAACCGAGGAAACTGTATCGGAAAATGTGGCCGAATGTACAAATGATCCAGAATGCTTAAGTGAAACTGAAAAATCTTTGACAAAGAGTGAAACAACGTCTTCGATGTATGAAAACGGTAAAACATATGAAATATACTGTTACTTGTTTGGTTAATGCATTAACTTATTACAGAGTATTATACAACATATTATTTAAATACGTTGTAGTCGTTATAACTTTAAATAGTAATATTGTTTTCAAAGTACATAACTTAACATGCATGTAAACCATATTACATCACCGATTTCTCGACAGTTAGGCGGGCTAAGACTTGAATTTTGGAAGGGAGTTAATGTCCCCTCTGCTTACCCCGATTCCACCTATGTTGAGAGTAGCATTAGTAGTAAATATTTCAATTTATTTGTTTACGAGTTAATATAATTATATTTAATGAACAATATTACTTATGTTTTTAGCTTTATCTTCTAACGGTGAATTATACGCTCTACGATTATTTCAGAAAATGCTTGAATAACAATCATAATATAATGAACTGAGAATAATTTTATTTTTTAGACGACATAATTCCTGACCTAAAACCAGAGACAACCAGCGGTATTGATCGAAGCGATCAAGATAAAGCTGAAAAGAAAAGACGAGATTCGACGTTATTAGAAGAAGTGACTCAAGGCTTAGAGAAATTGGATGCGTCCGGTCTGAATGTAGAAGAAAAAAGTAGGGTTCATAATATTTATATGTTGGAATTGAAGTACATAATCGTACGCATTTATAGCTGCTCTACTGACGCCACAATCTTCCAAAACTCCACCACCCAGCCCAGCAGATTTTAAGGATATACAGCGAAAATCATCAGAAGAAATAGTTATTTCAAAAGAAGTTATAGAGCCCACAGGTAAGCACTGTAGAACGCACTAGAAAAATTATTGTTTGCGATTTTACTTACTTAAAAGTTTACAAATAACTACGCTAGCCGAAATTTGTTGCATACATACCATTTCACTTTTAAAGTATTATTGAATTTCCGAACACTTCAAGTTATTAAATGTAGGTCGACAAGAGTTTATGGTGTAGTTTAAGGTTTCTTTTGGAACAATGGCTTCTGCCATCCGTTAACGCAATAATCAGATTACGTTTCGACAAACAACCACAAGTGGCAGGAGGGGGGTATATTGTCGGTATTAGTCGAGCTGTGACGAGAACGTCAATTCTAGAAAATATTGTATTTAGTTTTTCACTAGAGACTCGTAAAGGACATATTAACAAATCAAATTTAAAAAGATAAATGTTCATAGGTACAACAAAATCGTAAGTACTAAATTTTATAAAATACAATTGTATTTGTTAAAATATGAAGAGATTAAAGCAATATCATTTACTATTATTCACCATGTAATAACATTATGATTATTCATTTAAAAATATAGATGATCAATTAATTTTTTTTAATATTTTATCCAACACCCACCTATGTTACGTTAAATAAATTTTTATTTTTATGACGATTTAAAAATTAAAAATAATTACAACAAAATTCGGCTTGCGTTTGTAGGTACCTCTGAGTAATAAATACTAATTTTTAAACACAGAATAAATTCAAGAGTAGATTTGTTCTGTAATTTAAAGTTTAAACACTTTAAAGTGATATTATATTTATTATAGTCTAGTAATTTTTTTGAATGAGTGACATGAACACGTGACACAAATAGTATATATATATTGTGTTGCAATTATTAAACTTTTATAATAGATAGGTTTCTTGAACACAAGAGCTAATAATACATTTTGCATAAAAAATAATAATCAGTTAATATGGACGTTTTGCAACACAATATTTCCTTTTGATCCTTCTATCATCATAAAACTACATTTATAAATCATTTCTTAGCAAATTTGAAATAATCAAAAACCAATTTTCGCTTGTGCAATATCTATGAAGAATTTATGGCTTTATTGTTTTCAGTTCATGGTATAGCATTTTTACATTAACATTTACAAATCATAAAAGATTACTTGATTATGAAAAATGTAATGATGTTATATATATTTTTTACTGCAATATGCTTATATGAAATGTCCGTTTTGTACTACTTTTCTGGGTTTTTTGTGTAAAAAATGTACCTGTTACGTTTGTTGTGGTGCTTTGATTTTTGTTCTGTTGTTTTTTAAAAATCAATAGCAAGCAAATTGCAGAAGCAAAACTAACAACATACAAGACGTTATTAAATTATTTACTAGGTACTTATTAAACTCTAATCATTACATTTTTAACCGGAAAAATATAATATAATATATTATAGACTATGATATACAGTATAAAGGATTTACCTCATAAAGTTAACTTAACATTAACTATAATATAATAGTAACTGTAACAACATAAATAATATAGGACTATACGACACTACAAAAATATTTATAATATAATATCCACATATTATTTTTCTTGCATTATTTTACTATATCATTTATTTGAAATACGCAAGACTTTATTTTAATTTTGAGTAACTCTAATATATTTACAAACTAAGTGTTTTAAAAATTGAAAAAGTTATATTTATAAAAATAACTAAATTATATGATTACTAATAATTAAACTATATTATATTATATAAAACTATATGTACAAATTTCGTAACTGTGTTGAACCAAATCCTAAAGTAAAAACAATTATAGATATTTTCAATACAAATGTTTTAGTAATTTAATATTAAATTGTCTTTTATGCTACTAAGAGTTGATGGTACAAATATTTTTAATTATTTCTTTTTTTAGGAAAAAACAAATTTTAAATGGAAAATAAAATGTTTTTAAACAAAAATCTAAATTATCTCTAAATATAATATATTTCCTTAACTATAAGATATCACCATAAATTGATGATATACTATAGATAGACAACAGTAATATAATAACTAACAATACAATTTCTAGTTAGATTTCTGGATTTCACTATGTTTTAAGTTATAATAATAACTTCTGAAATCCAAGAAAGGAGCATCAAATATTTGCACGGTTGTTGTCTATTTATACTATATATTTTAATCTATTACATTATGAACGTTATCTATACGCCATGACATACAATTTACATGAAAACTGAATACTGAAGTGTTACACTATAATGTATATAATTTGCCTGTTTAACGAAACTTCTATGGATTGAAAATGTTATAAATGTTTGATTGAGGAATTATGATTTAAATATTTTTAACCGTGGAATGGACTAAAAACGTCACAATAACTTTTTTTATGACAACAATATAAAACAACCCACCTAAAGTATTGTAACTGTTTATGAAAAACATTCATGGAAATCAAAGCACCATCGACACAACAAGAAAAACTACAGAAAAGTGAGAAACCAAGTCACGTTATATTATTTGCACAACTAAATTGCTGACGCTTCATTTCCGGAGTAGAATTTTGCTTAAGAATGAAGAGCTATATTATTACTATAATGTCTCGCTTTTTCGCGATATTTATATTTTATAACTAAAACACATTCACCAACATAAGCCCTATCATTTCACAATATATCCTTTGAACAAAATCGTTATGGCGTGTGTGGCTGTGTATAACTATAAAAAATAAAAAAACATTAGTGATATATTAATGTTTTGGACACAGCATCCTGGCCACAGGATAATGACGATTTGCTGGAGGTCCACGGTTTCGGTGAGCATTTTAATGGTATCGAAACGCCAAATTTGGCTAAATCAAAACACCCCAAATCATTGGCTGACATTGATGACGAATTTGAGGATCGGTCGGTTGTCATACACCCTATTTTTGATCAATTAAAAATTGACCCGAGAGAACAGTTACAAATTAACAAACGACTAGACGATTCGCCTGCATTTGATAGTCCACTAACGGATAAAAGCATATCTCATGTTGATACAGGAATAAGTTTAACAAGAGAATATTCTGATACGTTAACGAGTTCGGGATTTAAAACCAAACCTAAACAGGATACGCCCTTCGATGAAGAGGCCGAACTCACTGATTCTGGTCTTAGTCCAATTCAACCTGATGACGTCGGGCTTAATGCAAATGAAATATCAGATATTAAAAAGAAAATTGACATGTATGATGCTGCAAACAGTCCAATAACATTCTCTGAATCAGTTAGCCTTTCTCCTTTCGAATCAGAAACTACTGATGTGGCTACAATTACGGAAACAATACGCACAATAGACGTGGCTAATAGCCCCATAGAATATAAATGTCAAAGGCCCTCAGGCTCCAAAATTTACGACTTAGTGGAACATACTGTTTCAACGGATACAAGCACTAAGTGTACGTCTCAAATAGGAAGCCAACTGTTACAAATTGTCAATATAGAAAAAAAAATGTTGGAAAATATGAATAAAATAATTACACCTGATAATAAAAATGATGAAACTGACTTTGTAGTTAACTTAGATAAACAAATTATAACTCAGAAAAACAGTGATACGCCTGAAATATTGAAATCTATCCAAATGGATATCGCTGCACCAAAAGATGAAACTGAGGTAAAAAAAGAAGTTGAAGAGATCATTACCAAAACAATAATAGATACAGGAGATAAGAAAATAGAAGATATAAAAACCTCGCAAAGTAATAAGAAAACAATCAAAGCGCTAAAAGCCATAATTGACATAGAAGAAACAGAACAAAATGAAATACATGATAGGTTAATGAAAACGAATAAACTAATCACAGATTTAGAAGTCAACAAAATACCTGTAATAGAAAAAATAATTGTTCCGAAATTCATTAAAACTTCTACTGTTAATGAACAATCTGATGAGCTGGATCCATCATACATCAAGTTTAGCAGCGATAATGAATATAATACAATTTATTTATTACCAGAAAATAATAAAAACAGTAATAAAAGTGACAATACTAAAGGCGGCCTAGAATATAATACAGCAAAAACAGCTAGTAATCCAGTTAGTATTTTTGAAGATGAAGATGAAGAACAGGAATCTGAAATTTTCGAAAAATTTACAAAAAAACACCTAAAAAAAACGGTTGACTTAGCTAGAGTGGATGACAACAGGGGTAAAAGTGAAAAAGACGAGAATCAAGATGAAAATGCAGTTATGGTTAATAAAAATGAAAATGAGTTAAAATGTACTAGCGTGGGAGAAAAATCACATAAAAGTGTTTCAAAAACTATAGAGAAAGGTTTAAAAGATATTACAAAAACACTCACTAGTATTGTTAAGACAATGGACGTAAAAGAGAGTTCAACTAAAAGTAAAGGAAAAGAGAAAGAGAAAGAAAAAGAGAGTGTAGATTACGATTTTAAAAAAAGTTTGCATAAAGAAAATCTCTCGTTTGAAATAACAGAAACACCCTTTTCAAAAGATTCATTAGATATGGGCTTATCCGACTCAGCAGGTACAAAAACTACTTACCAAAATAAATTCAAAGGCTTAACGCACACTCCTGATAATTCATTACTATCCAATGAACCTGATAGAAGTATGAATGAAAAAATTGAAGTGCAAACTCCAGTAGACAACATTTCTAAAAAAAACAATATAATATGGGTAGTTAATGAAGGTAACCAAAATGAACAAAAACAAACAACTAATACTACATTAAAAACTAAACCGACAAAAACTGACTACTTAACATTGCATACAACTGTAGCTAATATTCCCAAAGGAATTGTACGTCACAAAGATGTAAGGGATGGTCAAAAAATCTATCTTGAAGATTACTTAAAACAGGATTTTAAAAACGAACTCACCAAAGATACTTGTACAACTGAACAGACACCATTTAATAATTCTAAAATAATGAATATAGAATTAACAAAACAATCAGATAAAAAGGAACTTTATGTTAAAAAAGAAGAAACATTTGTCGACATTCAAACACATAAAATAATAAAAGAAAATAAGGATGAATGTACTAAAGAAAACTGTAGTAAAAGTAACACAAATAAAATTACAAAGAAACAATTAATCAAAACCGCATCATTAGAAAAGGAAGTTGTAGAAGACGAGTCTAAGTCCCTTGACCATTTCATATTATGTGACCCAAAAAAAAGAGAAATTATACCCGACAACTACTCAACTAAAACATCTAATATACATAAAACTGGCACAGTAACAACAATAACCAATAATACAATAGAGATACAAAATAATGTATTCAAATCAGTAACAGAAAGCTTAATAGAAACAAAAACACCGACAGTTTCGAAAGAGCCAACTCCCGACGCGACAAATATTACTGAAACTACCCCTAAATTTGATATTTCCTCCGATACTAAAAGAACATCTGAATTAAAAACAATTAAGGATACCACTGATAAAGTGGTTTCTGAACATTCCTTATCTGCTACAGTTTCAGTAATGTCCACCCCTGACACAAAAGATACAACTAAGACTTCCTCTATCTCTGACAAACTTAAAGATATCAAAATGATATCTGAAATAACATCTAAAGAAGTCACCTCTGATAAAATCGCTTCTGAACATTCCTTGTCACCGACAGTTTCGTTAGAGTCAACTTCCGAAGCGACAGATATTACTGAAACTACCCCTAAATTTGATATTTACTCCGATACTAAAAGAACATCTGAATTAAAAACAATTAAAGATACCACTGATAAAGTGGTTTCTGAACATTCCTTATCTGCTACAGTTTCAGTAGTGTCCACCCCTGACACAAAAGATACAACTGAGACTTCCTCTATCTCTGACAAACTTCAAGATATCAACATGATACCTAAAATAACAACAAAAGAGGACTCCTCTGATAAAATAGCTTCTGAACTTTCCTTGTCACCGACAGTTTCGAAAGAGCCAACTCCTGACGCGACAGATATTACTGAAACTACCCCTAAATTTGATATTTACTCCGATACTAAAAGAACATCTGAATTAAAAACAATTAAAGATACCACTGATAAATTGGTTTCTGAACATTCCTTATCTGCTACAGTTTCAGTAGTGTCCACCCCTGACACAAAAGATACAACTGAGACTTCCTCTATCTCTGACAAACCTAAAGATATCAAAATGATATCTGAAATTACATCTGAAGAAGTCACCTCTGATAAAATAGCTTCTGAACTTTCCTTGTCACCGACAGTTTCGAAAGAGCCAACTCCTGACGCGACAGATATTACTGAAACTACCCCTAAATTTGATATTTACTCCGATACTAAAAGAACACCTGAATTAAAAACAATTAAAGATACCACTGATAAAGTGGTTTCTGAACATTCCTTATCTGCTACAGTTTCAGTAGTGTCCACCCCTGACACAAAAGATACAACTGAGACTTCCTCTATCTCTGACAAACCTAAAGATATCAAAATGATACCTAAAATAACAAAAAAAGAGGACTCCTCTGATAAAATAGCTTCGGAACTTTCCTTGTCACCGACAGTTTCGAAAGAGCCAACTCCTGACGCGACAGATATTACTGAAACTACCCCTAAATTTGATATTTCCTCCGATACTAAAAGAACATCTGAATTAAAAACAATTAAGGATACTACTGATAAAGTGGTTTCTGAACATTCCTTATCTGCTACAGTTTCAGTAATGTCCACCCCTGACACAAAAGATACAACTAAGACTTCCTCTATCTCTGACAAACTTAAAGATATCAAAATGATATCTGAAATAACATCTAAAGAAGTCACCTCTGATAAAATCGCTTCTGAACATTCCTTGTCACCGACAGTTTCGTTAGAGTCAACTCCCGAAGCGACAGATATTACTGAAACTACCCCTAAATTTGATATTTACTCCGATACTAAAAGAACATCTGAATTAAAAACAATTAAAGATACCACTGATATAGTGGTTTCTGAACATTCCTTATCTGCTATAGTTTCAGTAGTGTCCACCCCTGACACAAAAGATACAACTGAGACTTCCTCTACCTCTGACAAAACTAAATATATCAAAATGATATCTGAATTTACATCTGAAGAAGTCACCTCTGATAAAATAGCTTCTGAACTTTCCTTGTCACCGACAGTTTCGAAAGAGCCAACTCCCGACGCGACAGATATTACTGAAACTACCCCTAAATTTGATATTTACTCCGATACTAAAAGAACATCTGAATTAAAAACAATTAAAGATACCACTGATATAGTAGTTTCTGAACATTCCTTATCTGCTACAGTTTCAGTAGTGTCCACCCCTGACACAAAAGATACAACTGAGACTTCCTCTATCTCTGACAAACCTAAAGATATCAACATGATACCTAAAATAACAAAAAAAGAGGACTCCTCTGATAAAATAGCTTCTGAACTTTCCTTGTCACCGACAGTTTTGAAAGAGCCAACTCCTAACGCGACAGATATTACTGAAACTACCCCTAAATTTGATATTTACCCCGATACTAAAAGAACATCTGAATTAAAAACAATTAAAGATACCACTGATATAGTGGTTTCTGAACATTCCTTATCTGCTACAGTTTCAGTAGTGTCCACCCCTGACACAAAAGATACAACTGAGACTTCCTCTATCTCTGACAAACTTCAAGATATCAACATGATACCTAAAATAACAAAAAAAGAGGACTCCTCTGATAAAATAGCTTCTGAACTTTCCTTGTCACCGACAGTTTCGAAAGAGCCAACTCCTGACGCGACAGATATTACTGAAACTACCCCTAAATTTGATATTTACTCCGATACTAAAAGAACATCTGAATTAAAAACAATTATGGATACCACTGATATAGTGGTTTCTGAACATTCCTTATCTGCTACAGTTTCAGTAGTGTCCACCCCTGACACAAAATATACAACTGAAACTTCCTCTATCTCTGACAAACCTCAAGATATCAACATGATACCTAAAATAACAACAAAAGAGGATTCCTCTGATAAAATAGCTTCTGAACTTTCCTTGTCACCGACAGTTTCGTTAGAGTCAACTCCCGAAGCGACAGATATTACTGAAACTACCCCTAAATTTGATATTTACTCCGATACTAAAAGAACATCTGAATTAAAAACAATTAAGGATACCACTGATATAGTGGTTTCTGAACATTCCTTATCTGCTACAGTTTCAGTAGTGTCCACCCCTGACACAATATATACAACTGAAACTTCCTCTATCTCTGACAAACCTCAAGATATCAACATGATACCTAAAATAACAAAAAAAGAGGACTCCTCTGATAAAATAGCTTTTGAACTTTCCTTGTCACCGACAGTTTCGAAAGAGCCAACTCCTGACGCGACAGATATTACTGAAACTACCCCTAAATTTGATATTTACTCCGATACTAAAAGAACATCTGAATTAAAAACAATTAAAGATACCACTGATAAAGTGGTTTCTGAACATTCCTTATCTGCTACAGTTTCAGTAGTGTCCACCCCTGACACAAAAGATACAACTGAGACTTTCTCTATCTCTGACAAACCTAAAGATATCAAAATGATATCTGAAATTACATCTGAAGAAGTCACCTCTGATAAAATAGCTTCTGAACTTTCCTTGTCACCGACAGTTTCGTTAGAGTCAACTCCCGAAGCGACAGATATTACTGAAACTACCCCTAAATTTGATATTTACTCCGATACTAAAAGAACATCTGAATTAAAAACAATTATGGATACCACTGATATAGTGGTTTCTGAACATTCCTTATCTGCTACAGTTTCAGTAGTGTCCACCCCTGACACAAAAGATACAACTGAGACTTCCTCTATCTCTGACAAACCTAAAGATATCAACATGATACCTAAAATAACAAAAAAAGAGGACTCCACTGATAAAATAGCTTCTGAACTTTCCTTGTCACCGACAGTTTCGAAAGAGCCAACTCCTGACGCGACAGATATTACTGAAACTACCCCTAAATTTGATATTTACTCCGATACTAAAAGAACATTTGAATTAAAAACAATTAAAGATACCACTGATATAGTGGTTTCTGAACATTCCTTATCTGCTACAGTTTCAGTAGTGTCCACCCCTGACACAAAAGATACAACTGAGACTTCCTCTATCTCTGACAAACCTAAAGATATCAATATGATATCTGAAATTACATCTGAAGAAGTCACATCTGATAAAATAGCTTCAGAACTTTCCTTGTCACCGACAGTTTCGAAAGATCCAACTCCTGACGCGACAGATATTACTGAAACTACCCCTAAATTTGATATTTACTCCGATACTAAAAGAACATCTGAATTAAAAACAATTAAAGATACCACTGATAAAGTGGTTTCTGAACATTCCTTATCTGCTACAGTTTCAGTAGTGTCCACCCCTGACACAAAAGATACAACTGAGACTTCCTCTATCTCTGACAAACCTAAAGATATCAAAATGATATCTGAAATTACATCTGAAGAAGTCAACTCTGATAAAATAGCTTCTGAACTTTCCTTGTCACCGACAGTTTCGTTAGAGTCAACTCCCGAAGCGACAGATATTACTGAAACTACCCCTAAATTTGATATTTACTCCGATACTAAAAGAACATCTGAATTAAAAACAATTAAAGATACCACTGATAAAGTGGTTTCTGAACATTCCTTATCTGCTACAGTTTCAGTAGTGTCCACCCCTGACACAAAAGATACAACTGAGACTTCCTCTATCTCTGACAAACTTCAAGATATCAACATGATACCTAAAATAACAAAAAAAGAGGACTCCTCTGATAAAATAGCTTCTGAACATTCCTTGTCACCGACAGTTTCGAAAGAGCCAACTCCTGACGCGACAGATATTACTGAAACTACCCCTAAATTTGATATTTACTCCGATACTAAAAGAACATCTGAATTAAAAACAATTAAAGATACCACTGATAAAGTGGTTTCTGAACATTCCTTATCTGCTACAGTTTCAGTAGTGTCCACCCCTGACACAAAAGATACAACTGAGACTTCCTCTATCTCTGACAAACCTAAAGATATCAAAATGATATCTGAAATTACATCTGAAGAAGTCACATCTGATAAAATAGCTTCTGAACTTTCCTTGTCACCGACAGTTTCGTTAGAGTCAACTCCCGAAGAGACAGATATTACTGAAACTATCCCTAAATTTGATATTTACTCCGATACTAAAAGAACATCTGAATTAAAAACAATTAAAGATACCACTGATATAGTGGTTTCTGAACATTCCTTATCTGCTACAGTTTCAGTAGTGTCCACCCCTGACACAAAAGATACAACTGAGACTTCCTCTATCTCTGACAAACCTAAAGATATCAACATGATACCTAAAATAACAAAAAAAGAGGACTCCTCTGATAAAATAGCTTCTGAACTTTCCTTGTCACCGACAGTTTCGAAAGAGCCAACTCCTGACGCGACAGATATTACTGTAACTACCCCTAAATTTGATATTTACTCCGATACTAAAAGAACATCTGAATTAAAAACAATTAAAGATACCACTGATATAGTGGTTTCTGAACATTCCTTATCTGCTACAGTTTCAGTAGTGTCCACCCCTGACACAAAAGATACAACTGAGACTTCCTCTATCTCTGACAAACCTAAAGATATCAAAATGATATCTGAAATTACATCTGAAGAAGTCACATCTGATAAAATAGCTTCAGAACTTTCCTTGTCACCGACAGTTTCGAAAGAGCACACTCCTGACGCGACAGATATTACTGAAACTACCCCTAAATTTGATATTTACTCCGATACTAAAAGAACATCTGAATTAAAAACAATTAAAGATACCACTGATAAAGTGGTTTCTGAACATTCCTTATCTGCTACAGTTTCAGTAGTGTCCACCCCTGACACAAAAGATACAACTGAGACTTCCTCTATCTCTGACAAACCTAAAGATATCAAAATGATATCTGAAATTACATCTGAAGAAGTCACATCTGATAAAATAGCTTCTGAACTTTCCTTGTCACCGACAGTTTCGTTAGAGTCAACTCCCGAAGAGACAGATATTACTGAAACTATCCCTAAATTTGATATTTACTCCGATAATAAAAGAACATCTGAATTAAAAACAATTAAAGATACCACTGATATAGTGGTTTCTGAACATTCCTTATCTGCTACAGTTTCAGTAGTGTCCACCCCTGACACAAAAGATACAACTGAGACTTCCTCTATCTCTGACAAACCTAAAGATATCAACATGATACCTAAAATAACAAAAAAAGAGGACTCCTTTGATAAAATAGCTTCTGAACTTTCCTTGTCACCGACAGTTTCGAAAGAGCCAACTCCTGACGCGACAGATATTACTGAAACTATCCCTAAATTTGATATTTACTCCGATACTAAAAGAACATCTGAATTAAAAACAATTAAAGATACCACTGATATAGTGGTTTCTGAACATTCCTTATCTGCTACAGTTTCAGTAGTGTCCACCCCTGACACAAAAGATACAACTGAGACTTCCTCTATCTCTGACAAACCTAAAGATATCAACATGATACCTAAAATAACAAAAAAAGAGGACTCCTCTGATAAAATAGCTTCTGAACTTTCCTTGTCACCGACAGTTTCGAAAGAGCCAACTCCTGACGCGACAGATATTACTGTAACTACCCCTAAATTTGATATTTACTCCGATACTAAAAGAACATCTGAATTAAAAACAATTAAAGATACCACTGATATAGTGGTTTCTGAACATTCCTTATCTGCTACAGTTTCAGTAGTGTCCACCCCTGACACAAAAGATACAACTGAGACTTCCTCTATCTCTGACAAACCTAAAGATATCAAAATGATATCTGAAATTACATCTGAAGAAGTCACATCTGATAAAATAGCTTCAGAACTTTCCTTGTCACCGACAGTTTCGAAAGAGCACACTCCTGACGCGACAGATATTACTGAAACTACCCCTAAATTTGATATTTACTCCGATACTAAAAGAACATCTGAATTAAAAACAATTAAAGATACCACTGATAAAGTGGTTTCTGAACATTCCTTATCTGCTACAGTTTCAGTAGTGTCCACCCCTGACACAAAAGATACAACTGAGACTTCCTCTATCTCTGACAAACCTAAAGATATCAAAATGATATCTGAAATTACATCTGAAGAAGTCACCTCTGATAAAATAGCTTCTGAACTTTCCTTGTCACCGACAGTTTCGTTAGAGTCAACTCCCGAAGCGACAGATATTACTGAAACTACCCCTAAATTTGATATTTACTCCGATACTAAAAGAACATCTGAATTAAAAACAATTAAAGATACCACTGATAAAGTGGTTTCTGAACATTCCTTATCTGCTACAGTTTCAGTAGTGTCCACCCCTGACACAAAAGATACAACTGAGACTTCCTCTATCTCTGACAAACTTCAAGATATCAACATGATACCTAAAATAACAAAAAAAGAGGACTCCTCTGATAAAATAGCTTCTGAACTTTCCTTGTCACCGACAGTTTCGAAAGAGCCAACTCCTGACGCGACAGATATTACTGAAACTACCCCTAAATTTGATATTTACTCCGATACTAAAAGAACATCTGAATTAAAAACAATTATGGATACCACTGATATAGTGGTTTCTGAACATTCCTTATCTGCTACAGTTTCAGTAGTGTCCACCCCTGACACAAAATATACAACTGAAACTTCCTCTATCTCTGACAAACCCCAAGATATCAACATGATACCTAAAATAACAACAAAAGAGGATTCCTCTGATAAAATAGCTTCTGAACTTTCCTTGTCACCGACAGTTTCGTTAGAGTCAACTCCCGAAGCGACCGATATTACTGAAACTACCCCTAAATTTGATATTTACTCCGATACTAAAAGAACATCTGAATTAAAAACAATTAAGGATACCACTGATATAGTGGTTTCTGAACATTCCTTATCTGCTACAGTTTCAGTAGTGTCCACCCCTGACACAAAATATACAACTGAAACTTCCTCTATCTCTGACAAACCTCAAGATATCAACATGATACCTAAAATAACAAAAAAAGAGGACTCCTCTGATAAAATAGCTTTTGAACTTTCCTTGTCACCGACAGTTTTGTTAGAGTCAACTCCCGAAGCGACAGATATTACTGAAACTACCCCTAAATTTGATATTTACTCCGATACTAAAAGAACATCTGAATTAAAAACAATTATGGATACCACTGATATAGTGGTTTCTAAACATTCCTTATCTGCTACAGTTTCAGTAGTGTCCACCCCTGACACAAAAGATACAACTGAGACTTCCTCTATCTCTGACAAACCTAAAGATATCAAAATGATATCTGAAATTACATCTGAAGAAGTCACATCTGATAAAATAGCTTCTGAACTTTCCTTGTCACCGACAGTTTCGAAAGAGCCAACTCCTGACGCGACAGATATTACTGAAACTACCCCTAAATTTGATATTTACTCCGATACTAAAAGAACATCTGAATTAAAAACAATTAAAGATACCACTAATAAAGTGGTTTCTGAACATTCCTTATCTGCTACAGTTTCAGTAATGTCCACTCCTGACACAAAAGATACAACTGAGACTTCCTCTATCTCTGACAAACCTAAAGATATCAAAATGATATCTGAAATTACATCTGAAGAAGTCACCTCTGATAAAATAGCTTCTGAACTTTCCTTGTCACCGACAGTTTCGAAAGAGCCAACTCCCGACGCGACAGATATTACTGAAACTACCCCTAAATTTGATATTTACTCCGATACTAAAAGAACATCTGAATTAAAAACAATAAAAGATACCACTGATAAAGTGGTTTCTGAACATTCCTTATCTGCTACAGTTTCAGTATTGTCCACCCCTGACACAAAAGATACAACTGAGACTTCCTCTATCTCTGACAAACTTCAAGATATCAACATGATACCTAAAATTACAACAAAAGAGGATTCCTCTGATAAAATAGCTTCTGAACTTTCCTTGTCACCGACAGTTTCAAAAGAGCCAACTCCTGACGCGACAGATATTACTGAAACTACCCCTAAATTTGATATTTACTCCGATACTAAAAGAACATCTGAATTAAAAACAATTAAAGATACCACTGATAAAGTGGTTTCTGAACATTCCTTATCTGCTACAGTTTCAGTAGTGTCCACCCCTGACACAAAAGATACAACTGGGACTTCCTCTATCTCTGACACACCTAAAGATATCAAAATGATATCTGAAATTACATCTGAAGAAGTCACCTCTGATAAAATAGCTTCTGAACTTTCCTTGTCACCGACAGTTTCGTTAGAGTCAACTCCCGAAGCGACAGATATTACTGAAACTACCCCTAAATTTGATATTTACTCCGATACTAAAAGAACATCTGAATTAAAAACAATTATGGATACCACTGATATAGTGGTTTCTGAACATTCCTTATCTGCTACAGTTTCAGTAGTGTCCACCCCTGACACAAAATATACAACTGAAACTTCCTCTATCTCTGACAAACCTCAAGATATCAACATGATACCTAAAATAACAACAAAAGAGGATTCCTCTGATAAAATAGCTTCTGAACTTTCCTTGTCACCGACAGTTTCGAAAGAGCCAACTTCCGAAGCGACAGATATTACTGAAACTACCCCTAAATTTGATATTTACTCCGATACTAAAAGAACATCTGAATTAAAAACAATTATGGATACCACTGATATAGTGGTTTCTGAACATTCCTTATCTGCTACAGTTTCAGTAGTGTCCACCCCTGACACAAAAGATACAACTGAGACTTCCTCTATCTCTGACAAACTTCAAGATATCAACATGATACCTAAAATAACAAAAAAAGAGGACTCGTCTGATAAAACAGCTTCTGAACTTTCCTTGTCACCGACAGTTTCGAAAGAGCCAACTCCTGACGCGACAGATATTACTGAAACTACCCCTAAATTTGATATTTACTCCGATACTAAAAGAACATCTGAATTAAAAACAATTAAAGATACCACTGATATAGTGGTTTCTGAACATTCCTTATCTGCTACAGTTTCAGTAGTGTCCACCCCTGACACAAAAGATACAACTGAGACTTCCTCTATCTCTGACAAACCTAAAGATATCAAAATGATATCTGAAATTACATCTGAAGAAGTCACCTCTGATAAAATAGCTTCTGAACTTTCCTTGTCACCGACAGTTTCGAAAGAGCCAACTCCTGACGCGACAGATATTACTGAAACTACCCCTAAATTTGATATTTACTCCGATACTAAAAGAACATCTGAATTAAAAACAATTAAAGATACCACTGATAAAGTGGTTTCTGAACACTCCTTATCTGCTACATTTTCAGTATTATCCACCCCTGACACAAAAGATACAACTGAGACTTCCTCTATCTCTGACAAACTTCAAGATATCAACATGATACCTAAAATAACAAAAAAAGAGGACTCCTCTGATAAAATAGCTTCTGAACTTTCCTTGTCACTGACAGTTTCGAAAGAGCCAACTCCTGACGCGACAGATATTACTGAAACTACCCCTAAATTTGATATTTACTCCGATACTAAAAGAACATCTGAATTAAAAACAATTAAAGATACCACTGATAAATTGGTTTCTGAACATTCCTTATCTGCTACAGTTTCAGTAGTGTCCACCCCTGACATAAAAGATACAACTGAGACTTCCTCTATGTCTGACAAACCTAAAGATATCAAAATGATATCTGAAATTACATCTGAAGAAGTCACCTCTGATAAAATAGCTTCTGAACTTTCCTTGTCACCGACAGTTTCGAAAGAGCCAACTCCTGACGCGACAGATATTACTGAAACTACCCCTAAATTTGATATTTACTCCGATACTAAAAGAACATCTGAATTAAAAACAATTAAAGATACCACTGATAAAGTGGTTTTTGAACACTCCTTATCTGCTACAGTTTCAGTATTATCCACCCCTGACACAAAAGATACAACTGAGACTTCCTCTATCTCTGACAAACTTCAAGATATCAACATGATACCTAAAATAACAAAAAAAGAGGACTCCTCTGATAAAATAGCTTCTGAACTTTCCTTGTCACTGACAGTTTCGAAAGAGCCAACTCCTGACGCGACAGATATTACTGAAACTACCCCTAAATTTGATATTTACTCCGATACTAAAAGAACATCTGAATTAAAAACAATTAAAGATACCACTGATAAAGTGGTTTCTGAACATTCCTTATCTGCTACAGTTTCACTAGTGTCCACCCCTAACACAAAAGATACAACTGAGACTTCCTCTATCTCTGACAAACCTAAAGATATCAAAATGATATCTGAAATTACATCTGAAGAAGTCACCTCTGATAAAATAGCTTCTGAACTTTCCTTGTCACCGACAGTTTCGAAAGAGCCAACTCCTGACGCGACAGATATTACTGAAACTACCCCTAAATTTGATATTTACTCCGATACTAAAAGAACATCTGAATTAAAAACAATTAAAGATACCACTGATAAAGTGGTTTCTGAACATTCCTTATCTGCTACAGTTTCAGTAGTGTCCACCCCTGACACAAAAGATACAACTGAGACTTCCTCTATCTCTGACAAACCTAAAGATATCAAAATGATATCTGAAATTACATCTGAAGAAGTCACCTCTGATAAAATCGCTTCTGAACATTCCTTGTCACCGACAGTTTTGATAGAGTCAACTCCCGACGCGACAGATATTACTGAAACTACCCCCAAATTTGATATTACCTCCGATACTAAAAGAACATCTGAATTAAAAACAATTATGGATACCACTGAAAAAGTGGTTTCTGAACATTCCTTATCTGCTACAGTTTCAGTAATGTCCACCCCTGACACAAAAGATACAACTGAGACTTCCTCTATCTCTGACAAACTTAAAGATATCAAAATGATATCTGAAATAACATCTAAAGAAGTCACCTCTGATAAAATAGCTTCTGAACTTTCCTTGTCACCGACAGTTTCGAAAGAGTCAACTCCCGAAGCGACAGATATTACTGAAACTACCCCTAAATTTGATATTTACTCCGATACTAAAAGAACATCTGAATTAAAAACAATTAAAGATACCACTGATATAGTGGTTTCTGAACACTCCTTATCTGCTACAGTTTCAGTAGTGTCCACCCCTGACACAAAAGATACAACTGAGACTTCCTCTATCTCTGACAAACCTAAAGATATCAAAATGATATCTGAAATTACATCTGAAGAAGTCACATCTGATAAAATAGCTTCTGAACTTTCCTTGTCACTGACAGTTTCGAAAGAGCCAACTCCTGACGCGACAGATATTACTGAAACTACCCCTAAATTTGATATTTACTCCGATACTAAAAGAACATCTGAATTAAAAACAATTAAAGATACCACTGATAAAGTGGTTTCTGAACATTCCTTATCTGCTACAGTTTCACTAGTGTCCACCCCTGACACAAAAGATACAACTGAGACTTCCTCTATCTCTGACAAACCTAAAGATATCAAAATGATATCTGAAATTACATCTGAAGAAGTCACCTCTGATAAAATAGCTTCTGAACTTTCCTTGTCACCGACAGTTTCGAAAGAGCCAACTCCTGACGCGACAGATATTACTGAAACTACCCCTAAATTTGATATTTACTCCGATACTAAAAGAACATCTGAATTAAAAACAATTAAAGATACCACTGATAAAGTGGTTTCTGAACATTCCTTATCTGCTACAGTTTCAGTAGTGTCCACCCCTGACACAAAAGATACAACTGAGACTTCCTCTATCTCTGACAAACCTAAAGATATCAAAATGATATCTGAAATTACATCTGAAGAAGTCACCTCTGATAAAATCGCTTCTGAACATTCCTTGTCACCGACAGTTTTGATAGAGTCAACTCCCGACGCGACAGATATTACTGAAACTACCCCAAATTTGATATTACCTCCGATACTAAAAGAACATCTGAATTAAAAACAATTATGGATACCACTGAAAAAGTGGTTTCTGAACATTCCTTATCTGCTACAGTTTCAGTAATGTCCACCCCTGACACAAAAGATACAACTGAGACTTCCTCTATCTCTGACAAACTTAAAGATATCAAAATGATATCTGAAATAACATCTAAAGAAGTCACCTCTGATAAAATCGCTTCTGAACATTCCTTGTCACCGACAGTTTCGTTAGAGTCAACTCCCGAAGCGACAGATATTACTGAAACTACCCCTAAATTTGATATTTCCTCTGATACTAAAAGAACATCTGAATTAAAAACAATTAAAGATACCACTGATATAGTGGTTTCTGAACATTCCTTATCTGCTACAGTTTCAATAGTGTCCACACCTGACACAAAAGATACAACTGAAACTTCCTCTATCTCTGACAAACCTCAAGATATCAACATGATACCTAAAATAACAACAAAAGAGGATTCCTCTGATAAAATAGCTTCTGAACTTTTCTTGTCACCGACAGTTTCGAAAGAGCCAACTCCTGACGCGACAGATATTACTGAAACTACCCCTAAATTTGATATTTACTCCGATACTAAAAGAACATCTGAATTAAAAACAATTAAAGATACCACTGATATAGTGGTTTCTGAACATTCCTTATCTGCTACAGTTTCAGTAGTGTCCACCCCTGACACAAAAGATACAACTGAGACTTCCTCTATCTCTGACAAACCTAAAGATATCAAAATGATATCTGAAATTACATCTGAAGAAGTCACATCTGATAAATTAGCTTCTGAACTTTCCTTGTCACCGACAGTTTCGTTAGAGTCAACTCCCGAAGCGACAGATATTACTGAAACTACCCCTAAATTTGATATTTACTCCGATACTAAAAGAACATCTGAATTAAAAACAATTAAAGATACCACTGATATAGTGGTTTCTGAACATTCCTTATCTGCTACAGTTTCAGTAGTGTCCACCCCTGACACAAAAGATACAACTGAGACTTCCTCTATCTCTGACAAACTTCAAGATATCAACATGATACCTAAAATAACAAAAAAAGAGGACTCGTCTGATAAAATAGCTTCTGAACTTTCCTTGTCACCGACAGTTGTTACTGGAACATCTTTTATTTCTGTAAAATTACAGGATTTTAAAATAAAAAATGACATTAAAGAAATATCTGAAAAACATTTCAATGATGATAACACCAATGACACTATGTTGATATTCGACCATAAAGAGGTTGATAATGTCCAGAAAGTTTCTACGAGTATTACAACAGAAAATCTATTGGAAACTAAAACTTCTAAAGCGGAAACGCTCTTAGAAATTAGTAAAGTACTTAAACCGGACGATTTTATTGACAATCTTACATTACAGTCTCCTCATTCTTTTTCCCCTTCAGTGTTAGAGTCCATTATTGACGCTCAAGATTTAACTGAAACATCCCTTACTTCTGACAAATCTCAGATCATAAAAATAACTGATGGCATTAAAGAAACATCTGAAAAACATTTAGACGATGATCAATCTTTTAATACTAAATGTTCATCTCAAACCAAAGTTTTAGATAATGAACAAAAATTGTCCACTAGTATTATTTCACTGAAAAGCCCATTTAAAACTAAAACTTGGGTTGAAGAAAAACCATTGGAAGTAACAAAAATGTTTAGTAATGTCGATTTATTAGACCGTAGAAATGAACTTTCTGATGTTTCTTTGTTACCAACTGGTTCAGTCCAAACTATACACTACACTGACGAATTAAATAAAACGCTTTTGACGGATGATTTATCATCTCTAACTGCTTGTTCCAATACCGAACATACTGATCATATCTGTTCTACTAGTTTAAATAATCAAGTTACTATTAACAAACCAATTCAGATTATTTGGGAAGTATCAAAATCTCCAGGCTTGAGATCCGGTATAACTCTATTAGAGGATGAAAATAAACTGAAAGATTTGGAGTGTAAGGTTTCAGACGATACTGTGTATGATAATACTATGAAATCGGAATGTAGTGATGATATTAATGTTGTAGACAAAAGTAATGCGGTTTTCAAAAGTGACGTTCATAGTATGCCGGATTCGTTGTATGGATCAAACTATAATAGCGATTCATTGGTTAGCTCGGTTGGGTCACTATCATCTAAACTTGTTTCTGGTCAGACGTATATGGAAAAAAATGCAGTAGCGTGTAGGATTGAAAGTACCCCGATTTTGAGCTTAAGTGGTACAGGTAAAGCTAGTTTAAAACATGATTCAGCGTCTTTTAGCAGTTTTTCAAATACAAATACTTCTTCTAAGTCTTCATCTGGTCCTACAACATATCCATGTCCAGTAACTACTGATAAAATAAATATTTCAAAAACTAAGTACAAAAAAGAAACCCGCTCTTATATTAAAACAAAACCTGTATCAGACATTTCTGGGGATTTGGCGAAACATAAATTATCTTCCAGTAAACATTTACCGATTACAGCATCTAAAGTAGAATCAATTACGCGAAACACTGAAATAAAGAGGCCGCCTTTGCTTTCTAAACAAAGACATATCATTAGCCATGGTTCCAAATCTCTTGATTCTTCTAAAAAACTAAATGTAGGTTTAAATAAACCTGTTGTTGATCAAAGTTCTATTACAAAAATAAAAAACACCGAAATAAAAAAAGAAAAATCCTCATTTGAATCAGGTACAAAGGTCAAATTATCAACAAAGCTATCCGATGAATTAAAACCAAAATCTATAAAGTCTATTGATAATACAAACGTAAATACTGAAAAACCAATTACAAAAACATCAAATCAAACGAAAACTGTGAACAAAAAATCATCCCCCCTTAGTGGCTATTCGAAAATAGATTCTATCAGAGATAACAAATCAGCTGTAAAAATGAAGCAGAGTGCTGGGGCCTCCAAACCAGAAATAGAAAAGTTAATGAAAACATCAAATAACGAAAATCTAAAATTTCAACAAACAATATTGGTAACTGAAACAGCGCCTAAAAACAAAGCAAAGAGTTATATGGCATCAACAGAATCTCGTGATAGGAAATTAGAAACATCGAATCAAAAATCTATACATTCTTATAAGATGACAACAACTGTTTCATCAACAAGATCTAGTCAAATTGTAACCGACAAAAAATCAACAGTTTCCAAATCTTCATCTAGAGTATCGATTACGAAAGTTCAGAGTAAAATTCCTGTAAAAAGTTCGTTACCGCCATTGGACACAAAGTCGTCAGTCGTATCCGATTCTAGAGTTCTTAGCGCACCTTCGCGAAAAACCGCTTTTGAATTCCAATTGCCATCCAGTAAATTAAACCCATTATCGCTACCAGGGAGTCCGGCTCGTAGTACCAATAAGGCAAACTCTCAAATTAGATCAGTGTTTATAACATCAGAAGTATTCTCGAGTCCTTCGAACCGCGCTTCGTCAGTGGAATTAGTGTATGAACAACCGAACCGATCCCCTTGTTCATCAATGTCCGAACAACAGCCGGCTTCTATTACCGAATCAGTTTCGTTAGAGGATGTGGAAACAACTCAATCTTCGAACTCCGACAACGAACGGGTATCTGAGGTACATACTTGTAATATATAAATCCAAATACACATTTGTACGATTTACCAATAAACGTTTTCTATTAAATTCGTGTTATCAATTCTACAAATACGTGTTAATTAAATATTCGACATTTAGTTAAATTAAATTCGTGTTAAAAACGTTGATCCAACTGAAAATGATTATTGGTTAACCTATAATATAGGTAGCTTACGAACTGCACCTATATACTATAATTGTAGTTTTTAATGATTTTCAATATTATTTATAAACCAATATGTATCATGAGTTATTTTAATCTGTACTACTCATTTGACCTAAAATATGACCATCGCACCGCTGGTAAATAGAAATTTTAATGCGCAGTTGATAGTTATAAAAACTGTATTAGGAATATTTTCAGGTGAAATTCATTAATTTCTTGGTAGCTAATGCAAATTCTTAATTTGTGTTATAATCCTTAAGTCATCATTTATCTAAATATTATTTTTAATAAGCACAGTATGATTGGCCTACCACTAATTTAAAAACGGCACTAAATTAATACTAATCTGTAGCTCAAAAAAAAATATATTTAGAACTTTAAATACTTGAATAAATAAAATACATATAATTATATTAGACTCGGAACTAAAGGGAAAATGATCACAATTTAAAAAAAAAAAATGTACGGTGAACAATATACTGTTTTAGTATGACCCAGAATACGGAATCTATTTGAATATACTTAACAAAAAATGATTTTCATAAACGGTTATAATATTATATGTATTATAACAAAAGACAAAACTGTAAGTGAAAATAAATTAGTATTTTCATAAAATTCTGTGATTAAATTGTGTAAGCGTTATGTTACTTTAAAAAATGTAATCACGGACATGGATGATTAACGAAATAAGATATATGTGTATATATTACTTATGTCTATTTTGCATAATGCCAATAAACCCCATTATATATTTTTACCTAAAGTATTGACGTCTAAAAAAAACTTATAAATGGATCATCATGCATTTTTTACCTAGTGTCACTGAACTAAATTGAAATGTTTAAACGGATCTATTTAGCTTTATTAAATAACTGTTACCATCATTCAAATTTTAATATTAAATATAAAAATAAGGATTAGAAAAATATTCTTCTAAAAATTTAGTTTTAAAACAATATATTTTCTACTTCACCAGCACTATATAATTAAATAAATTGTGTAGAATAATAATAATACAAATTAAAGATACAATTTAAATTTATAATATTTGTACAATGTACCTAATTAATAGTAATATAATAAAAAAAGTTACTTAAAAAAAAATACTTTAAAATATTTTAGGCTATTTTATGAATTATATGATATAGCTTTGAAATCTCTTCTATATTTAAATAATTATATCAGTTACAATTCGAAATTATTTTCACAGATAAAATCATATAATTTTGATAGTTGGTCATTAGACAGCAATTTATCTTTAAATCAAATAAGCGTATCATCATCCATTAGCCATATGTCCGAAGAACACAGAAAGGACGTGCCACAAATTGCTATAACAGCATACGAATCCACCGAAGAAGATGCCGAGGTCAATAGCTTGTTTAATTCAACCACCGTCCAAAACAATACTAAAACACGTCAATCTCAGTCTGTTTCTCCCAAGTCTTTGAGACTGAAATCTAGAATCATACTAAAATCACCGACTCCTGATAATAATATAAATATATCCAAGTCTTTGTCTCCGGCACTGTCATCTGATTTCAATTATTTAACTGATGTGGAAGTCATGTCAGATTCTGACGATGAGAAAGATTTCGTTCGAACGCCCCGTTTAACTCCTAGTTCGATTGACTACTGTATTCTGACTGATATAGAAGACCTGAGTGAAGACGAAAGACAACCGACATCTAGTCAGATTAACGATGATCATACAGATACTGAATATTTCGATGAAGAAAAATGTTTTCTTAGCAAAGAAGAGCCGACAAGACAGCATGCCGATGATATTTTAGATTTCCCTCGCCCACATAGAGAAATTTTGTTCCATTCTAAAGACGGAGTAGTTCGTACTTTGACACCGACAGATGAAACAAATCTAGTATGTCTAAAAACACCTCTAGTAGAAATCAAAGGTTTCGAATCGGAAGAAGAAATAATGACTATGGAAGAAAATGACGTGCATGAGTCGAGCAAAGCAAATTCAACTCCGTACTATCACGACGTTGACGGTGGTGTAGTAGAGTCTTCGGAAAGCGTCAAGCCCGAAAGAAACAAACACAAATATAAGACGATCAAGAAAAAAATTGTAGTCCCGGAAACTGATTGTATAAAAAAGCGTTTTCGCAATAGAAATCAAAACAATTCCGAAGGCGAGGAAAATATCGGAAAACAGTTCGGTGAATGTGATAAAACTCTCTCAAAATATGCGTCAGAACCGATTACAAACAAGATGGCAGTTCCGTTACAACTGCAGCTTAAAAATAACAATTTGACCGAAATTCGTTATGAAGAATCTTGTAAAAATAATAAGTTGGTGATACACGACAATGTTAACGGATTTAGCGTTTCCGTGGATTTCGAAAGTCATAATTCTATACTGCTAAACATCGGTAGAGATTCGGGAAGTTTGTCGTTGAGATGGTATAATAACGAAACTAAAGCAGGTAGGATCTCTCCTCGTTTTATCCGTATTGGTAATTTACAAACCGTAGAACCTGCGTGTATTACAAAACCTAACTTAAACAATTCAAGACATCAATTTGACGTAGAATCGTGCACCTACGAAAGTATGAAAATTCATAAACGTAGGTACATTACCTATTTTATTGTGTATTTTATAGTAAGACCTAAGCATATAGTCCAGTATCATATAAGCAAACAATACCTAATTCAAATACCTATTACTAAACCACCGTTAGTTAATATTTGTTCTTTCAAGGATCAGTTTATAAATCAGAAGAGACTTCATCCTTCATCTATTACAGGACTATCTGCATTTAAAGTATTTAGTAGAGAACACGAAGCAAAACATAAAAGTAGAAAGAAAATTGTGTTAGAATCTAGAAAACACGTTGCCGATGTAATACAAATTTTTGAAAATATGTGTGATAATCCATCGGTAAGTCATACCGTCAATTATAAAACATCACAACATTATTATAAGGATCCTCAATTATTGACCTTGAGACAAAATGTTTCCTTTATGGCTAAATCAAATAATAAAATTGGTAAATATAATTAAATACTTTTTTTTAAATAATGGAACTGGTGAAGGAATAAATTAACACCTTATAAATTAGACTACAAAATGCAAGACAGAACAAGTAAAACTCACATTTCATTTTGTTGATTAACACATTATATCTAACATGCAATGTCTTGATAAATGATAAATCTACACATTTAACAACATAAAAATGTCTTTAATGCCTTGCATTTAATTGTTTAATTATTATAACTTTAATTTATTTTAGGAAAGGAAGCCAACTTCTCCCAACTTGAAAATGCAAAGCCTATAACTAGTTCTGGTAAGTTTTATAATTTAAAATGTAGTAAATTTATCCCAAAATTGTACACCAGTAAAAACAAAACTTCATTCATGATAGTTATTATATAAACTTTTTATACTTCCAAGTGAAAAAAATATGATTGCAAATAATATGACCGATTCCTTTGCTTTTGCTAATTTTAGCAGTACATTCGTTACCTTATTAATACTTGGCTTATTAGAATATAAAACACAAAATATGCTTTACTAAAAATTAAGAGGTAAACACTGAACATTAAGCACAAATAAGTTTTGTTATACGTTGTTTAAATGATATAAAAAAAACTAACATATCAATTGAAAAAATACTAATTAATAATTATGTGTGCGTGTGGGTCTATACATTAATTTATTAGTTATTGATTAACAATAAAGTATTGTATCCATATAACAATAGCTTTCAATTAAATAAATATTTTATACTTCATTAGTTGTATATTAATAGTATAAAAATAATACATATGCATTACCCAAAGCCAACTAATGTATTTTAAATAACAAAAACTTATAGATTCTTTTTCAAAGAAAATTCTTGCCAACACCAAATCAGGTTTTAATCAAATGTCATTGGATAGAGCTATTAACCAGAGTAGAGAAGAACTAGATAAATTAATAAAAGCTGTGGACGATTTCGAAAATAAAGTAAATATGGAGGAACACTTAGTATTAACAAACGATTACAATACAGACAATTATTCGGACTCGGAAGATTCATTTGATGTTGATGGAAGTTTAGAGAATTTGCAAACTACCGTATTCCGACTATTAAATGATGTACAAGATAAAGAAAATCAGTTACTCGATTCATTTAACGATATTAGAAAATCTCTCAATGATTTAGAAATTTCAAAAGTATCACAATCAAGTAAATTACAAAAATTATCAGTACCTAGCCTTCGCAGTAATTTTAAAACTGCTAGCTTACCTTACCAGTGGTGGAACAGATCCATGCCATGTTTATCACTAATTCAACACCATGACTTGTTAACTGGATCACAAGAATCGTTGAATGGATCATTCAATATAAGTTACTTTACGCCCAAGAAAAAAACAAGCTCAGTATCAAAATTCCCAAACAATGAAAACTCTGGATACTGTATATGGTTGCCATACAATACACCAGGTGAGATAGATGTGTTTGGTTTTTAATAACGTTTGTTTATAACCAATTGCTACTAACTGCTACTTCCCTTGCATCCCTAAGATTCCTAAAATCATCACAATAAACTGGAAATATAAAACGAAAATTATACTTGAGACAAATATAGATTAATACTTTTAACCTGAAATAGAACCGTTTTCAGAGAACGATCGTCGTAAAATTAGACCGTTAATGGTAAGAACTCCATCAGAGAGTACAGTACCTGACAATTTTGAACGTTTAGACGAATGGAAGCCTCTGGACTATTCTGAAATATCACCAGATTCTGTACAAGAAAAATTGAAAACTATGCTAAATGAACCAGGTGATCGTGACGAAACCCTCACTAATTTTCTTATTGATATGCTCATTCAGCAAGAAACAGCAAAATTAGCAGCTTCGGGGGAATTATCTTCGGGCTCCTCCGATAGTGATTCTCACGAATGTCTTACCGCTGAACCTTCAAGTAGTCCAAATCCTATTCCAATAATATCATCTCCAAAAGTTCGCAGAAACGGAGTCGGTGGTTCACAACGTCTTCCGTCAAATCAAAGGCCTACATTGAGGGAAATGCGAAAATTCAACGATAGTGATTCTGATAATGAATATGAATACATCGTAACAGAGCCACAAGAAAGGTCACCAGGCAGAAAGGTTACATTTCGTTTGGAATCAGAAGACGATGAAATTATTTATCCGAGTGAAAGTGACGACGAATCTGAAAGTGAAGTGTTACTATCCAATAGCGAACAGCCTATGTGTTTAGAAAATATAAAATTTGATGTACCTATTGTTGGTGAAAAAACTCTTAAGAGAGTGGAACGACGATTTGAAAGAATGGCTTCGGAAACACTGGAAGATAGTCCAATTGCTAAACATGCAGTTGAAGGGGAATACCATAGAATTGTTTCACAGCTATCGACTGAAGAAGTTGAAGTTGCTAATCAACTCTGGAATGAAGCTGGTAAATTATATAAAGAAGCTTTGGTAATGTAACTCTATTATTACTGTTATACTAACAATGATAAAAACGTATTATTTTAGAAATAAAAACTACATAACTTTGTTTGCGATATTAAAAATGAATTCATATGCCTATATTTAATATGTATGTTACCACAAGCTTAAGTTAATATATGAATTAACTAAGCGTAGCTTCTAAAAAGAACTAGAATAACAACTAGGTTTATTAAAAAAAAAAATCCAATCGGTCATTTTAACGTTATAAGAATAATGTTCCAAAACGTTATTTAAAGTTAATATATTATATTACATAGGAAGACATATTTTTAAATCGTTTTATTACATAAATGTGTTTTTTACGATAGTAAATAGGTATATCAATTTATTTAGATAAAACAGCGTATAACAATACTTTTATTTTTAGTTCATGACAAAATAAAAAATATCAAAGTCAAAAAGCAACAACATTGTTACATATTAAAGTTTTTAATTATTATTTAAAAGCACTCATTAAAATGTAACTTTTAAAACGTTTATCTTACACCATATGGATGAAGTAATGTACAAGTGGCATAAGTGTATTAATCATCGTTTTACAACACCGCCGTTTGAAAATGTTTTATTATGTAATACTATAAACTATGTACTATATGTATATATTGATTTAAATTCCTGAATTTCTAAAAATATCCACTTATAACATGAGTGCACTTTGAGATTGATATAATATGTTTAGTACCAATGTATATAACGTTTCACTAATATGTCTAATCCTGTATTTTATTTGTGTATATTTGTATGTGCAGAGCCAAGCCCAGAACTAACAACTAACACCACCAACATAGTACACCAGATCTCCATAGATAAAATCCCGCCAAAACCTAATCCTAGAAATTCCATTGATAGTAGTATTAAATCTACGTTAGACCAAAATGATGAAAATTATTCAACAAAAAAACAATTTTGGGAAGAAATAACTAAAACTACAAATCAGCCTCCACTCCCCAAACCCAGATACAGTATATCGTTGCCTATAAATACTATTGAACGTTCTATAATGAAAAATTCGTCTCTAGAAATCAATGATAAATCATTCGGCACTTCTGAACAAACAGAAATGCCCGAAATGGTCAAAGAAACAATGACAAGTGATCAAACTACAAATAATGATGTAGTTTCTGACTCTACTTGTCTTACCTCGAAAGATGACAATGAAAAATATACTTTTGTGATAAAATGTAAAATGAATGAAAGTAATCGCTTGGATTCCGAAACCGAGTATATTATAAAATATGGCGAGGAATCTCTAGCATTTGAAAATGAAGGTTTTCAAGAAGATGTTTTCGAAGAAAAAGTTTTAGATGGAGCAATTGAAAATATGTCATCTAAACAATATTTTAAACTAATAAAACAAATGGAATGTATACAAATGGAACAAGAATCTTCACCCGAACACAAATCATTAAAAAACACAACAAATCAAAAATCACCAAGCCAAGAAGCACTTATTAATCGTCAAATCCACAAACATATTTTTTCAGACGAGCTTGACGAGCAAATCGACTCTTTGATTCCCGAGGAAAAACATTTTGATATAAAATTTGAAAAAGACTTTTCTTCGAGTTCACCATTTAATACTCAGACAGAAAAAGCAACATCTAGTATTAGTGAACAATCGATTACAAAAACGGAATCGTCTATTGTTGATGAACTGCCGGAAGAAAAAGAAAATAAACTAATTTCAAAACATTTGAAGTATTCATCTAGTTTGACTCAAGACCACATTGATGAGATACCTTCTGACACTTGTTCAGGAGTAGAAGAAAAAGAAAAATCTCATTTGCAAACAGAATCTATTGACTCTTCGATGATCGAAGAATTACAATATGATTGTTCTTCTAATTTACCTGAGGAAGGAAATCGTAAAAGCCGTACTGACATAATAAAAGGACAGATTATCCATACACCGGAGGAACATATTCCAGACACTATATGGGAAGTGACACAGATTGGAACAGACAACCAAAACGAACTAGAAGACTTAAATATCAAAGAACAAACCGAATTTCATCGGAATTTTGTCAAGAAAGTAGATTCTATAGACTCGATTGAGAGTACGAAGAAAGAAATGACTGATGATCTAGCTAGAGATATAGCTGAACAATTAGTAAATGAGATTGAAATTGAATTAACAAAGCGCCAAGATATTTTGGCTAACTTACAGCATTTAGTAGTTTCGCCAGAGCACTTAAAACAATTAGAAAATAGTGGTTATCTGGATATGGATGGAGATGATTTAAAACTAAAAATAATGGAATCAGTTTTAGCTAAGAAAAATCGTGACCGCCTTAAGAGTATCTCAAAAAATGATACAACTACTTCAAGTATCGAAATCACCGATGAAGACTTAAAAAGTAGCAATTTCGAAATCGAATATGAGGGGTTGACTAAACTATCCGTTATAGACGACATCATACCTGAAAACGAAAATGACAGGTTAAGGGAAAGTCCTACTGAAATCAACTCAAAATATCGATCTGAGCATTCCTCACGCGAAGAAAATGAAGAATTTTGTGAAAAATCTGATAATTTAATCATTGAAGCTTATATTAAAAATAAAGAAAATGAAAAAAGTGTTCATTCCGAAGTCGAACAAAACGAAGAGTTATCGACGGGAAAAATTAGAAATGAATCAGTATCGAATAAAAATCATAAAGATTTGACAACAAACGTTGGTGAAAATTTGATATTAAATTTAAATGAAGAAAAAATAGAAATAAAAGAAATCGGGTTACATGATGAATCAAGTGACGAAAATTCGTCTCACGATGTTGTACAATCCATCCAAACAAGAAAAGATGAAACAGGCGAAATTATTGAACAAAAAACCACCGAAATTGTTGATCATGAAAGTCATACGAGAAACTTTTTTGACGTAGAAACAGAACATAATGAGCATAGTAAAAATCATAACATTTCAATAAAAGAAAAACACGTTGATACAATACTAAAAGACTCTGATGAAATGGTTAAAAAGAAAAACGAAAAGTATGAAGAAATAACGGATGATGGTCGAATTATAATCAATGTAAACAAAGAAGAGCACCATTCATCGACTTATATTTTAAAAGAAACATCAATCAACAACAAAAATGAAATCACTATAAGTAATAATGATAGTCCTTCATGTTCTTCAAAATCAATTATGACTCTTGTTAAACATTTAAGTACAGAATCGCTTCCATCTAAAGATAATTCTATTCACTCTCCAACGTCACCATCTTCGTCTTCAATTGATGTTCGTGAAGAAAAACATGTTAACTTTGATTCTGTTGTTTTAAGAAAACCCGATTCAATAAATGTAACCAAACTTACAGCGAAAAGGCCGGCAGATTCTAGTTCAAGTGAAAGTCATTATCAATCATTCGATCTAACCTCATCAAGCAGGCCTTGCTCTTCAGACATTGATGGACTTTTAGCTGGATCTTCAGAATACGAATCTGCTATGTCAATACCATCGAATGATTATCATACTGCTATTAGTTCATTGAGTTCCAGAGAATCAATGAAGTCATTAGATTCAGAGAGTTCTGGCAACCTTGCATCAGTTGAGAATAGTGAAGCTTCAGAAACCTTGATTGCTTCGACTGGAGATTTAGACTATGACATAGATGTTTCAAACAATCTATTGGAAGAAGAAAATAAACTTGAACCATACGAACAAGAAATACCCATGCAAATAATTAGAGGAGATTCTTTACCAATAATAGCAGAGCAATCTGAAATGAAATACAGTAGCATGTACAAAACTCAACCATTTTCTCAGCCAACAATTTCTGCAAACAGCGAGAAAAACGTGCAAAAAATGAAAAGATCTCATGAAATGATGTTTCATCCAATACCAAAACACATAACTAGCGACAGTTTATCTGATTCGTCATCACACGAAGAAAGACATCAGTCCAGTGAAAGTATGAGTATTTCTAGTACTGAAGGCCAGATAATACAAACGGTAATAGACGCAATTGAAGGATTTTCTGAATCTGGGCCATGCAGTTTCAGTTTAAGCGACGAAAATACTAGATCCATCGAAACATCTACTATAACTAATGGTTTCACTGGCCAAGAAAAAAATCAAGACATCACTATTATGTCATCTTCATCCGCAGAAAACGGTAAAAACAATAATGTTTCCACACAAATAACAACAAAAGTGGAAGAAGTACCTAAAAAAGGTCATAGACGAAACAGTAGTTCAATCAATAAAATAGTTATTGAAGATATAAATTTGATTCCTAAAAAGGAATTCCCGATTGCAGATCCGTCCATCGAAAATGTAACGTCCAGTCAAACCGACATACCTAACCAAAATCAGGACACTGAAGAAAATATTGCAACACAAGAAAAAGTAAAAATAGTTACTCCAGATATAAAAACTGAAATCTCGGTAACTACTAGATATCACGAAACAGAAATTCATGCCAGTCCAATATTAGAGAAACATAGTTTTGAGCATATTGACGACGTTGCTGAGGCGGATGCAGCCTTCCAAATGGTCCCTCATGTTTCACCCGCAATTCCAACATCGTTACCGCCTACCATTCCCGAAGATCCTTATTCGGAGGATGAAGATGAGTTAGAAGATGATTCGTCAAACTTAGTACCTAATATTATGGTAACGGAACACATGAACCCATTAGTCGACCGTGGCTTTCATTACCCAGATTTAGATCTCGAAGCAAAGGAATTAGAAATTAAATCGACACCAGAGACGCCTGCCTCTATAAGTAGTAAAGAATCGTCTGAAACAGATCAGGGTAGAGAATACATAATCAACGAGACATTTAATCCACATGAAGAATTATCGTGGACTGCCGACGAACACACAGTGCTCGAAAAAGTAGAACAAATAGACGAAAAAGATTCGTTTTCTATGAGTGAATCATTCGAGTTAGTAGATAATGTTGACGAAAAACCAGACTTAGAAGATGATTTTGTAATTGTCGAAGAAATCGGAAAAGAAGCAAACGAAGAAGATGCTGAGGGCCAACCTATTAAAATAGAATGTACAGCAAAAAATGTTCATTCTTATACTGCCACTGACGATAACTCATCCTTAAAAAAATTGGATTCTGAAAGTCTTAGCTCAAAAGAACAAGAATTGGATTTGGAGTATGCAAACCAAAAATGGGTAGAACTACAGTTTGAAGATGATAATACAGTAAATGAAATTTATGGTTATAATTTAGAATATGATCGTCTTCCCCTTGAAGACATTAAGGAGGAAGACATTGAAGATCTGCATAGTAGTAAAGTTGGAAGTGTCAGTAGTCAGGTCAGTCAATCGATCGGCAGTCTGGGGAGCATGAAAGAATCATTTAGCAGCACTCCAGAGAGTAAAAAATATTTAGGTAAATCACTAGAGCATGACAACATGTCTGTTAGCTCATTACAAGAGTTTGAACGACTAGAGCAATTAGTAAGGATCGAATCAATGAAAGCTAAGTCTTCGGGGTCTTTAGCATCTACTACCAGTTCTTCAAACAGTAAAAAAGAAGACCAGTCTTTAGGATCCCTTAACGACTTTGAAGCGATGGAAGCAGCTTGTATCCAAACGGAAATAATTGAAAACAAAGCTATGGCTACGGAGAAATCGTTGATTGACGATGAAAATCAATTTAAAACTAATGATACTGGCAAACAAACGGAAATTAATGTCGAGCAATACGATGACAATTCAGAAAAGCTCGTCTCGGAAGACGATAATTTAACGAGTACGGAGTCATTAGATTTGAAAACGATCGTAACGGATATGAAACCGTCCAGTTCTGTCGAACAAATTATTGTTGATGGCAGAACAAATGATTATGACGATTGCATGAATTCGAGCATCTCCAGCCGAGGATTAAGCAGTCCCATTATGGACGACCACTCTAAGGAGTCTTCGTATAGAAACAGCCTAATATTAGGCAGCAACGACTCATTAGGACCAACTAGCTCGACTGGTACAAACGCTACATACCACTGCGAAACTGGGTCGAATATGTCTTCTAGTTTCACTAGTGGTGGCTCTAACACTATGGTCTCTAGTATGGAAGGCTTGGATAAAGCCGGTACTAAACCAGATTTGTTAGAAGATCCCGAAATATTTGAGACGCATTGGCGAGATCCAGATGGTACGGAGTACACGCATAGAACAGTCAGAATGCCTGCCGAAATCCATAAAGTAACTGCTAGAGGACCAGAAAAGGAAAATATACTAGATGACTACATCGAACAGTTTAGTCCTGGCGAATATCAAGAACAGACTATCCACACAGACAAACACGGCAATACGTATGCTACCAAAATTGTACAAAAACGAATGATATTCGATCCCGAAGAATTGAGTAACCAAGGAATTTCTAAAGAAGAATTGAAGGAATGTCTAAAAAAACTGTCTAGTGATCACTCAGATGAATTCGAGTACAGTAAGACAACACCAAAACGAAATTCAGGTATTACACATGTATTTAACGATGTAGTTCAATAAACATCACTCTATTCACTCCATCATATATATCCTTACTTGCATGCTATAGCCACCATAATGTTATATTTTTACACATTTATTTCAATTTCGTCAAGTTGCTACATACCATAATATTTTTTGTCATTAACCTACTAACAGATTCATAACGTAATATATAAGAACGGCTAAGTTCTTAAGCATGTGTTAAAAATCTGTTTATTTTTAGGAACTGCCGAAAAATGTCAAGAGACGTCTGTGCCTGATCCTCATAACGGTAAAAATGAATAACTATTTAACATGCATGAGACCAATATTGCCATCCAAATAAATAAATCATAATAATATAAAATATTTTACAAATTAGTTGTATCAAGTTGTGCCCAAAAAATTTAAACTATTCATAATTAAAATATGAATACTATTTATAACGTAGAGTTATAATTAGATGTATGCCCTACTAATAATATGTATTGTATTAAAGCTATATTTCACACGCTTATAAATTATAACATATGTTTAAAGCAATGTATATTAGATTTAGATGCTTTTGTCTCGTGATTAGTAGAATTACAAGAGGCTACATCAAAACCGGAGTTGAAGTGTGAAATTAGTATGGACGACGACACGGAAATTGATCTACGTGAGCATGATTGGCGATTCCAGCATCAAATAAACACTGGTTAATAGTTACAGTACTAATTATTCTAATTTCATTCATTTATATACTTATATTAAACAATAAATAATAATACTTAAAACATTCAAAACTATTATACATTATAGGCGTATTAAATTATTGAATTTCGAAATCAAAAAATATAGATATGATAATAACATATTCTTGGTAGCATAGCTTAGTAGAACACAAATATATTTTATTACTTTAGTCTTCAAATACAAAATATATCCATGTCAAATTTTTCGATTAAAAAATTTTGAAATCTAATAAATTCTACAAGTACTTTTAATGTTTATGAGACATACTATGTAAAAGGGACAAATTATTGACAAACGAAACATTTCGATTTTAAAATAATTAGACAAATTATTAATAATTAACGCACTTTAGTCATTTAGTCACACTATGCATTGTAATAAAACACCAATCTATAGAAAATGCACTAAACCTACTTTTTAAAATATAAAGAAACGTGTAGATAATTACATACCATTACGTCTAAAGTATACAACTGTATAAAATAGTACTTAACAAATCAGGTATACAAGTGAAAAAAAACATTAAGAACTTGCGACAGAAGTTTAAACTTTTAAAATATAAAACATATTTCAATCTAATAATATTTAAATTAATCCTCCTCTAAAACATCTTTTTTTTTGTCACCAATCTGCAACTGTCTTCTCCCTGCCCTCAACTGTCATTGATATAAAATTAGTGCCCTTCCTCATAATATTGATACGCCATAGTAGACTATCCCAAATTACTTTTCCCGGTTTTGAATATATCAATGTCTCACGCTCACATGTTTAACGTTCGCCGTAGTCAGACTAATAATGTAACAATAATTACAATATTAGTTTAGGTACATTTTTAGTCATGTAATTAATTTTGTCAAAAACTGTACATAAAAACATTAAGCAGCATCTTTGACATTTTGTAATCACAATGTATTATTTTGTTTTAGAATCGGAAGATATAACTAAACCTGGACCATCTGGATGGTAAATTTGTTACTTCATTTATTTACAATTATTTTATTATATTTAATTGAGCAAATTCTATATAAATGTATTTATATTTAAATTTTTTTCATATTGCAGTACTAGCAAACCAAAATCTGAAGGGCAGAATTCAGAAACAGTGTCTGAACTTTAAAATTGTTATTTTAGTTTTATTAAACATAATCAAGTGATTTTATATGTTACATAATACAAAAAATATTATACATAGCAAGCAATTTATTCAGAAAACGTATAATAAAAGGGAAAGTTACATTCCAATGAACATTTGAATACTTATACCAACAATTAAAAAATATTTTTAGGTAGATATGTTTAAAATTGTATACCTTTATTACACAATTTTATTTTTGAGTTAATTGCAATTATATATGTTCATCAAGCAAAAATGTTAAATAACTATTTAGAAAATGATTGCCTTTATATAATATTTACATATTTATACAATACTCAAATTAACCATTAATTTAAAGTCATTTCGCTTGATTGTTTGTCTTAATTATTTTTTTAAGAATTATTATTTTATTGATATACCTAGCTATAATCTATTTATACTATCTTTTTAGTAACTACTTACCTTTATAACTACATACTCTATTACTTATATTTAAATTTAAATAATTTAATATACATGTTACCTATTTTCGTGCTGAATCATATTGTATACAAACCTATGTCAAGGTATAAATAACATGCTATTACTTAATTAAATTAATACAAATAGCAAAATACAAAACATGATATTATTATTTATTATTGCATCCACAGGCTGTGCGTTATGGTAATGAATGAATGAAGCTTTTAGAATTAATAAAATTACAATCATGTGATTATCGTACAATTTATTTCATGGATTCCATTCGTGAATCGTATGTTTATTTTTTAATTTATTTGCTAATGGTAATAACAAAATTTTTGTTAAAAACATTTATTTTTCACATTTTTAACATTTTTTAAAAGTTAAAACTTTAAAACTCGTATGGTTTATTTTTTCTTCAAATTTTAAGAATTACCCGGTATTAGTGAACTTTTACCACGCTCCCCTCAAAAAAAAAAAGTACCAACTAGATAAAATTTGTAATTTATAGAGTTTCTATTCGAAGAAATTGGTCCAGTATTAAAAAAGTTACAATGTATACAGACACAAGAAAAGCTCACATCATTGTAAAACTAATAGCATCTCTGCTCTGCATCGAAGCTAAAATTGAGATTTGTCATCTTGAAAACTGGTTGTTTTAGTTGTTATACACTTATTATGTTTTAAGCTCTAGAAATACAGAACTATGATATTACATAAAGAGTTTATTTTTGGTTAAGAAAACTAAACTTGTATTAAAATACAGTATAGATTTACAATAATGACCAAGTGCCAAGTAATAATGTAGGTCTTATTATTGTGTTTTAGTAAACTTGATACTTTAAAAAAATCATTATTGTGCATACAGTATAGGTATATTTTTAAAAACGAAATATTTATCATTTTTATGTAGCATTCTGCACAAGACGACATACAAATTTCATTAGAAGATCAAGTATTTCAAATTATTTAATTTGTAAATACATTTTAAATGATTCTTATAATAGTTATTATTATTTTAACAAAAACATTTGTTGGGTCGGCCAAAGGCCTGAGTAAAATTGTATGTGGGCGTGGCCTACCAAGGCTCTCCTTTAGCTACATGCTTGTTTGACGAAATATAATATAAAAAAAGAACATAGGTAATTTAAATAATTTAATTAATTTAATGTTTAATTTTAAAATCAATATATTATCTAATTTATTTTTAATTCAAAAATAAGTATCCTGATTAAGTGTGCTATCCGTCTTTTTACATTATAAAGGACATTCAATTTTAATACAGAATTCCAAATAATAAAAAAGTATAGAATTAATATACTTTCAATACCCTGTTACATTTGCAATTAAATTTCTCCGATTTAATAAGCTATTTAAATTAATGAGGTAGACTTTCTTTAGTTTGATTCCTTATACAAAAAACATAGCTAGAAATAAAATATTATATTTGTATCATTAATATTACATAATTATAGATAAAATAAATTTAAATAATAAAAAATAGAAAATGAATAAATTAGTTAGCCAACAGAATCTTAAATTGAAATTAAATTTCAATAATTTATCAACCAATTATTGTCCAGGGGCAAGCAATGATTTTTCCATAAACTTCTTGCGTGCAAAACATAACCACCATTTAGAAGGCTTGCCATCATCAGTTGAAAACACTTTTTCACAAACTCTACGTCCAGTTTCTTTACGCAGTTGTTCTAAATATTGCCGCATTACATCTATAATATATAGTAACTTCAGTAAAAAAATTCTTTTGAACATGCATTTTTAATTTACCTGATTCTGACGTTGTAGCTGGTTTTGCATAAACAGAATTTAATGGAAACCCGGCTTCTCCAGGTATATCAAATCTGTAGAGTGCAAGTGTATACATTTCGGACATCCCTTGATCTTTACTTTGACATTTTTGGAGTTTCTTCAGACACTCCGTTATATATAAAGTAATGTATATCAAAACACGATCTGCTTCACTCTAAAATAACAACAAGTAATTTGTAACATCATACATAATTATTTCTATAGTAGCATTACTGTTATTAAAATTAATTTGCATATATACCTTAACTTCATATGATCTAAAGAAAACATTTGCTTTAAAATATGACAAAGCTTCGTCAATAATATCCACATCTGGACTTGTTACGCTGATTAAAGCAGCAGGACCCTTATATTGAGATTTGATTGGAACTATAGCCATGTTTCCAGTTAATTGTTGATAATCTTTTATATTAGAATGGTAGGCCTATTTAACAAGTTAAAATATTAGTATATTAAATTATATTAAAATTTGACACCACGGAATTGTGTATTTAATACTCACAGGCATTTTATATATAATTACAATAATCAAATTAATTTATAATATAATATAAATCAAAAGAACAATATAAATTAAAAATATTAAATTATATTATGGAATATTTTAATAATGTATAGTATGTTTTAAAATGACATGATGACATCACTTTTCAACTACAGTTCATGAAGGATTTCTGGTGATAAATACTAAACAGTAAGTATATCATTTAACTCTTATCAGTATACATTAAATACATTTATTATCTATATTCTTATCAAAATAAAAGTGTTAAAATAATGTTTACCACCTTCGCTAAATAATATAGAATTTAAGGTTTAAACCGAGGTAGTAATTCTAGAAAATGTATTACATTGAAATGTTATCATATGATAACTTTATTGTTTAATTTTTATCATTTTATGTAGTTTTAAACTTCATAAAATGAATTTTTAGAGAAAGAATTTTTAGATTTATATTATGTTTTGTTGACAACATTCTAAAACTTTATTACAAGACAAGGTGAAAACAACTTTCTCTAACCAAATATTTGTTTTACTTAAAACTACTAGTATTGCAAAATTTAAATGAACATTTGACCCTTGTAAGTTTAAAGCTGTGTACGTTTCACCCGTCAATTTTTTTCCCTGTTAGAATTTACAATAATTTTAGTAAATTACATTGATTTTTTTTTCAGTTTGCTATTAACATGTGGACGGTGAGCAAGGCTCTTTTAAGAAACAACAATTTGATTAAAATACATGTAGCAAACAAAACTCATTATGAAGCTTTAAATTTACCCAATACTGCCACTCATAAGGACATTAAAGATGCGTATTATCGGTTATCAATGATGTACCATCCTGACAAAAATAAAGGCTGTGAAAACGCTACTAAACAGTTTCGTGATATCACAGCTGCATATGAAATATTAGGAAATGCACGCCAAAGAAGACTGTATGATCTTGGATCAAATATAGATCCCATACCACTAAAGCATCACTCACAACAGCCTTTTAAACATATGAACTCTACAAATCAAGTAGAAAAAACACACAATACTAATCATAGCTATAATTTTGACCAATGGTCCAGAAGTCATTACTCAACAATTGTCAAACGAAAGAATGAAAGTGAACAATGGGTCAAGTATACTAAAATGACCAATCAATATAGGGATCATCAAAATTTAATTTCAGTTACCGTTATAGCTATTAGTTTAGGATTGTTTATATTATTAAATTTTGTAGATTTATTCTTGGATAACAAAAGTGATTATGATAATGTTGATCAACATGAGAAAAGAAAGTGAGATTGTTAATAAAAGTAAGTTTGTTATTTGTTTGTCCAAAAATGTATTGTATATAACATTAACTATATAAATTGTTAGTTTTAAACAATATTAGTTTTTTTTTTTTCATAAATTATTTGATTTTTATAATATCAATAAGTGTTATATATGAATTGCTAACTGCTGGAAGTCCATTTTTATAAATTTTGACTATTATTATTTTGCACTAAGCACACGTGATACATCATGTGTCACAGAAAGGAGTCGAATCCGACAATCGAGAATTACAGTTTTTTTAAAAGGGGTCATAACAATACTTTTTTTTTCACTTGAAGAATTAGTAAGAAAAGTAGACTAGTCCCCATTCTCAGTTAGTGATTAATATGTGTATATATTTTTTCTTTTTCATGTTATCCTGTTACCTCTGGTTATTAATGGACGCCCACAAGAGTGAAAGCTTAGATTTAAGAATAAAAATGCTAGCAAAAGGGGATTAGGACATAGTGGTGTAATAACAGTCCTGTAGGAATTGTTTTTACTAAGAATTATAAAATCACAGATCAATCTTGATTTAGGCGCGTCAATGGCAACTTGTAGGTTGTAGGATATTGATAAAAATAATTGTAAAATCATATTGTTGTAAGCAACAATGTGCTTAAAATTGTATTTTTGTATAATAGTTGATTATCTGTCTATTGTAAAATGTGTTGCTGTTTTTACCCCTGCATTGAACCAACAACAAAATAAAAATGTTGGCATCCTGAAAATGTAATACAGCCAGAGTGTGATTATTTCCTTTTTTTTTGTTTTCCTTCATAAAAAAAATTGACTAGAGTTTTCATTATATTATATTATGTTGTAGCCCCACTTTGGGTCTACCTTCAGTCTTATTTTCAGAACTTAAGTTCAAAAACTACAATAATAAGCGAAATAAAGGAAAAGTTTCGACACCTTCTGTTAGAAAGGGCTGAGATATTTGCACTGTATATCGGAAGTACTATATTTAAGGAATACATTTCGCACAAGTTTGGAAGTCATTAGATTATTCTAGAATGAAATTATAGTGTGCAGTAATTTTAAGATGAATGTTATGTACACTTTAAGGGTGTTTTTCTCGCATCTGAAGGTGAAAAGGTTAACTTGGACTTGATGATGTAAACATGATTTAGACAAAATTAAATTTTAACAATTCATTAAGAAATCTAAAAATGAATATAACACATTGGCATGTGTTAAGTTATAACACCAAGTATTGGATGTTATAACTTTATTAATAAATTGTTTTGTGAATTTTCGATACATGAATTATAAGACCAAAAATTCAATTTTCGAGTACGCTGTACGTCTGTTATCTATTTATGTAAGCATTTATCAGTATTATTTATTTTGTATACAATAGATAACACTCGTGTACTATAGTCGCTAGATCGAATAAATCGTTAATCGATCATATGCAATCACAAATATAATGACTGAACACTAGTTGCAATACATTTGAGAATTGTGAACACAAAAATATGTGATTTTGATCGTAATAGTACAGCTTTTATTTAGTGAATTCTAGTTTGGTATTAAAGAAAAGATTTATAAAGATATTTTTGAATATCTGTATCCTTTATCGATTGATATTTGTTCAAATTATTTCATTATTAAAAAAACGTTTGTTTTTCAGATTTTTTTTAGTTAATATTTATATAAATATATTAAGATGTATCTTAATTTGAACCGCTTAAAGAAATGTGTTACTACATATTCCAAATACACAGTTTCGTATTCGACTCAAACTCATTTTGGTTTTCAAACAGTAAATGAATCTGAAAAATCTCAAAAAGGTATTTAAAAATTATCTTTTTTCTAAAAGTAATTATTCCATGAACATTAGGTAAAATAACAATGAATAAACATCGAGAAGCTCGTAAATTATGGAAAAAACTACGACGAAAACATAAAAGGCAAATAAATGCTACCAAACGAGAAAAATTACTTCTTGAACATGAAGAAAGACGATCTAAATCTCCTTCTTATCAATCATGGCTAAAAAGCCAACAAGAGTTGGAAGAATTTGAAGAAAAAGAAAATGAGCGAATTGCTATTAAAGAATATAAAAAGTGGGAAGAAAGAGAACAATGCGCATTACAAGAATGGGATTTATTACAAAAAAAATTAGAAAAAATAAAACATGATAAAGCTAAAAAAGAATTGATGATTAAAAATGAATGGGAAAGAGAACAAAATAAAATTAAAGAAGAAAATGAAAAACAAATTGCAAATGAAAAACTTCGTATTGAAATGAATAAAAAGTTTATGGAAGAAATTGAAATGTATATGAATGGTTTAGGTCCTATTCCAGAGTCTATTAAAACTGGAACGAATACAAGACCTGATCAGCCACTTTGCCCTTTTTTTTCAAAAGTAGCAGCATGTCGATTTCGAGATAATTGTTCTAGGAATCATAGTAGACCTGGCATAAGTGATACTTTGTTGATTCCTAATTTTTATAAAAATTTTGAACTAAATATGCGCTACGAACGGGAATTCGATATTGATATTGGATTAGAATGTGATGAAAAAGAAGCTTATCAAAAGTTTTATGAGTTTTATGATGACATATTGCCTGAACTTAAAAGTTATGGACAAATTATTGAACTTAATGTTTGTAGAAATCAAGAACCACATCTTATGGGTAATGTATATATCCAGTACAGAAGTAAACGTTATGCTCTAAGAGCCTACAGGTCATTATGCGGTCGATATTATGGTGGTCGTCAAATAATTGCTGAATTTTGTAATATTCCTTCATGGTCAGAAGCAGTATGCGGACTTTTTTTTAGAAAAATGTGCCCAAAAGGTAAAAATTGTAACTATTTACATTTGTATAGAAACCCTGCGTGTAAGTACCAATCAAAACCCCATAGAAAATATAATGATGGATCAAGCCATTATGAAGACATTAGAACATCCAGTAGAAGAGATCATGGAAAACATAAAATGTCTAAAAACAATGAAGAAGAAAAGAAAAATAACTCTAGTAAGAGAATCAAAAATGTTATTAGTACGTCTGAAAGGAGAAAAAAGAATGTAACTAAATGGGAAGATATACCAGAGAAAACCAGCCAAAGTTCTCAAGCTTATAATTGGTCTAGTGATGATGATTAGAAATTATTTTGTGAATACTTACTATAAAATTTACATTACTTGAAGTTAACTCAATTGAAAGAAAAGAAAATTTGTTTTAAAGAAAATGTTTAATTTATTAATAATATTTGTATAGTATATTTTTTAATTTTAAATAGAAAAAAAAACAATGATGTATGGTTGATTCTAATGTATGGATCTTAATGTTTTAAATGCAAGTTGATTTTTAGTTATAACTTTCTTTTTTTTTATAGTGATTTGATTTTGAATAAATGTGTTTTTTTTAATTTTTAGTACACAAAGTGTTTGAAAGTGTAGCAGATTCATATGATGCTATGAATGATGTTATGAGCTGTGGAATACATAGGCTATGGAAAGATGAATTTATAAGGATATTAGATCCCACTCCAAAAACACGGTTATTAGATGTTGCTGGTGGAACGGGTATATATAATTTACTTCATTCCAGTTGAAATAAAACTAACAATTATGTACTAAATTTAATTAGTTCTGACACTGATAATTAACTAAAATATTTCTCTAAGATTTACTAGTATCAATTGTGGCCTCTATACTTTATATCAACGCTCATTATAAAAGTTTCACTTTTTACATAAAAAAACTTATTTCAATTGCTATATAAAAACAAAAAGTAGTACATGTTATTCCCCCCCCCCTTACTTTCCTAAAAAGTAGTATACTACAATCCGTTCCAATAAATACTAAAATATTTTTTTTTTCCTACAAATAATTTTATATTTGATATAATGGGAGTTTTGATCCACAAAATATACTACTTTACGTTAGGAAAAAATAATCATACCAGTATTTGTTATGATGAAGACAAACATACTGTTTTTAAGAGGCAAATTATTTATAATCTTTTTGCAATGCCTGATGATGTATAACCAATTGTTTAATTTACCCCTCGCTTCAATCATTTTTTAATCAATAAAATACATTCATCAATCAATATACCTTTATTGCATACACACATCTTGGAATATAGGGTCTCAGTTTTATGATCGTTTAATTTACTTGACTGTTTCTAAGTTTTGAATTACTATTTATAATAACATCTGTTACCTACAAAATATTTTTGAAATGTATTTTTGTTATTTGTTTACAAAAGAATAATATATTTATAAAATAAATCCCTTTTATGTTAGGTATGACATAAGGATAGATTAAAAACTAATTACTAATTGTTATTGTTTATTTATAGGAGATATTGCATTTAGATATTTAAATTATATATCTGATATGGAAGGAGATGGACATGTGACAATTGCAGATATTAACGGGTCAATGTTAGAAGAAGGAAAAAAGAGAGCAGCAAAATTAAAACTGAACCAAGAACATATTTTATGGAAAGAATGTGATGCTGAGAATTTGCCGATAGATGGTGATTCATACTCCGCTTACACAATTGCATTTGGTATTCGAAACGTGACACATATTGATAAAGCATTAGATGAGGCCTATAGAGTTCTTGAACCAGGTGGTAGATTTCTTTGTTTAGAATTTAGTCAAGTCAATCCGGAAGTTTTAAGATGGTATAACTAAAAACAACTAAATTGCTTTTTTTTTTTTTTTTTACTAAAATTGTATTTATTTGGTTCGTAGGTTGTATGATCAATATTCGTTCAATGTAATACCATTAATGGGGCATATAGTAGCTGGTCAATGGAAACCTTACCAATACCTTGTTGAGAGCATTAGAAAATTTCCATCACAAGTGAGTTCTATTTCATAACATGTTGGATTTATTTTTTATTTTATTGAAAAGAAAAAAATTGTTTATATACACTTATCAATTGGTACATTTTAAAATGATTTTTGTTTGACGAGTCTTACAGTCATCACAATAGTTTATTAGATTCTCTGAATTTAATGTTACAGAATTTATTTTTATCGTTTAGTATACAATACTTTTCCCCAAGAATTAGGAAGTTATTAGTGTATTTTTTAATTACTTTACCTAAGTAAAATTTATAATAAATATATCTAAAAAAAATAACTTATATTTATGATCCCTTTAAATTAACAAATGTAATACAATTTAAAAAAAAATTATTTTCCGGGGAGGTTTTTTTTATTAAACATTTTCATGATAAATATCGTTTTATTTTCTGCTTCTCTTCAATCACTGTATGTTCATTTTATGTGTTTTTAATTTTTCAGGATGACTTTAGGTATATGATAGAGACTGCAGGTTTTAGATGCGTCACATACACAAATTTAACATTTGGTGTAGTAGCAATTCACTCAGGATTCAAGTTATAAATATTTCCAATTATATCAAAAACAAATTGTAAATAATTAATTATGATGCTTTAATTAAATGTGATTATAGAACTGTTAATTTAATTTTAGAATTTATTAATCATTAAAAGTTAAGACACTACTTGAAACATTCTTGTTTACGCCAGTCGGAGAACACAAAATACATTATAATATAAATCTCGTCACAAAAAAAAAGTTATAATATATAAATTAAAAAAAAAAAAACAAATTACCGATTATTAAAAATAACTTTCAAAGATCTAAAAGTACCATAAACATATTAATACAAAAAAAAAAAAAATTATACATAAGTAAACAATAACAACATAATCCATTTTTAACTGTTATCTTTGTATGGTGGAGTGTTCTCGTTGCATTGAAAATAATGATTATCATCATCGTTATGCTGGATTGCACATGTTTTATGGGACTTAAAACACCAAGAATATGTGGTTACACAAATTTTAATATAGTTTTATAAATATTTATGCAATCCGCAATATCTAAGTAACTATTAAAATTACACACAATACAGTCCCAAATTTAATAAACACATTTGTTTTTTTATGGACTAGAAAAAATTACAATAATAATAAAATTGAGGACATGACAATACTAATCAAATTTTTCTTTACTGTGTATTTAACATAATTTTAATAAAATAGTAATGCAAGAATGAGAGTAGCCAATTCAGAAGGGAGTTAAAAATGGCGAGAGGAATTAAGTGTATAAGCCACATTAGATGGCAATTTAATGGCACACTCAAAAATACATTATATTATAATCGACTCGCACATCTTTTTTTTTTTTTAAAGAAAAAAAGAAAATAAATAAAATTAGTAATGAGAAAATTTGCCAATCCCTTCCAATAGATATTGTCGCTAAAAATCTTAATAAAAAAAATTAAGAAATGCTCTAGGAATGTTAATAATATTAATAAATATTTTGGTTGGCAAAAATCATTAAAAAATAAAAAACGAGTGGCTAATTCTCATAAAAATGTTTTATTTATATGAGTAAGTGGTGAAATAATTATATTAGGTAATTTTTGAAAATTAATATTTGCATATTGGAAGGGGACATGTGCAGTAGTCAATTAAGAGTTTAACCGCTCTTGAATAGCAATATGGCCACCTGGCCCAAATAAAAATAAATGAAGTGCCTCGTTTCATGTGTGACGTAACTTCCAAAATTACGGCCGACGATACAATGCCATGTTGGGTTGTATTTTTTGTCAAATTCTTTCTTTATGTAAGCCGCAATGTCCTGAATAAAAAAAAAAAGTAATTATTAGACAAAAATGATTCATATATTATTAAAATTACTATTTGATATAATAGTAACCAAAATCATAATTCATACAAAATACTTCTTAAAACTAAATGAATCGATAACGATCACATTAGGTTGTATAAATATGGACCCATTATATATAAATATTAGTTACTTCACAATATCTTTTAAAATATAAATAATTAAGGTAACTGAAAAAAATACATATAGGTCTAACTAATTACTTTTTTGCAATAACAGGTAATTGTAAAATAGTGTTCATTTTTAATAATGAATGAAAAAGAGCCCTACAAAATATATTTTCTTTAAGATACTTATCATACTTTTTCAATATTGTATTTTTCCAAAGCTTGGGTGGCACAATCGACTGCATCTTGCTGCATCTCTTCGGACATATCAGCGTTTTTTATAACTGCTTTGCGGTCAGACATCTTTTAAAGGATGTAAATCAACTACAAAATAATAATAAACGTTCAAATAAACTAAATAACTTAAGTTAGGTTAATAAGCAAAACGTTAATATTTGCCCAATAATGTTAATTCACACAATAATTGTATTTTGTGTGGGAAATATGTGTTACAATAATAAAAAAATGTTTACCTTTTAACAGACAATATAAGGAACTATCCAACAACGGGATTAGATAATCCTTCGGTAACCAGAGCCAGACGCTGTACAAATCTCAAATTTAAACAAACTAAATTCAATAACTTCCAAAATATTCGCCGATAAAATAAATGACGAAATGGTAATGTTAACAACTATGTTTGAGTAAAAAATCAACATCTCATTGGCTAGGAGACGGCGGTTTCTATCAGCCACTTTACTATCGCCGACCCATCTACCCAGCAAATCGATAGAAACTTTTTTCTTCCATGATAACGAAAACACCGACGTCCGACTATGTACAAGTTGCAAGGTGCAACATTATACTGTATATTTATACAGTTGTACAGACTACAGTTATACTTTTTATTAAATAAACAAATCTTTAATCCTGGAATTTCAATTTTTGATTAATTTATTGTTATTTATAATCAGAAATCGTTTTAATTCCGCAATAATAATTTTGGTAAAAAAACCCGACACCAAGTTTGTTTTTATACACGCTTTCTACACAATATTGAAATGTTTTAAAATATTTATGTCGTACCATGATTATGAACAATAAAGATTACCACATGAAACAATCGCCAAATGCCGATTAAAATAATAGAAATTTTTATTGACGGATAAAAATTATTAATTACCAATTGGTAATTAAAAGTTCATGACATCGATGTTTGAAACACGATTGGCGATAGATTATGAACTACATAATATTTATCATGTATAAATCGATTTTTTCACGCACATTATAAACTATGAAAAATCGTACCGATAGTTTGTCGATTGTTTAATATTTGGCTAGTAAATTTGCTGTTGTACCAATCATCGTCCTGCCTTTTTTATCTCGTTAAGTTTTTCGGTGTTTCCGATTTCTCTGAAATCACGACTTCCATTGCGTTGAAAATTGTACGTTTTCAAATTTCACTATCTTTTGTAGTTGTAGATAGATAATTAACTATAAATAATAAAAATAACAAATCTGTTGATTTAATTTTCAGTTTAACGTAGTGCATAACAAAATATAATATGTCGGGCAATGACTGTAGAATATACGTAGGAAATCTGCCACCGGATATACGGTCAAAAGACATTCAAGATTTGTTTTATAAGTTCGGCAAAGTGTTGTTTGTCGATTTGAAAAACCAAAGAGGACCCCCTTTTGCATTTGTCGAATTCGATGATCCAAGGTACGATATGCTTTGTATTATCTTGTTGATTGTTACTTATAGCTTATTTAAATACTAGTATTTTAAAGAACAGAATTGTATACTAATTATTATCAAATTAATTAATAATGCATTTTATAATTATATATTAATAAATTAAACGTCTTAGTTTATCTGATATTATAAAAAAGTATACTTTAAAAAATGGCTTGTTGCTAAGTACAGGGTGCGGCGTGGAAATAATTATTTTTTTAAATAAGCAGGACACCAATTATTGAAATAAAAAGTATTTAATGTCATTAGAAACATGGGAACTTACTTTACAGGACACCCTTTTTTATGTAATTTTTGTTTAACCATCGTATAGTGTTATTTATGCTTATTATGAATCTGAAGTCGGAAATTGGCGGACTCTCTAGTTCAAAAGTTACAGCTACTTGAACTTGAGAATTGTCGTTGCTCAAGACGACTATGGCCTCCGCGGTGCGCCACCATCCAGTTGCAGCAAAAGTTGTGACAGTAGCGACACAATAGCTCAATTTATGATAATATCACTTACTATGAGAAATTTAGTCTTTATTATATTTTATAGAATTTATAGTCTTTTATATAATTTGTTGGTGTACAGTATGGCCACATTGATGGCTTACCTCATCAAAAAGGAACAACAAAATCTAACCTAATACTGCTCTGGAAGCGTTGAACGACCTAAAAATATCAAACCTAGCCTTTCTGACCGAATATTCAAAATAAATTTTAAAAATTTGGCTAAGGCTATTATATAACTGTTCGGGAGCTAATGTAATTGATTTCTTTTATTTAGTTTTAATTAAGTAAACCTATAACTACATAAAGCAACTCTATGACAGATGGGGGCTTACGCCCCCAAAACCCCAGAAAGAAAATTAGATTACCTAAAGGAAATAAAAAAGGTAACCTGATACCGCTCTAGGTCAGCAACCTAACAAAACCAAACCTAGCTTTTTGACCAACCCATTAGTTAAATGATCACTAACATGAAACAACTGCTGTGTTTTTCAATCACAATTAGCGTTGTCTACCGTGCAGCTGAAAATTATAAGGTGCACCACGGAGACCTAATTACATAATTATTAGAAAAAATACATTTTTCTATTTAAATTTTTGTGTTTAAATTTACATCACTCGTATACAATTACCACCAACCCTATGTAGTATACGAAAATAGGAACTAATTCCGTAGGTTTCCCAATTTTCATTAAAAATTGGGGATACCTTGTCATCATTTATTTGGCCCAATGCAGATTCTGTCATCCATTTGTCATTTAACTATACAACAAGGTCCATCTATTGATAAAGGTAAACCTTCATAAAATTGGTTAACATTTCCGTGCACAGCACTGTTTATTTGTATATTGTCAAATCATTGACGACAATTAAGTATGTAAATGGTTTTAAATATTTGTATTTAAATCTTTACTCATAATCATAAGTTACATAGTTAAATAATTCAAATTTAATTATTTTTTTGTCATTGTGCAATTTTTAGAGATGCTGAAGATGCCGTTCATGCTAGAGATGGATATGACTATGATGGATACAGATTAAGAGTGGAATTTCCACGGGGTAATGGGCCACACAGAGGTGGTGGTAGTGGAGGTGGCGGAAGTGGAGGTGGCGGTTACAGTAGAGGAGGTGCCAGTGGAGGAGGCGGAAGAACTAGAGGACCACCAGCAAGACGCTCCCAGTATAGAGTATTAGTTACTGGTAAGTATTTCATTTCAAGTATAGTATTTTTAATATAATTATATATTATTTAATACAATGTTATACATTTTTGTGTATAGGATTGCCACCATCGGGTAGTTGGCAAGACTTAAAAGACCACATGCGAGAAGCCGGAGATGTTTGCTATGCTGATGTTTATAAAGATGGATCTGGTGTTGTAGAATTTTTACGTTATGATGACATGAAATATGCAGTTCGTAAATTGGATGATACAAGATTCAGATCACATGAGGTTTGTTATTAAAATGTGTGAAGTATAAACTTGTCAATTTTTAATGTTATGTTTTATTATTGTTATAATTCTTGAAAGATTTTATAAATAAAAGGATTGGCCATCCTGTTAAAAAACGACAGTATGTAGCGTATATTCAAGCCGGAGAAATGTTTGTTGGATATATACTAGCATACATACATTGACCCTACTTCAGTGCACACTGTAGGCGCTACTATTTTGATCAATAGGTTGACCAATTTAATTATTATAAAATCAATATGTTAATTAAATCAGTCCCTCACAATAAAATACATTTTTAAAAAAACATTAGGCAAGGCCTTTGGCTAATGCCTACTCTGCCTACTCCTTATGATGCACATTAGATGGTAAGATTAAGTTATGTTAGGTTAGAATAGGTTAAGTATTCTTTTTTGCTGAAATTTCAAACTATTTACAGAGACTTACTTCTAAGACAGAGTACTTACAACTATGTTGAAGTGACTTTGTATCTCCGATGGCTTTTGCAAAATTTCTTAAATATCAGTAAAAACTGAACACAGTTATTTATATTATGAACAATTTTAAACAAAATTTAAATCTATATTAGCTTAAACATATTCATATGCATTTTCTATCATTGAATAGGGTGAAGTATCCTATATTCGCGTTAAGGATGATTATGGTGGTGGAAGTAGCCATCGTAGTCGAGATTACAGCCGAAGCCGGAGTCGTTCCAATAGTTACTCTCCACGAGATCGTGCTTCACCGACCTATTCACCAGTGCACAAAAGTCGCAGTTATTCAAGATCCCGATCCCGATCCCGTTCATAATATTGAGGACCAAATGGTAAAGCATGAAACAATTCTATATTGACCCTCATTCCATTACTCTAGTGTTTAATTATTATTATTATTATTTTTATTTGAAACATATTTTCACAACATTTAATACGAGGGTTAAGATAAGTTACTTGTGTTTTTTTTTGTCAATTTTTATTACTTTAATATTGTAGCTGATTATAAACTGGACTTGGACATTTGAAACAATAAAGGACTCATAGCATTAATATACAAAGGATATATAATTAAATTGTATTTGCCACCTTTTTGTCGACTGAACTGGAAACCACACACATATTAAAAATATACAGATTATGTATAAAAAAAAGATTCATGGATAACAAATGGATCTTAAAGAACTGTAACTATTTAGTAATTGTATAAATTGTGTGTATCTGTTTGTTTGTTTTATGTTAATCACGAAAAATAACAATAAAAGTTCACCATAGAGGAATTTTTAACTCGAATATGTGAGTTCATAACACAGATTATAATGTATATATCTGGACTCTCTTATGGAACTCAAAAATCAGAGGATATTTATTAATTAGGGACTTGCACGTTGGAAATATGGATAATATATCAACTAATAATTGAAAGCACACTATAAATTGGACATTTACCTCAGGATTCTCTACTAAAAGCTAAAGGAAACTTCAAGTCTTCGAGAATATATTACATCATTACTTTTATAGGAGATACATAAAATATATTTTAGGATTGACATTTTTTGGAACCTTCAAAAATTGGAATATACTTGCAAACTGACTTCTGGACTTCTCCCGCTTAGGAAATATAACTCGGGGAACCTATACTACTTAAATGGATTTTCAAAACATATAAATTAAAGGATCAAAATTGGATTATGCTGGACATATTTTGATTACAAACAAATCATTTTGAATACCTGCCTTATTCATGAAATTGGATTGTAGGACAAAATGGACAATAACGGAATTAATTTATAACTGATACTGGAAGGATAATGTACACACTGGATATGCATTTTTTGAAAGAATACAGCAGTAAAAGAAATATTAAGGGGGTTAGTGTTAAACTCAAATTGCTATATCCTTGTTCATTATTATGCTTTTTTATTATTAACGCCATGTATTTAGTAGAGAAATCATAATATGTAAAAATTATTCTTATTTCTAATTAAAAAGATATATTACCCATAATACCACATAAGTATACTATTTACAGTTCGATGATTTGACGACAATTTAATTTTTCAATTCATAACAGATTAATTTTTACATTTATTTTCAAAATTAGTTTCTAGTATTGTCTTATGTGTTTTTCAAACAATAAAGGAAATAGCCTGTTACCTTTGTGCTGGTACTTTGGTACCTAAGTAAACATGAGTGTGATTAAGTACATGAATAGTATTTAAGTAAAATATTTCTGTACAAAAATATGTTATTGTACAAAATGAAATGTACATAATACATAATACTCAACTCTTTTGCAGAGTTCAAAAGCACTAATTAAGATATTAAATGAAAGGAACTTATCTAAATGATATGATGTATATAATTTAAAAATGGGGATTCTTTTTTTTTATTTAAAGTATTTTTTTCTATAATCTTTTTAATTGAAAATGTTAGTATATTTTGGAACTTAGTTTTATAAACAATATATATTATTATAATTGGTTAATAATTATTTTTCTTAGCAATTCAATTGTAAGTGATCTTTAAAAATTGAGTTACTTTATATTCATAAATATGGCTTATGTATACTTGCTGTTTAGGTATTGATAATTTTACTCATAGAATAAAACATTTACTAAAACTATTAACTAATGCTAATTATTAGTTTTGAAGAGTATTATACTTATTATATTATTGTTGAATATATGTATTTATATATATTTATTAATTTTATATTTTACATAAATTTCATTTCCTACTATAACTAAAGTAAATTATCATTTACATAGTGAGATTATAAAAAGTCAATAATTCAGATGTGATTTATTTATTTGAGCCATAATGTGCTTAACAAGTGTGCCGAATATGGTTCTCTTATGAAGCCTTAGTAATTACTGGTATATATTGTTAGAACACTGAATAGTATAATACAAATAGTACAAATATTAACTCTTGACAAAATTAAATTTCTATTGGTCAACTTTAATTAGTATAATAAAAAAATAATAGTTAACACAAAGTACAGTTTTATGTTGATTCTTAGTAGATTTTATAAGTAAAATTATTCTATTATAACAAAAACAAAAAATGTACAAGTAAAATAGGTTTCTAGATGACTGGGCGTGATACTTAATGATAATTATTACATAAAATATTAAAATAATATTTTCAAAATATTGATAAAATATATGAGAAGAAAATAAAAAATATTTTATTTAGTTTATCACAATGTTTTAAAATATTTTGAAAACATTTAGAAAATATATTTAAAAAACTGATTTATAATATTTGTTGTAGTATGTTTTGAAAATGTTTTCATTATATTTTTTTTGGAGACTAAATATTTTCAAGACATTTTAACAATATTTTTAAAAAAACATTTACAATAAAACTTAATTCAAATATTTTTAAAATGCTATGTGGGTTATTGTACAAACAAGAAAGGCCAGGTAGGACAAGTTCACACATACTTGAAAACTAAGAGTATCCTATTTACATTTACAACACAACTGTATTTTTTATATAGCTGTTCTCACATCCCAATTCTCAACAATAATACATTAATTATTTACTAAATTTGTTAACAGTACTTAATTACTATTATTTTATAGCTAAATTTTTTTGTGAAACATTAGTGTAGTTGATTTTAATGTAGATGTTTTATTATATTTTACATAATTATAAACCTTATTAACAGTACATTTTGCATTAATCAAATTTAAATTTTGACAACGATGTTGTCATCTTGAGCTTTAAACACAGACATTATTTATTGTATTATTAAATATGTGTTTACTTAAAGTTAAATTTATTGTAGATAGTGTTTTGGATTGAATAAATTAAATAGCTCTACATATCTATTTTATCTATTATGTATTAAATAATGTGCTTTGTCAAATTGCACATTACACATATACTGTCATGGTTAAAAAATAATAATCTATAAAGTAATAGCAAAATTAATTTTTTTGCCATTTTATTTTAAAAACATAAGCCGTGAAACAATTACTTCTTAAAAACAGCTAAACTTCAAAGCTTATAAAATGTATAAAACAAGTTTCCTTTTATAGAAATGTATAGTTTATATCAGTAACTAAAGTAGTATTAACAGAACTCGTATTTGATTAATTTAGAAGTATATGGTTTTTCTACTAATAATTTTAAAAAAAACGGTACTAGCCTAAGTTCTTAGTCCTAGCGGCTTAAGTAATCAAACTTATTTTGGCAAAAATTGACACGAGCTTTTCTAGATATAAATACATTTAGAAATTACACATTGTACAATTACACAACAACTTTTATTTTTAAAGTATTTTTTTCTCTCAAACGAGAATGGGATAAGGTTGTTAATGGATGTTTAGCCATGTGAAATTAACAAATAGGAAGCAATTTTATTAATCCTCGTTTGGCGGTATGTCCCCCACAAAGGTCTATGTCAAATAACATTATAATATTCGGAATGCAGTCATTAAATAATTTCACGTGTTTAAGATTTCCCAACTTTAATACTGTATTGTGAATATATAATTTCAAAAATAATTTAAATGTAATTTTCAAGCCTCTATAAAAATAATTTAGATTTAGAGTTTTGTCATTGTGCCTCTTTTTCCTGAACGTGTGTCGTATACCTTATAGTTGTTTAATACAATGTACTTAAATTAGTGCATATGTATAATCTGCAAAAACTAAATAATTGTTAATTAGGAAAAATGGTAAACGGAAACTAATAAATAAATTTAAAATAATTAATAAATAATAAATTTTAATTTTTCTCACTAGAAACTGTCTTGTTTTTATTTTAATTAAATATATATTAACGTAACCATATATGTATTATACGTACTCTTATACTCTTTAATAATAATCTAAATTCAACTGTTATAATTTTATACACTTTTATGTCTTATGATATATTATTATATCCAAAAAAATGTGTTACCAGTGGACATGACTGTAAAACTATAGTATAACTCATACGCCGATGACGTAATTTGTCTAATCCCAGTATTAGAAAAATGTATTGAACATTTTTGTTCCAGAAATACTTTTCTTTTTTAAGTAAACGCGCTCAAATTTGAAGAAAAAAAATGTAAAATAAAGTATCGATAAGACTGCGTTTCTCTATTCTGTGAAACATAATATTGTTTTATGTTCCATCTCTAAACGGTCTACTATAAAATACGCATTTCGATAAATTAAACCATCCAATAATTCATATATCCTGAATCCGATCGCCTAGTACAAATCTATAAATTTACTTCTTGTGGTTTCCTGTTGCAACTAGCACACTTTAGTTATGCCACCGTGTAATCTAATCTCTAAGCAACCACTAAACACTACATTGTGTTCGTTGGACCATTTTTCGTCTTTCACACGGTTTTATCGCTCAATATTAAAAAAAAAAAAAGTTTGCGGTTAAAGCTTTTGTATATAAATATGTTTGCTCGGAATAGCAAATCATTCGATGCGTATATTGTCGTCGCCAGTGTTTGATTAATGTCAAGTCGATCTATAGTTATTTTATTTCTGCCGTTATTATAACTGTCAAAAGTTAAAACTGTTTTTAAATATATAATATACTAACTACTGGTAAGGACTGTTATTGTTTTAATTATTTGTATTAAACAATTTATGTTTATATTTAAAAAATACAGCTTATTAAATTGTGATCTTTGCGAATACAATTGTTTGTTCTGTTCGTGTAACTTGGAGTGTATGCCGTAACATAGGTTCTACTAGTTATATTTGTATCATTTTTTTAGTTTTTTTCTAAAAACTATTTTTAAGGCATTAGTTTTTTTTTTAATTATATTTATAACCTAACTTAGAAAATACATATTTTTTTAAACCTTACGTGTACGTGTATTTTTCTCTTCTTTCCACTCCAAAAGTATTATTTAATTATAATATGTGTAATCGATAATATGTATTTTTCATAAGTTAAAAAAACTAACTAATCTTTTTATTATTTAATTATTTACAACTAGAACTAGCGAAATATAAAAAAAAAAAAAAGACTAGAAAAACATGTGTTAAATATTTTTTTTAGAATCACCATGACGGCGTCCAAAGACAATCTCGCGTATCTCTTTGACCGCCCGACGGAACCCCTGTTCATTGGCAAGGGCGAGGATAATGTCGTTTTCGATATTCCCGAGGATTATTTGGTACGCTATTTACTCAGAAATGTTGCATATTATTCATGTACAAATATTAACCTTTACAACCGTGTAATTCATCATCAAGCAACAGACCGACATATTATGCACATGTTTGTATATTTTGTTTCTCTGTTTAGACCGACCGGTACAAACCGGTGGCGGCTGACTTGCAGACCCGCTTTCCCGGCTCCAAAACCGTTGCGGTCAAGAAACTAGACAAACTCCCCGACTTGTCCCTACCCCTGTCTCTCGACAAGCACAGGCCGTTCACCCTGTTCAACCCGCACCACCGCACGGTGGCCAGCAGGCTCGTCACCGTTTTAATGGGTAGGTAAACCTGCCAAACTCGTTACAGTTAACTAACGTGTATACGAACGCTGTAGGCGTTAATAGGAGACGGGTAATATTGAATTTCGTGTCCTATAAATATTAAATCATAATAAAATACTTTTAATAGAAGTGGAGACATTTATAGTTTTATGATTACATAAATGATACATCATTACACACCTACAGCCTTAATAATTAATTGGTAAATTAAATACAATGGCGCCAGCATGTGAAAATTCAAGAGGAGCGCCTACGATTTTGCGATTTTGGCATATGATTTTCTTTTTACTCGCAGAAAGAAAGGAAGTTTTCCCTCTTGCCCCTTGCTGTGGGCGCCCTTGGTTAAATACATTTAACTGGAGGTGGAATGCGTATCATTTAGTTCTGATTTTTTAAGTCACATATTCGGTCGTAAAAGAATATTTATAAGTGCCTTATACATTTACTTATTATGCCCTAGGTATTAAATTTGATGTTACTAAACTGAAATTGAACTTTTCTCTAACGGATTTACAATTTAATAGTGTCGGTTATTATGTTTTATCGCAATCGTAAACATTACTTGTACATAACAAAACATTTTTTTTATTTTGAATATTCAATCAGCTCATAAAACATTTTGGGTTTTGATCGACTTGCTTGCTCCGTTGTGTATGGCGATTTTAAATACTACTATTCTAAGGTAGGTACATACTAAGTTTCTATTATGGTGTTCCTCGGAAGCGTGTCCATGCACAGTATAATATAGTCAAGTTTGGAGCGGCCTTTAAAATGGTTCTCACTTTTCTCTTTCATTCTAAGGTCGGTAAAATTTATGTTCATGATTTTTTTAAGAATAAGGTCCTAGAAAAAGGCAGTTTACTATTTATGTATAAACAGCATTATGCTTTTGGTGATTATGCGATCATTTTGTAGGACTATATGTAATTAATATATCACACTATAGGTATTATTGTCATCGATGTATTTCATTGTACTTTAATTTTCAACTTGATTTTGAAATTAAGATATTATTTTTATAGAGGCCCGAACAACTGACGAACTAATGTCCTTGGCCGTTTACTGTCGCGACCGGATGAATCCGTTTTTGTTCGTCTATGCCATGTCTGTAGTCATGATTCATAAGCCAGAAACGCGCACCATACAACTGCCTTCGCACGCTGAAATGTTTCCCAGTCTCTATATGGACTCTTCTATTTTCAGCCGTGCCAGAGAAGAAGCATCCACCGTTTCGCCTGGCTCTAGGGTAGGTGATGATATGTCAATCTTCCAGCGAGACTACCTCTTTATGCTTGAAGTTCGATATTAAAAGTCATTATGGTAACTGATTATATTTTGAGTTATGAGAAATCGGAGGAAACCGGGAAAGACTTGCCCAAGTCTGAAAGATATAAGAATGTGTTGTGTGATTGATTGATATAATATGTTGCAGTATGACATAATATGACCTTGTTAGTTGTTGGGCCTTGTGAAGAGTACTAAAATACACTGTACTATGGTAGTTTGCGAGTTCCTGCACCATATAGCAGGAATTTGCTGGGTTAGTTGAATATATATAAAGCTGAGGTAAAATTAAAAAAAGGTCATTCCTTTGATCGTTTTTCGATTTTGTATTTTGATCCGCTATAGCTTCGCGAAAAATGTTCAGTAATTTTAGAACTACCATATTTTTACACAATAAATCACCAATTACAATGCAAACGAGGTTGAAATGTGCTTTGTATTCTGTCCGGGCAGATGACTAACGATTAAATAGCCTTATTATACCTTACAATAGTGAAAGAATGTTTTTTTTTTTAATAACATAAATAGATAGCCGTGGAAATACCGCAAGATTACACGGCGTCGGATTTGGACATCGAACATAGGATAGGGTACTTCCGAGAAGACATCGGCATTAATCTTCATCATTGGCATTGGCATTTGGTGTATCCATTTGAAGGACCCCGTAGTATAGTGGAAAAAGACAGGCGGGGAGAACTTTTTTACTATATGCATCAACAGATATTGGCCAGGTAAACCTTTAGAAATTAACGGTTTTTCACTGACCATTTTTTCTAAAAACTAGGTACTCGTTGGCGATTTCAGGTACAATTTAGAGCGTTTCAGTAATCGCATGAGCAGAGTGACACCTTTGATGAACTGGAACGAACCTATTTCGGAAGGCTACTTTCCAAAATTGGACACCTTGGTAGGCAACCGTGTATGGCCACCAAGAAGCGCCAATACCAAATTAACGGTAATTTAAGACATCCTTTTGGTAGTGAACGTACTTACTAAGATAGATTATGATTTTATTTGTATAGAATGTGCAGAGACAAAGTGATCAAGTCACATTCAACATTGAAGACTTGGAACGTTGGAGAGATCGATTGTTCTTAGCCATACATTCTGGTTTTGTCATAAATGTAATAATAAATAATATTTTCCTTTATCAATCTGCTGAATCCTATTATAAATATATAGGCATTACCTATTAATCATTTATATACCATGTACTCACGTTTATATTATAATATTATAATGTTTACAACAGACAAGAGGTCAACAAGAAAGGTTAACTGAGACTAACGGCATCGATATCCTCGGTAACTTGATCGAGGCTAGTTTACTGAGTATTAATCCGACCCTGTATGGATCCCTTCACAACAATGGCCATTTAGCTATTGCCTATGTTCACGATCCTGATAACCGCTACTTGGTAAATATGCTATAATTTGCTTTTGATACCCAAGTGTATTATTATTTCGGTTGTTATTCAGGAACATTTTGGTGTTATGGGAGATGCCACTACAGCAATGCGTGATCCGATATTTTACCGTTGGCACTCCTACATTGATTACATTTTTCAAGAATTCAAAGCTACTATTCCTAGATACACTATTCAAAATGTAAGAAACTTGCTACATTTCTTCTTTTTACATTTTATTTTTATATAAAAAATACTATTGTAGCTGACCTTTGAGACCGTTAGAGTGCAAAGTATTGAAGTTACCGCTCCAGGAATACCTCGGAATGAATTTGCAACATTTTGGCAGCAGAGCGATGTAGATTTATCTCGAGGTCTTGATTTTATACCACGTGGTTCTGTCTATGCTCGTTTTACTCATTTACAGCATGCTCCATTCTCTTATAAAATAATAGTATGTATTAAATGAATTTTAATTATAAATAATATAGCATTCAACTCAAATATGAGTAATTTAATAAAATAATAATAGCCCACTAAAATTATATTATATATTTTTTTTTTTTAATTTCAGGTAGAAAATAATGGTGACCAACGAATGGGGACAGTCCGTATATTTATTGCTCCAAAATACGATGAAAGAGGACTACCATTTTTGTTTAGAGATCAAAGACATCTTTTTGTCGAACTCGATAAATTTAGTACTCAACGTAAGTCGTTCAAAAAAAAAATATATAAGTTTGTTATTTTTTTTTATGTATTATTTTTTGTTTTTTACAGTGAGAAGAGGAAGAAACGAAATTGAAAGACGTTCAACTGAATCCTCTGTGACAATACCCTTTGAAACAACTTACCGAAACTTGGATGCTAATAGACCTGCTGTGGGTACTAGTGGAGAAGCAGCGTTTAATTTTTGTGGATGTGGATGGCCTCAAAATATGCTAATTGCAAAAGGAACACCAGAAGGTTTACCTTGTCAACTGTTTGTAATGGTTTCCAATGGTACAAACGATCAAGTCAGTGAAATGACACCATACTTATTATTTATTATATACTTGGCTATTTGCACTTTACTTTAACCAATGCAATTTGTTGTTAGGTGGAGAACTCTCAAGGGGAGGCTACTTGTGATGATGCTTCTAGCTACTGTGGTGTTCGAAATGCGCGATATCCAGATGCTAGAGCAATGGGATATCCTTTTGATCGACCACCAAGGGATGGTGTTGTTACATTACAACAATTTCTTACGCCCAATATGACCGTTCAGGATGTAACTATTAGATTCACGGATCGTGTAGTTGCTTCATTACAATCTTCTGGAGCTGTTACTAGACCGAATTCTAACAGACCACAACAAACAACAAGTACAGGGACTGGAAATAATCGTCCAACAACTGGAAGAAATTGACAGACTTAAATATTTTATAATATAATACAAATATATATATATATATATATATATATTAATAGTTAATCTTAAAGAATAACGGAACAAATATATTTAGTGTACTAAAAAAAATATTCTTCACATATTACTCACTTAATTGATTATATTAAAAAAAAAAAATGTATTTATTATTTATAACTAAATTATGAATAATTTGATTAATTATTGATGGATACATTTGATTTAATAAAACTCAATAATCATTAATGGGTTGTCTGATTGTAAATTATTTATGTTTTTAGTGAAGTGATTATATATATATATATATATATCTTAAGCCTTAATCTGATATTGATTTATTACAATCACGAATAGTTAATTATAAAAAAATGGTCCTTTTATGTCCATAGGCAAGGTAAAATAATTACAAAATTTGGTGTTATGCTTAAAAATGTAGCAGGAAAGTTACTAGCCTAAGAATAATTCTGAATGACCTTCGTAATGCAAATTTATATTATCTAGTAGAATAGGTATATTGACTACTGAATATTAAATATTTTCATGTAGCTAATATTAGTAAAAATAATTTTATTGCAGCTGTGTAATAAGCATAATAATAGCTACAATATTAATATTATAATAAACACATTCCCATATATTATAGCTTAAAATTATAAATAATTAAATCCGATTTAAGTATACCATTAGATTTGGATACATTTTGTGTAAATGAGTTAAACCATAGATTAAATTTACATAGAAAATTCAGGAGCCTACGAGAAACAGCACACGTTATAACAAAAATAAACACAACAAAACACGGTTTTCCTTCAAATTGGGTTGCCAAAAAAGCTTATGATGTGGTCTATCTATGTATTTTTGATCTAAAGTTAAATAAACTATAACTCGTTTATAATTGTAAAATCATTTTGTAAGAATCAGAACAATAGTATGTATAAAAATATTTTTTTAATGTTTGAATAAAAATATAGCATTCATACACAATTATTAATTCGTAAGTTTAAACATAGGTCTAATAAAGAACAGGTACAAAATATGATATTTTATTAAAACTAAAAATTATAAATATCTAGTGAAAAATGTTAAATAGCTTTCTTTAAATTTTACTATTTATTATAGCTATTTTTCTAACTGAATTTGTATAGTTGTGAAAACTCATGCATAACTTCTTTTTACAATTTATAGTTCGCTAATTAAAAATAATTAAACCATTCCCATTATTTTACTTGTTTAATTAATCACCATAAAATAAATATGCCAACAACCCGTAGTTAGGAAATTTGAATTAGTATCATCTTTTATAGTATTTATACACAGGTCATAATGCTCTCGTTAGAAATTTAAGGAGAATATGCCATACATTTCTACATATAATTAAAATTAAAGTTTAACTTAAAACATTAAAATACTGATTGGCCCTATAATTATTACATAAATGTCATATAATGTATAATAAAATATAAAAAAGGAATCAAATTTTGTTATCTCATAAAGATTGAAGTTCTAAAGGCAACATTACTTTGCTGGCTGCAGCAAATCTTTTTAACATTTCAAATTGTCTAACTGTATTTTCAACTTCCGACCGTATCATATTGTTAGAATGTTGAAGGTCATCAAGCTCTTGATACTCCTGTGATTTTTCAGTTTCCAGTTCATCTTTTTGTTCAATTCTCTTAATACGACAGCTGCAAACAATTATAAATTAAGTAGTTAAAATATCAGTGTATTTAGCGCTCGCCGCTCACTGTTGCTAGTTCAACACTCAGTCACAGGCGTTCCATTTGCCAGACGAGAAATCGTCTGGTAAAAAGGAACCATCATCTTATCCGACGACAGACTGATGACCCCCCCCCCCCGATAGCGAATATGTCTAGAAACCATCTCACGATAGCAGCGTTGGGCCTTCAAGTTGGGCCCGTTAAGCTACATGATGATTATATTAGTTACGTAGATGGTCATTGCGTGATAATTTACCTTGCTGCATAGCCACGGTTTTTTAAAGTTCTCCGTCGTTGTTTCATGCGTACTATCTGATCTCTAGTCAAACCACGCATTTTTAGTTGGCGATTTAAATCCCTAACTGATATTGTTACTAGTTCATCGTCGCTTATATCCAAGACAGGACTTGGTGACAATGGAGGAGGCTACAATGTAATTCACGGATATGATTAAAATCTACATTTTTATTTAGTGTTAATTATTATGATTTATTTACCAAATATTCTCTTTTAAGCGGAGACATGCTCATTAAAAAGGATGTTCTTGTTCTTCAAAAATTAGATAACTATAATATAAATGTAACAACAGTCAATAGAACAACTAAAATGGCTTTCTTATTTGTTTTAGTATAGTCATGCCTGCACAATAGTTAAAATTCATGATTCATCGGCCTTCCATCAATCAAACTCCTCTCAGTTGCTCCCATCTCCCATTATCAATTATTATCAAATAACAAAGTTAATTCAATGAGATTGTAAGTAATGATATAAGTTATCAAAGACATTGTAAGTAACTATTATTCACATAGACGGAGCATCCGGGCGGGTAGTACGACGTGCACGGCTATTGGTCGTATATACATACACATACACGTATGCTAATATGCGTACATGAACTAATACGCGCATAACTCATGAGCACATTGCTTAGTGACGTCACCGAGTGCCGCCGTCAGCGCAGTCACATCGGCTCGCTGGAACTACATGTATGCATCAAGTAGTATGAAGTCTTTTGTAATATTTAAATTTTAACAACCGACAACTGTTGTCTGTTAACGTTAAATTGTCAACAGTCAAAAATAAATAATAATACATCCATGAACATTTATATTTGTATGGTGAATTGTTATTTATAACTTATACTTAAAATTCAATTGGTTTTCAGGTAACGAATTAAACTTGTCGCGGATATAACATTTCTTGTAGTTTATCCACTTTTCGAAATATTTTATTACATCGAATAACCTTTAAAATTGTATTCACAATGGCTTTAAACCAAGAAAATAATCATTTAAGTAACGAAGAATTAGTAAACCGTTTGAATCAAGCTGAAAATTCATATAAGGTATTTGGATTTTCTCACATTATTATTATTGGATCCGTGACAGACACCATGGATTCCTCGTTGCGTAAATGTATCGACAGCATGTATCGTAAAACCAAAGTTCACAGTCGGCGTGATGGAGAAGCTGAAAACTATCGTCAACTACTTTGTAAACTGTATTTGACTTATTTCGAACGAGGTCTGAGTGCCATTAGCTTATTGGAACCCAAATTAGCTCAAGTTTTAAAAGTTAATGTGGAAAAACCTATTCAAAATACAGAAGAAAAATTAATTAAATTAAAAGAAATGGTATCTGAGAAAACCAAGCGAGTTCAAAGCTTGATAGTATTACAAAATCGTTTAAAAACAGATACAGTGTTAGCGGAGTGGGTCATATTTAAAGTGGAACCTATCGTACACAATGCTGAAAAAGATCTAGCTGGTATGGAATGTATATCACAAAATGCTATTATGACAGTTTTAAATAGCTTACACCGAATGAAAAATGCTTTTCAATCTTTAGAAATCAATTAATATGGACCTATTTTTTTATACTTTTTTATTTAAACTTGTATATAATGTAATTTATGTTTTAAATGGAAATAAAACTCAATTCTTCCATCACCTAATGTTTTTTTCTTACATATTATTTAGCATTAAAAATTTATTTAATAATATATTTGATTAGTTTTTAGTCGTTGCCAAGCTTAAAAAGTCGCAAGCATTATGAAAAATAACGATAACAATATAATGAAAAAAATAATATTAAAATCAAATTTAGAGTACAACCTTAAAATTTAGGTAATGAGTAAAAAATTAATTACCTACACATGTTTTGTAATGTTATCCAGTTTATTCTGTCACAACTACTACCTTCAACCAACAAAAATATCAAACCCATAATACAATTTCAGATAAAAATTGTTTTAAAAGTAAATTACATCATTGTACTCATAAAACAAAGCAATAGCTTTTTTGCTCCACTAAATTTGGTATAGTTCAATTATTTAAATAGTTAAATGGAGATTAATTTGTTGAACATTTTAACTGGACAATAACCAATTTTGTATAATACTTTCAAAGTTTTAAATTTAGATGGGAAGTGGAGTGCGGTAGAGTAATGCGCTCAGATAAAAAATATATAAACTTAGCAGACACGCATACTTTAGCAGCACTGTTAAATGGTAACGATCTGTTGCTAGTGCTGTTGATGGTTTAGCGTTAGCAACAGACTGAGAATGTTTGCTTATTGTTTATAACCACAAATATTTCTTAAGTTTTTTCTAAATTATTCTCAATTTAAAAAGTTAATAAATATATCCGTTCTCATTTAAGTTTCAAAAGTCGATAGGTAGCTCTCAAGAAAAAAGATAAGACTTGAATTTATTATAATATAATATTATAAAAGAACATACCTAAACTAAAGAATCTTCAAGAAGTAAAACTACAAAATAGTAATTATCTTGGGAGAAAATGAGTTTTTATCCTTATTGAAGAACCCTGTCAACTATTTTAACACTCAATTCAGATCATTATAGTTATATAATTAACGTTCAAGAAGTACATCAACAAGAACAAGACATTATACTTGAAATATTATAAACTATAGATATTTATTTAATATAACATCATATTATTATGCACAACCGAATGATGGCAAATGTATTGTTTTAACTTATAGGCGTAATTTTATAAATAATATAAAATACATTTATTTAAATCATAAAATATTTTTTCAAATAAAAAAAGTAATAATAGTGATATTGTCAATAGATTCAATACAATATATTTTTTAATCAATAATAAAACATCAAGTATGAAAACAAATAATATATATATATGTAAAATACACAACTAACCTATTTTACATATTGTACATTTTCCTTTTTTTTTTAAATATTTAAACTTAAAATATAAATAATAAATACTACCGTTTCGATAAAGCAATGTTATTATAATAATGTATACAATTGTTCATCGAAATATTTTTGTTTACAAAAAAATTCCATTTTTTAAACTTAAAACTAACATAAACGTAGGGTTATATATATTTCGCTTCATTATTAAAATTACACTGTGAAAACTAATAAAGTTTTTTTAATTTAATTGTAATATTTCATTTATGTTGGCATTTTTAAAAATCAAAAATGTATATTATTATAAATTATAATAGCATGATATTTAACATAATAGTTTTGGCTTCTTTTGAAAATATCCTGATTCTAAGACTTATGCAGTAACTTAAGCATACATAACATAATATAGTAGAGGAATAGTATGTAAAAAAATATAATACTATTTTATCCTTCAATAGGCATGTATAAAATAAAAATAAAAACTTTAATAATAACTAGCAATACATAGTAATAAAATAAATAGTAGTAGTAAATAAATAGTAGTAAAACATTACATTTCTTTCAGTGGTTCAATTTGGATATATTTGATTTCATTTAATATTTTTGTGAATATACTTAATCTATACGTATAACTAGTTGTGTGTACTTTAGTTTCAAGATTCGGCGCCATCTCCAATTCTTAACACTTTTTGGCTATTCTCAACAAATTCCTATTGAATGAGAAACAAAAATAAATTAAAAACGACTTGGTAAAATAAATTACAGTAGAAATTCATTAAAAAAAATTATACTCATTATTCTGTCAGGTCTGCTTTTAACAATAGAAATATTAAGCCCTATTATAAAGTTAAAAACTAAAAAAAACCACAATGACCCAATTTAAAACATTAAAATCTAAACAAATATTATATTAAAGCATACCTAAGTAGTTGTGTAAAAACTGTTTCTTGTAATAAATTAAAAACAAAAAAAAATTTTTCTTTATTATTTAATTACTTATGGTAAATAAATAAATTGTTTTTATTATCATTATACATGTTGTATGGACATGTATTATACATGACTGCTAATAGCAAAAAAAAAAGTAAGTCATTTTATCATCATAATTTGTATGTCTATTAAGTTACTCACAAAATGTGTAAACATTTATTTCAATTCTGGGTTAAACTACGGTTATTATTAAAATCATTATACCTAATACTTTTGTTCTAAGAAAAACGAGTTTAAAAAAAAATGTAGACTTTTTTCTGTTACTATTGGTATATTTTTCCACCTACAGACTGCTAAATCATTTAGCAAAAACTATTAATTAAAAGTTCATTTTTGCCAGTTCATTGAATGTATTTAAAAATAATTTCTACTGTAATTTAAAAATGTTAACAATCCGATGATGAGAAGTTCTTCATAGTTTATAATTAATATAATACAAAATATAAAGTCAACTATTTACCATTAGCTCTTTGCTCATGTAATACTCCTGGTTCACACCATCATTTAGGTTGCAGTCTTCACAGAAACACATGAATACTGTATCTATGACCATCTAAAAATTGTTTAAAAAATTATTTAGTTTTTTTATTTAGATAAAGTATTCGAAATATTATAGCTTACTTCATAGACTGATATAAAACAATGCGCCACGAAATAAGCAAAAATACCAGCAACTGCGAGAGGAGCCCATAAATGGATAATACCTGGTTTGGTCTAAATAAAAATAAAAATATATAAATCATTTGATTGAATTCATAAAAAAAATTTTTTTTAAAAAAAGAGTACTATTGGTTGGGCCCTTGTATATTATATTTGCATGAGTTGAGTAGCGAAAACTGTATAGTATATAAATTGCATAAATATAGAAAAAGGTCTACCAAAAATTGGGCCTGCCTGATTTTGTCCGGTATCCCAGTGGGCCTATCCGCCCACTATACTATTATATGTTTAAATCAATAAAATGGTGAAAAAAAAAGGTATAAAACATTTGACAAAATGGTTGCTTTATCCAAAAAATATGATTTATACCAGTATTAAAGTGCTTAAATCAAAAAATTAATTTATTTAAAAAAAACATTTTTTTACAGAATTCCACTGATGGAGCCATTAAGTTCCACCTTGGTGTCCATAAAGGTGTCAACTACATGTCAACTGACCCAACAAAAAGGGTCGTATCTCGTGTTTTACATGTTATAACATGTATCCAAATCTTCAAACTGATATGTTAAAAACAGAATAAGAATTTAAATTTGAATGTTTGTTTGGTTTATCCTAAAAAGTTGCAAAATACGAGATACGACCTTTTTTGTTGGGGCAGTCGATGTGTGTACTTGAATTGAAATTGTAGCCACAAAAAAAAATATGACAATGATACATTTCTTAAATAATACCAACCTCAAGCATTCTGAAACCTAATAATACAGTCGATGTAACAACCAAAACTTTTCCCAAAAACAGTACAAAATCGCCAACAGAGTTAATAGCAGAAACTCGCAGCACATTTGAAGTTATCATTTTAAATGCTTGTTGTCCAGAACTACAGAAATTATCACCATAAATAGCTAAAAAAAAATTGAATCAAATAACAACAATACTAAAAAGTTTTAATCAAGTCAGTTTATTTTTCCTATGACTAACCAATTTCTATGTAAGCATTTCTCGTCAAGTATTGTAAAAAGGTTTGGATGTGGTGACAACAACATTTAAATGCTTTGTAGACCATTTTAGCAGCTTCAGAATCTGACTTTTTCACGGTATCTTCAAAAGCATTTATAATTGCTCTGATTACTTGAATAATAGTTATAATAAATGATCCCAAGGCTACTGAGCCCAAATGGTTCTTAAACAAATAACCAATCGATGTGGTTATTGGGGAAGACATATTGTTCTTATTTCTGGTAAAAAACCACGTAGCAACAGCTCCGGCAATGATCATATGCTGACAACCAATTATAAATTCAATGACCCACAGTAAGACAATTAAATTATAAACCCTCGCAAATTTCATTAGCTGATCCTTTTTGTAGTAAACATTGTGATTTTCTTGGAAAGCAGGGAATCCTGATGCTTGAATTAGTACAGCAAAGTAGCTCCATAAAAATATTGCGGCGACGAGAAACAAAAATGTCTAAAAAAATATATGAGTCAAGAATAATATTTTTCTGTTTTTATTAAAAACATACCACCATCGGTTGCATAAGTAAAAGAGGCATGCTTTGTATAGCTTTGCCAGCTTCTCTAAAAAGCTGCACAACAAGAGCAATGCGGTCTCTCATAGCGACAATGATGAGCAAAATAACTACCTACAAAAAATTAAAAACAACAAGTTTTAGGGTTAACACACTTAACATTACATTTTTTTAAAATAACATACTGAAGAAATTGTAGCGATTATGGCAAATGTAAAATAGGTGTTTACATCATTCTGAGCAACCTGATCTTTAATTTCCAAATTTGACTTTTGTTTCCATGTTATCCTGCATAAATTAATACATATGAATAACATTTTAAACACAATTCTAAACTATAAAATTTAATGTAATTAAAACTAATTATTACCATAAGAAAATAGATGTGGCAAAACTTATTAAAACAACACTAATAAGTACAAACCAAACAACTAAGCCGGCAACAAATCTGATTAAAAACACAATGATAAGTGTGAAGACTGAAAAAAAATATACAAATAATTATATTATTTGAAAAAATGAAATTGATCTTTTAAAACTAATAACTGTGAGTTCTTATGTACCAACATATGACCATAAGACAAAATATAAAGTTAATTATAAATTATTTGTATTCATACATAGTAATTTTAATGGACATACCAAATGCAAATATACAAAGATAAATTATATCCCATTTGGTATGTTGCAAATCTTGAGTAACTTCCTAAAAAATAAAAATAAAACAACTTTATAAATTAACCCTTCACTGCATAATGTTCCATACATGGAACAATAGTATTTATTGTTTATATCTGCTCATGCTATACATCTTTGTAGGCACAATGTTCCATAATGTTCCAAATTCTTTAATTAGCGTTTTCCATGAAACCAAAATTAAAAAAAAAAAATGTATTTTTATTTTTTTAAGTAGTATTAAGTACATTTATAGCATATGATTAAAAAAAGGGTTAATACAAAATTTAGTTTAGGCTATAAATTAAATCTGGCCTCGAAAACAATAAATCATAGTATAAATAATACCCATTATGATTAATTTTCAGTAAAAATTAAGGCTAGATTTTTACTGTTGACAAAATCAAGTTTGTATAATAAATTTGTAACAATATATCATTCTATTAATTGTTTCGGAACAAAATTAAGTGTATTATGAACAACACAAAACTATAATTTTTTTCCAGAATGCTCTATTAGATACTTCTGGTTCACTATTTTAATTATATCCTGATACTTACAGTGAAAAGACTGCCAACAACAGTATTTGATATAATATTGTCTATTACTGTATCATTTCCTTTAGGTATACATCTATGCAAGAATTCTTGGCTAAAATTTAAAAAAAAATCAAAAAGCTAATTTAAATAAAAAGATTGTTTTTAATTATTAAGAAGAAAAGGACAATTATTATAAATATATACAACTAATGACCGAGTATGTATATTATACTTACAATCCTGGTAAAACTGAACAATTTGCCACACATTCTCGTTTAACATGTTTTAAATCAGCAACTTTATAGATTGGAGCATCGATTTTTAGGAATCTAAAATTAACATTAAACAAATTGTCATAAATAGTCTTAAAAACAATAAAATGCATATTTTTTTTTTTTAGTACTGGCATTAACGTGTATCATTTTATCTATTTAGCTTTGTTAATTAACAATATCTTCTTCACTTAATTATGTATACTTAATATTTTTAATCTGGTACTTTTCTATAACAATTAATTTGTAACTAGTAGCTAAAAAAAAATGAAAAATAATACTAAACATACGGTTTATCAGTCATATCGTGTCCAGTACAAAATTTTGAATCTTCAGCCTTTTTATTTTTGAATCCACAAATGTCACCACACTCATCAAATCCATAGAAAAGTCGGTTGATATCGCCATGTAATGTACAATATACAACTAGTCCAAACTAAAAAAAATGATTTAATAATCATAGTAGCAATTAAGCTAAACCATTTTGTAACTACTTACCAAAGACAAGAGAACAGCTATAAAGAGTACCAAAAATGAACAATCAGTACATGATCTACCTTTAACAGGCCCTTTGAAGTTAGCCTATAAAATAAAATAATATGTATTACATATGTATGTATATATAACGAAAAAAATATGAAACAGTTAACTATAAAACATTTTAACATAGGTACCTTGGAATCTGGAGATGGTTCTACTCTTTCTGGAGAACTAAAGCAGTCTCCCATTTTGCGCTAAAACAAAATAATTTTTTTCAAATATTTTCATGACAAAATACATATATTATTATAGGTTATTAAACAGAAAATGTACTTATATTTTACAAAATTATGTTTTATAAATTACCACCTTATACTTGTGTAAATTACTGAATATATACATAGGTAAATATATACATATTTTATTCTGGTTTAAAATATATTATGATCACCAGTTATTATATTACTATAGCTAATGAGGATCATATTTTTCTAAATAAAAATATACTCTATGTTTAGACTGAAAATCAATCAACTTATTGTATACATTTAACAACTGTTTGTCAAATTTAAATATCTTTTCAAAAGTGATATTCCTTTTTTTTTTTTTTAAATATTTTTTATGTTTTGATACAAAGTAAGAGGATAAGGGAGAGTTAAGTATAGTTTAGTGCCACTAGGTTTTACACTAATATTTTATTAAATTCTCCATCAATTATTATGAACTTTGATTGGATACCTAACATTTCAACTCCTTTGTCTATTCCTCAGACTGGTTGCGAGGTTTGTGAAAGTTGTCCCATAACTTTGGTTATTATTTGGGTTTTGGGCATTATTATATCTCGGCATCTCGCAGAAACCACGCGATTGCAATATCAAAAAAGTCTACTTTTTCTGATTTTTTATTTAAAAAAATTGATTTACGTTGTTTTTATACAGTGATGTCTTCTAATAATTATTGTATTTATTTTATTCTCAAATGAAATACTGTTAAGTTAGGTTAGATAAGATAAGGGTAAATAAGGTTATTTTCAATAGTCAATAGTCAAGACTCACGAGTTACGTCGTATCTTACAGATATACAGGCTATATATAGTAATATTTATACAAGTACCTAAATGTATGATGAATATGTTCAATTGCTATTTGCTTAAGGTTCATTCATACATAATATGCTGTTCAAGTTTTGTTTACTTATATATTCCAAAACTTGAAGTTGATTACAAGTAATTAAAAAGTTAATCATGTATCCCACAGATACTGGGCGACAACCGATGTTATACCAAATGACGGGATTATTGCTGAGTTAATATAACACTCTTTGATACTCCACAATTTATAAAGAGAAACTTCCAAATAAGAAATTATTTGCCTGGCAGTTTCTATAAAGATAAAAAGTGTAAAATGTGATGCTAAGGATAGGAATGTGGGCAGTGGGATATAAAAACGGTTGTACTTTCATAATTATTTCAAAAATTGTATAAATATACATTATATTAATACGTATAACATTAATTTAATTTACGTAGATGGGTTATATGTCTAGTTATAAATATTTCACAAATTAATAGAGTACAGTGTTCACTGTTTAGGACTAGGACTTGGCTAGTAAACGCGCTCATTTTAAAACGAAAAATATCCTGGCATTGAAGGTTATGGCCAAGGAGGCGGTCGCATGTGAGAGGTTCGTAGAAAATAGTATGATATATTATTTTCTTAAACGTACTATGTTTAAAAAAATAAATTTATTACATGACCACCCGTATCTCATAAGTCATAATGGTAAAGCCGCTCAACTCAACACGCTGCACGTGCGATTTTCATAATAGATAACATAAAACATTGCCGGGCAAGAAATTAAAAAAACTGTTGCTATGAAAGGAAATCGAAAAGAGAGAAGAACGTTAGTGTATTCAATGCACTGTGTATACTTTGTGTACTTGTTTTTTATAGTCAAAGGAATGGTAATTGCTGGTGCCACGCATGCGCAGAACAGGGAATGGGACATTTGTATTATAAACCAATTTCACAGGTTCTATATAGTAACAACATTAAGCGGCGGATTTTCGGACAGGACGCAGGCGACATGATAGTAATGACATAAGGCGTAAATAATAATTGAGGGGATGGAAAACGATAATTGACGTTTTTTCTTTTATTTTACTGAACTTATGAAAATTACTTTATAATAATAAGCAAATAATTTCTAAGAAACGGAAAATATTTAAATCGGTCCGCCACCGATATCATTTGAATGGTTAGCCAGCGGTCATTCATTTTTAAATTTTGTAATCGGTAGCGAAAATAAAAACTGATTAAGGAGAGAATAAAAAAAGTGCCATGTACTAAAAAAATTGTACTTTGAAGACACAAAAGCGTCCCAATAATAAGTTAATTTGGAAGATAGTAAACTAAAACAGAAAAGTTAATAGGAACGTCCGAGTTTTCGGACAAATTTCGACGGCAGAAATTATAAAAATTAAAAATGAATAGTGAATTAATTCTCAGTTACAGTCCATGAGTTTTTCTTTGTCAACGGTCATAAACGAAATTTATCTACATGGTTATAAAAATTAAACCGGATACCAATTCTCGAATCACGATAACGGGTTTTAACTTTGACGCAACAGCTAGAGCAGGGTTCTAAAATCAAAATACAAATATAGTATAATATGAGGATAACGAAAAAAAAAACATTTATCTTGGCTATTTGTAGACAATCAATGTTTCAATAGTGTATGAATGCTACAAATTGTCGTTGAATCATAAACCCTTATCTAAGCGGCTTGGCATAACAAAAAAAAAACGCTACATAACAAAAAAAAAATTAGACAAAATTACAATACATATTCATAACTAGATGACGTTTTTAGTGTATACTATTTAATTTGCCTATTCTGACGACAGACGAAAATATTTATTGTAACTCTATGGTAGAATTAGACCGAGTGAATTCTATTAAAAATTCCAACTTCAAACGTCAGAATTTACATTTCAGAAAACAAATAGTCATTTTAATGCATTTATTTGCTAGTAGTAAATAAAACTTTTTTTTGGCACTTCAGTAGCACCGTATATATTCAGAAAGCAAACTAGAAAAATTGTGTAAATTTGTAAAAAAAAATAGCCGTATAATAGATTAAAAAATATACTACGGATAGCCTACACTGTGTAACTACCGGCAATACTTTTTAACCCGTATTTTTGAATTTCATTGTGAAATGGGTAAGGGCGTGGTCGATTTATACTATTAATATTATTTATAGCCATATAATAAAATTTATGAACAAATTTATGAACAAATTTAAATTATAAATAAAAAAAAAAATAACCGTTAAATACGGTTATATAAACAATTTCGGGTATATTATTATGAACAATGATGAATGATACCACATTGTTTTTTTTTCTATGATACTAATTACTATTACTGATAATGACTCACTGGTGTGATAGATCAACAGTTTGTAGCGATTGATGCGCAACTAAACCAATTCACCGGGGAAAACGGACACTCGGCGGTTTCTATTAGAACCCGAAACGGAAGCGACGTACGTGAACACACCAAACTGGCTGAGAATGAGACTGAATAGTGAATTTAGTGAAATGTGAATAGAAACGCTGCGAGTGTGTTAAGCCGCGGCGTGGCGTCGATGAGCCCGGGCGGCAACATAATCTTTCCGGGCAGCGGCGGCGCACACGTTTGCAGTTGTTTGAAACATATTATATTTATATATATATACAAATACGTAATAAATATTTTGTTTACATCCACAAGAAACCCAAACGAGCAGACCGCCATCTAGCATTGATTACGACCACTGCGTGACATCACGGCCACGGGGTTGGTGCCGACCGCCGACTGGTATGCGGCTGGAACAGTGACGATCCCGGTTCCATAGAGTATAGCGTCCACAGACTAAATATAATTGCACACGTACAAGTTCCAAGGACAGCTGCTCCGCCCCGCCTTATCCTTGCCCTTGTACAGTGACTCGACTATGATGAGCCAGCCGAAACTCGCTTGAAATTCTATTATACAAACACAACACATCACACATTCCCCCTAACGGCTTACAATAATTAAACTGCTATCATATTTTTATTTCCATACTAGGTATACAACTACAACTTATAATCCATTTTACAACACAGAATAAAATAAATTAAATTTATTAAACACGTTAAACCTTAAACGAAAGATTAAAGTATTTATAATTGATTTCTTAAACATCATTTAGTGGGTGCCGTGATTAATTTATCAAATTCTGGCATAAAAAATTAAAGTACTATACAAAGATTTATTAATAAATTATAGACAAACAATAATGTAACGATCGGCCACATTATTATGCACTTATTTCCTGATTCACAGTGATAAAACCACAATGAAATCCATATAAAAAAACGTCAATCAATAAACGGCCCATCAATAATCTATGATAATATTATGAATAGGTTGTACATATTTTATTCTGAGGAATTGTGGAAATTCAATATAGCAAATATACATTTTTCCAGAAGGCATAAGAAACGATCTTCTTTGTTTTGTAGCCGAGAAAAAAACAGTAGATACGAAGTTAAAAATGTCTTAGTATAAGAAAATTAATTCTTAATTGTTTAGTTTTAACAAAAAAAAAATTAACAGGTTTTTACACCCTTTTATGAAACAAATTTCTTTCGTTAACGAATAATAATTCATTTTATAAAATAAAATTGTATTTTTTTTCTCAACTTTTCGATAAAATGTGATCTGTTTATGTTATGGGTACAAGTTGTTTTTTTTAAATTTGTCAAAAATATTTGTACTTCATCCAACGTTTATATACTCTACTTACCAGCGATATACAAATATACCACATTATGTGTACAAAATTCAAGTAAACTAGAAAAAATCCTAGCAACCTGCGCTATTTATCTGTTTTTTTTTTCATGTAAAACCCAAATATTTTAATAATAATAGTTGCGTTTCAGTTTTTTAAATTACTGTCCTTCCTTGAAAAAAAATATATAAATTCGACAATGGTCACACACACACGTGTACTCTATGGTTAATCGAGTACGTCGATGCCTTGTTGTGTCTCCCATTGTAATTTCTAAGTTCAACGATCGTGACCTCAACAGCAACGGCGGTTTTCTTAAGCTGTTATAAAAGACTGAAACCTAACCTATATCGGCCGTTACTATGAGTTTCATCTAATGAATAATATTAGCCAATAGGTAACATAGTTTAAATACCTACGCTGTATAAATGTATATTTATTGTACATTTAGTCTGTGGTAAAACGTTAGGCGAAAAAGCAGCTATATAGTACCTATAACGCTACTTGTTGAACTTCGTTATTTACAAGTCAATATTATTCAAAAATTCATTCTAATAATAACGTAGCATAGTAATGACGGGCAACACGCAAGCTTTGATTATCTAAGAGGAAAATCAAACTTTATAAAAAAAAAAAATAACGTATAGGTAAAAACAAATGAGTTTGCAACTGTATGTAGATATACATTTTACAGAACAATAATATATATTTTACAAAATAACAACACAAACAATATGACGATTGACTGTGTTGTGTTAAAATGATTATACTACATTTATAATACCGGTTGAATCGATATTTATTTAAATGTTCATATTTTGTGTAATTTAATATGAGTCATTTCGACCGCGTTTTCTATAGAAATCATTCTTGATAATAATTTACTTACTTTTACTATAAATTTGTCAGCGATAGAAACAAAAACATAATTACGGATGGGTCTATTAGAGATTTTGTAATATTTTTATTATAAAATGCTCATATATGACCTTGAGACAAAATCTCTGGTCGTCTTACCCCAGTAAACTCTTTCCACCTGGCACCTTACTGCACATGTTTTATTTGCTTAGGTTTTTACTTTTTTATAAAGCACACGACAAAACCGCCAAATGCTGGGCTTAAACGACTGAAATAACTGAATTAAATATGAAATAGTTAATGGAGGTACAAAGTAATAATATATTTAGAAATTTTTTTTTGTTATTGAAGTTTGTGCATCAGTAATTACTTTAGCAGAAGAACTACTACTATAGAAACTGTTTTTTGTAGATGAAAATAATTAGTTTGACAATTATTGGCGGACTTTAATCAATTATTTTATTTTTTAACATTCATATTATGTAATATATTAAGCAAAAGTAATAATTAAAAAATAACGCATCTATTATATATTACAACGTTTTAGTGAATTTTGGATACAAACAAGATCGTAAAATCTGTGGACAGAATAGGGTCTATAGAGTGAAGGGCGGATGGTTGAGAAGGTATTGATTTTGATGATGACGCCGTTTAAGGGTGGGATGTAAGTCTTTACTTGACTGTAAATCGGGAATTTAGTTTGGCGCCTGTCTGCGTAGATCTGTCAGATTATATGACGAGCCCAGACAATGTTTTCATCTTAAGTATAGGACATTGAACTGTTTAGATATATATACGTCGTATCTACTAAAATCTTAAATGCCTTACCGATAACTGAGTACTGGTACTGTAACTCGTGTGTGATATACTTTGTGCTTCTAAAACTGTAACTTACTTTAAAACTTTATTTAGTTTTGGTGTGAGAACAATTACTACGGATAAATGCACGACTCAAATTTCATTGATTGTTAGTTTTATAAATAACATGAAATTGGAATTCATAAAAATAAATAATAAATATGTTTATAGACATTAGTCATTACACTATCTATTTCTTGTAGATTATTTGAATTGATAAGCGAGGCTATTTTACTGCTAGAATGATGGTTAATGGCTTGGCGCCATAATTAGCTACATATTGATACAGCTAAGTGTTAAATATGAATGCAAGATGATTTTTTTAATCATCTTGCTTTCATCATAATTTACTACCAGCATCACCGGTTAGCTTTTTGCTAACCGATGATGCTGGCAGTAAATTATTAAGTAACAAAATAAATCACAAAAATTATTATTACCTTTATGTATTCACTATTGGCTATACAGTATACTGTATATATTTTGCTGTATATGTATACAGCAAAATAATACATATTATATTTAATTTTTTTTTTTTAATTAATTGTATTAACTAATATTTTTAATTATATTTTTGTTACAGTTTAATCTTTTTAGGATTAAATATTTGCATTAATTGCACAACTCCATAAACTAATGATGTGATAATATTTGTATAGCAAGTTAAGCGTTTTTTCATTACTTTTACCATGGTAGAGCAGAGAGGGTGTGGCAAATCAACGCAGTTCTGGTTAAAAAATAATTAATATTACATTTAAAAAAAAAAATGTAAATAATTAGTTGTATTCCTTTATGTTTTTCGCAATTCTAATATTTGACACTATATGAGGTATAAATAAATTACAATAAAAATGTCTATGAAACTACTGGTTAATTTAAATTTGAAAATTGAAAGAGATAAAAACGCATAAATTGTACCCTTGGGTAATCTATAATACAAATTAATCTCTATTTTCTCTAAAAAATATTGGAGTGTTGTCAAACACATGCTAAAATATCTAAAAATAAAAATATTTTATCGCAATAAAAAATTATATTAATATAACAATTACATTGACAGATTGACTGGTAATTGGTAAATAACCAGATGTATAAGTCAAAACTTAAAAACGATGTAAACATATTGGAGGTTTTTACCGATTTTTCATTTGGACCTCTCATAGTATCGAACCACGTAAGATTACAGACTTGTTCAAGTTTTTCAAAAAAATCGATTCGACGGTTCCATTAATGTTATGCGTATAACTATTAGAAAACACATTAATTATGACTTATGTTATAATGTGTGGCTAATATAATACATCTCTTAGTATATCTAAAGCTAAAACTGGAACTCCTAAGTCATATGCTGCATTACAAAAAAATAAAGTAATAAAAATGCCAATGATTAGTTATTAGTCATTAATTATTTTTCATCTGACGTAAATGGGTTCAAGTGGTCTATTTTGGTATTGAGCTATGAGAAAAAGACTTAAAAATACATGTCGTATACTCATACACTATACAATAGTAACCGTATAAAGTAGTTGAGTAGTATGTATACTACAATAGTACAATATAATGTATACATTTGATTCTTAGCTTGTAGTATTATGCCATTGTTTGCCGTATCTACTATACTTACAAAAAGCACGAAAAGGAGAGACATGGACGCCATCATTTCTGCTTCTATTGTAAATAATAATAATATTTCAATACCGATTATTTAGGTACTATGTAATAGCTAAACTGCAGCACGGTTGTATTTATTTACTTATAGACTTTAGCTAGACTTTATTTATAGCTAGAAGCGATAAAAAAATTTACTAGTTAGAACAGGTGTTAGCTTAATAAATAATAGGTATTAAAAAAAATTAAAATAATACGATATTTTTAAGTGTATCGTGTGGTTTTTGAGCATCTGAAACATTTTTATTTACATAATAGTGTCAATAACGAGGTACATCCCTCTTGAGTCTGTGGGATTGCTAAAAAATTGTGGACACCCCTTTGAAAAATTGCCTATGTCACTGCGTATAACATGCATTAATGTCTATGTTTATAATATAGCACAACAAATATATCGGTGTTAGGTGTACACTATAATATTGTTATAGCTGTAGTTATATTAATAGCTATTAAGCTATAGTTATAATTTCTCCTCAACTCTAGGTAGTCATCAGAATGATGTACTTATGTATTATAGTTGACCTTTTTTTTATCGTAATATTTTGGGTCAAAAAGTACTAGTTGCCTTGATGAAAAATAGTGAGCACCTGGCATGGGAAGCAACTAGTAATTTATGACTAAAAGTTACGATAAAAAGGGAGGCAATTTGTAGTTTTCCGGCGGGAATTCATATGCGCCCAAAAATATTAACAATAAATGGGGTTATACACTTAGAAGATGGCCTCGGCTAGGACTCGTTTACATAATATGTACATTTGATTTGATAAAAATGGAGGATTAATATCTATTCATCCTCCAGGTATGCTATTGCAATATTTTTATTTAATAATAACTAATACAGGTAACAATTGCGTGTCGAGACAGCTGGGCGTTACTCATACAAGTATATTTGTCTCATATCGCATAAGTGAGTCATAACATAATATATTATACTACATATTACTATCACGTATATTTCGTATCCTTGTCTCGGTTGCCTTGTATTTTGAAAATGCATACAATTAATTTAGAAAAAAATGATTTAAAGGCATGTTAAGTTAAATTAAAATTAATAATTAATTAATCGTTATTACAATTTATGAAAAGGCAAATGTTTCTAATTTTACAAAGGCACGTCACAAGGTAAGGCACAATTAGCTCTATTGTAACATTAATGAAATATGACGCACAAGAGCTTGTTGGTAAATCTTGAAGGGTTTCAGATTATCCAGAGGACTAGACTCCATTGCGAATAGTAAATATGAAAACGGCCTAAACGGTGTGTATTAAAGCTGTTTGTACAAACATGCCATTTTGTTGTATTTTAAAATAAGTCATTTAAAAACACATAAAACTAGTGTCAAAAAAATTATATAGTAACCCCTCTGATGGTAATATTCATAAATATAATTTATTCTTAAGTAGGTACTCAGTAATTAACATTCATTATACAAACATAGTATATCCTATGTTGTAATTTTGTATGATTTTGTTAATACATATTTCTTAGATATTTTGTGAGTGTCTATAGTCAAATGTTGTTACTTGTGATAAATTATCGATTGCAGACGTTAAAAAGACCTTGCCTTCAATTATCAGTAGTCATATGTGCATAAAATGACCGATTTAGGTATGCGGTTTAAATTGAACGTTAATTTATAAAAGATAATATACATACGTGATTTGCAAATTGAAAGTTAATGAAATTATATAAGTTATATTCTCACTATCAATAATGTATAGTAATTATTTTTTCAATAGAAAGCACACAGTCTAACCACTAAACTAAATAGTAAATACCAATGTTATTTATATGTATAAACAAACGAATGTGTTTAGAGATAGTAGCTATATATGTTTCTTAATGTTCTTTAGAGATACAAGAGAGTATCTACTATTATTAAGTTTCAGAACTTGAAGCATGTTGAAAACTCGGGGAATAAAACGTAATATATTTTGTTATAATTATATATTTGAAATTTGGAATGTAAAATGCTTCCGCTCTCAAATCTCCAACCATTGTTGTGACCTCGTCTTAAATTTTAATATGAGGTATGAGTGTATGACTTATGAATTACCTACGAACAATGACTAACCATGTATGTATGATACTCTCTGGTACATGAGTATCACATTAATACATTAGTAAATAGTAATACATAATAAATTAGTTTATTAATATGATAACGAATAATGAATTCAACAATTTGGAAATTATAATAGAACACCACCAAGGATTATAATGTATAGCGAATTACAATGAGAGTAGTGTAAGTTATTACGTAAAATTAAGATAAATATATTACTAATTTTTTTAATGTATACTATTTTGTGTGTTAAGTATTAACACTTGTTTTTACACAAATACTACATTGTTAGGAACACCTTAACTGAAAAAAATATACATAGGTGTCTATGTAAGGTGTAACGGAATCTATACAAAACATTCTCAAGATTATATTATTATTTGTACAATACAATATACAGGGTGTTCCACAATGATTTAACAAATGAAATAACTTTTTTTTTAGTGAATATTTTTAAGATATTTTTTTAAACTTAATTTATACACATTTATGCTATAAACACCAGTTTATATTAATCTTAACTCTTTTACTTTTTTTAATTTTTCGGTTACTTTTATTTTTTTTAAATTTTAGATAGCCATTTATTAAGAATAGATAATAATTAAATTTAAGAAAAAAATATTTAAAAAAGTGAAACAGTTAGTAATAAAAAACATGGTGTGCATGGCGTAAATGAATACATATAAATACATTTGGAAAAAAAGTCTAAAAAATATTCAATAGAACAATAGTTAATTCAGTTGTCAAATAATTTTGGGACACCCTGTCCACATAATATGTAATATTAGTTTACATGTATCACAATTTTAGCGTTTTACAATTGTTCTACCGCACAATAACCTCGAAAATGTTATAATCAATATTCATGCACACATATGTACGTATTCTGGCAATTGTGTAGGTATATACACTAAAGGTATGCCATAAGTAGTAAAAGTCCATAATATGATGGTAGGTAATGCAGTCATGGTAACGACACCCCCAAATATAGGTACCTACAGAAGACCAGTACAAGTTACAACAGTAATTTTAAGTACCTACAAAAGTATGCAAAATGACCGGCCAAAGGTCAAATGAGGACATTTGAGTATAGTCTACAAATCGTTACAAATTTAATACGAGTTTGCAGTTCTGCAAGTCTTTAGTAAATGTATGTACTTGGGTGTATGTATATTTATTAATTAGAGTAAATTAAAGTGGTAATAGCTCAATTTTTAATGACCAACAATTATTGAACCTACATAGCAAATTATAAATCTACACTGCAGACTGCTACACATGATAGGTATATTTAATAGTATTGTTAGGCATACTTTAAAATTATCAATTGAAAGGAGAAGTTTTCTTAACCTAGAAAAAAATCTGATAAAACTATTGTAGTGTATAGTAATATAATTATGGGAATAAATAGTTATAATCTTTGTAATTAAAATAAAAAGTTACATTGCTATTTTGAATTACGTTTACATACATTTTGCCTTATAAGCGTGAATTTTGGTAGAAATGCTCTTAAACAATTTTTTAAAAACTTATAATATTATATTTCTAGCTGTAACGGAAAAAAAATATTATTTATACCGAACATGGGTACAGTTTACTAAGTTTTTACGCAGATGTATATAAAATAAGAAGTTTAAATTTTCTATTAAGCTGTGTAGAATTATTAACAAACATGTTCATACATTTTTTTGTCGTTTCTACTTAAATTTTAAAGCATACATTATAATCTAAATGTTTACATTTTTACACCCACCACTTGAAACAAATGTGACACTTAAAATATAGGTTCGACGTAAATGTACATTTTAATTTGTGTATGTTTCATAGGCAAATATCTATTAGATTCATAGTACATAAATTTGATTTTGGCGCGCTTAGAAACAACAAATGGCTACACTGGCTTAATTTTTCTCTTCCATTATTTACGCCATATTTTCAATCTCAGCGGATTGATTCTTTTTTTTTTTTACAATTTTACTATCAGAAAGTTTTCACATACAGCATACTTACTCAATACTTGTGTGCTACCCAAATTTGCGTTTTCTTTAAAAAACTAACTTTGCTGGGATCAGAAAGTTGATTTTTACTTGTAGTAACCTACTCCTATCATCGTGTGCTCCTTTGTCACAAGTTAATTCAGGTAATTACTTTTTGATATTGTTACTTACGTATTGAACATGTTTGATAAGTTATTTTTATTTATACGTGAGTATGATTTTCATTTTATTCCTTAAGTCTTACTGGAATTACCCTTTCCACTGAATGATTGTACTTCAGCCATATTATATTGGCATTATTATACTTGTTCGGTTTTACAGATTGTAATTGTTAAAACTTAATTTGCATTGGTATGTGAAAAATTGACCTTTAAAGGTCAACATTTAATATGCATTTTTAGTAGTTATCATAAAAGGATAATAATTGGGTTAAAATAAAACTTATATTTATCATATTTAAAACATGTTTACCTTAAATAATAAATCGTACCTCAATGATAAAAGTATAAAGCCAGTGCAATGTCATGTTATATTCGAAACTTTGTCTATCAAAACCCTATTCAAAATAGTTTGATAATTGATACGTATCGTGCATGAAGTAGCAACTAAAAAATTAGATTACGATAATGGGTTGAATTGATATTTTATTGCAAGCTACTGAATTTTATCATTCGGGATTTTGGCCTATCGCTGGCTTTGTAAAAACTAAGTTTTTTGAACCGTAATGTGATGTGCGACAGTTTCTTGGTTATAGGTGTCAAGTCAAAAAGCTGTTAACAAAATTTGTTTACAATCATGGCCGGCTATAGCAATCAGCAAACACAAAATGCCTTTAAAAACGATGGATCCTTCTTAGAAGTATTTAAACGTTTTCAAGAGCAACAACAACAGCAGCAATCTCAACAACCGCTTCCATCCAAAGTAGAAGTAGTTGAAACTCCTTCATCTGTTGCTTCTCCTGCTGCTTCTTCTGATACAACTAAAACTGAAAAACGAACAGAATCTCAAAAATCATTACCAATAATTGGTAAACGTAAAAACAAAGTATTAAAGACTGGTATTGTTAAAAAAGTTAAGCCAGATGATGAAAAAAAATCACCGAAACCTACTGACGCTTGGTCATTATACTTAGACGAAGTTAAACGTTATCAAGAAACAGTTGGTGAACAAGATAACAAGACTAGACCCCTAGTAAAATAATAAAAAAAAATATTTATTTATATGTTGTAAATTATGTACATAATATATGTATGTATAAGTAAATTTATTAAAACTCATTTATTAGTTTTTTTATAAAAAGAAGTATCACTTTATGTTTTTTTTTTTTAATTTTTTGATTTGGCTATTGAAAAATATGCCTCTAAGTATATGTAAATATGTAATTTAAATGTATTTGTTTTATCATGTATGTGTACAAACATTTAATATTTCTTTATTTTTTATTGAAATTTTTATAAAGAATATAATACTATTATGTGACTATGTAATAATGGTTACGATTTGATATGTTATATTTCATTTATTTTATAATATTATATACTTTTTTTTTTTTTTGGTATATGAGCAACATGTTTAAATACATTCTGTTACAGTTTTGAAATAATTAATATGGGTTTGATTAAAAATGGATTAAATGTATACTTATTAGACGTTTGTTTTTAATAATAAAAAATTAACTACAAATTAAGAAAATTGATAATATAGTTTTTTTTTTTAATTAGGAACTATTGGTTATTTTTAATTTTAAATAGTTTTTTATTTTTGTATTATATTATAAACTAAATGACATCTTTGTGAACAACTAAATTGAAAATTTAATTTCAAGGAATTTTTAATATTGTATACTATTGATAATTTAAAACTTTCAAATAATAATTAAATTTTCAACACTCTAATTTGTTTAAATATAACATTTTATTATAGTTCTGTGTTGTACTAGATTTAATGTTATGTATTAATTAGGTGATTGGAAAGAGGTATATCTATAGGAAAACATAGAAATTTAAATGTATTTTGTATTTAGTGTGCAGATTGATTTACTGAGAATAAAAGGACACTATAAATGGATTACAGGATTACTTTCCCACTTTTTAATTTGTTTTCTTTAATTAAGTTCTATACATTTGAAATAGAAAATTGAAAAAAGTTGGAGAGTCGTACCCTATTGATGATGCTGAGGAATTCAATATTTTACTATAGATTCCTCGTTGTTTCAGTAGATCAATCAGTGTGTTGAAATAAACAATACATCGAAATTACTATATGTTGTGTTAGATAGACAGACACAAGCTAATACTTCTTCCCAATCCCCTTTATGAAGATATGTTAAATAAAAGTTTGTACTTATACTCGATTAATATTGTAGTACAATTTATACAATATACAACATTCTATTGATTACTAACCTTTTATTTTTATTTCATTATATAATAAAAACACACGCACATCGTATTTATCAACCAGTCATTTAGTACATTAAATCTTATTTGTTTTAATAAAGTTATTTTCCAATACTACCTATTGAAAATATTTAAGTATTAACCAGACAGTTTTTAGTTATGTGTTAAATTTAAAAAATAACTTAATTAGACCATTTTGCTAAAAATAATTTTGTAAAAAAAGTAAATGTTGATAACATTTGTAAGATAGTTAGGAAGTGTTGAGGTTTTTTTGTATCACATTTTTAAATACATTTTAAAAGTTAAAATAATTATTTCAATTATGTAAAAATATATTTAAATTTTTTTGTTTTTATTCTATATTATTGTAATTGTTATATTCTGTTAACAAGCAATTTCTATTTTATTGTAGGGTGTTTCATTTAATGTCTCTTTTTAGTCTACGACCTGTTAGTTTGGTTTGGATAACTTTTGCTCTACTAGAGACAAGAGTTGCCATCCTGCAGTGGTTTCCCGTTGCCTTCCACACTTCCATTTAATGTAGGATACTTAAAATAATTGCAAATTTGTAGTTTGTCATTTAAAAAAAAAAATGTTTTTTTTAAATGACAAACTATTTGAGATTATCTTTGATATAATATCATCAATTTTTATTTTTCAAAATTTGACTACATTTTTTTGTGTTAATTTCAGCCTAATCAAGAAAAATGGTTTTGGAAGTCGATGGAGTTAAATTGGAAACCGCACCATGGGATCCTCGTTTCCCTAACACCAATCAAACTAAGTATGCATTTGTTGTAATTTTATAAAAATAATTTGTACTTACTAGTAGGTATACTATACTAAACTGGTATGTACACTGTATTGTGTAGAATTAGCACTATTTAAAGTATACAAAAAAATATAGCTAATGTTTAACATTCTGATTTATTAGAAATGAGTCTTAATTCTAAAGAGAATTTTAGTTAAATATTAGGTTATATATTTATCAAATCAACCCTTCTATTTTATTAAATTGGAAAAAAAAAATTAAAATTAAATTTACTTTTATATTTATAAGACTTCCAGTATTAATTTTCAATATATTATTACAGAAAATTTGATTGTTAAAATATTTTGAGGGTTTAAAAGGGATATTTTTTGAGAAATTTGTTTTTTTATTTTAGTATTGGGGACAGTTTACAATTGAGTGTGCCTACTCTGGTAATTTAACAAAAAGTATAACTTGCGCTTCTTTTTTTCTTTTAACCATCATCAATATAATAAAATTTATTAATATTAGGTGGAAGATTATTATAAAAGTTCTATTTTATTTATATTATATATATAATGTGTGCTTTCAGACATTGTTACCAGAGTTATCTAGATTTCCACCGTTGTAAGAAAATAAGGGGCGAACAATTTGACGCATGTCAATATTATAAACGCGTGTACCACTCCATTTGCCCAAATTCGTGGATCGACAAATGGGACACACAAATTGCCGAAGACAGATTCCCAGGCAACATCTAATATGTCAACTTGAAAAATAACCAGCGTATTAAAAAAAAATTACTAGTGTACTTCGTAAAATATGTGTTACATTTGTTCTGCATACATGTTCATTGTCTGGAACGCTTTGATTTCTGTTAACATATAAACAACATTTAGATATTTAGACAAAATTAGTTTTTTTTCATTCATCCTACTGTTAGTATTTTTATATGAATTATCATTAAGTACAAAGTTGTACGTATTTAGCTTATCGTCGATGCCATAAAAACACCTATGTGCTAAAACCTGATTTTTCAGGAGATACAAAAACGTAACTATATTTGTAGAATAGGTAACACATAAGAGGCTTTTTTCAATTTATTCTACAATGTGACTAGTCATGTAGTTTTAATTAATTTAATTATTTTAATATAGGAACTTGGTACTATATAGTGTAACGGTATAAATATTATAAATTAGTATATTTTATACAAACATGACTAGGTGACGTGGTTCGTCTCACTTACAAAAATTACAACCTCTACAGCTTCCCCTTTAAAATTATTGAAATTCGTGTTTTAACTATAGTTTAATATTGTTATACTGAAAGATATGACGATATTTTTTATAATTGTGGTAAGAACCTATTGGGGGTCAAGGTGATTTTTTTTTATACAATTGTACAGGAAAAAAAATTAAAAAATGTATTTTTAACGTGTTCTTATGAGTGATGTTTATTTTACTATTATATTCCTAATTAGGATAGGAAAAATTATAAAACAAAAAAAGTAAAGTAAAACGTTTTTAAACCTTTAATAAAAATAAAATATTTGTTTTTGAAGAAGAAACAAATCGTCTAACTTTTTGGTTCTCATCGATACAATTATAAATTGTATGAGCCTAATATAATTTCAAGTATTGTAATAACACTTAACTGTGTATAGTAGAGCAATGACTAGTTGCAATTTACTAAATAGTTAATATTATATCCTATGTACCTATCTGTTATACTCTTATAATACAATCCTTATAAATGTATTGGATCTTACAGAAGTTTGGTTAAAACTATTAAAGGTTTATGGTAATTGTACAATGTACAACATAATGTTATTGTAATATTACTAAGTATGTTTTGTAGATAACTATGAAGTTTAAAGTATTCATGTTGAAGGTCTAAGTATAATATTTTAAGCCAATTTTTAAGCTAACTTAAATTAGCTTTAAAGTTTAGAATACAATTTTTTTCAGTATAAGATATTTTACGGATTTAGAGCAAAAAACCTTAAACAATAGCGACAATTCAAAATGGTACGATTAAAATGTATTTAAAATATATGGGTTTAAGCAACTGATATTCATACTCAATCATCCGAAGAACAATCTCCATCCAAAATAGGTTTCCAATATAATTGACCAAGTGATGACACCAATAAACTATTATCTTTTGTAAAAAATATTGCAAAATTTAAATCAAATCATCCTAAGTACGTAGTTAAAATGGCTTTTTGGCCAAAAAACGATTCTGATAACTCATAAGCTTAAATATTCCAATAATATCAGCGTGTAATCGTATACAGTTGTAGTATAGGTATTAGGTAATAATAATATAACAAAAGAAAATAGATTAGAACATGTATATTGTTACTATGTAAAAACAAACATAATAGTTCACAAGTAGTATCTTCCGAAGATATAAAAAAACATGAATCACATTGAAATACACTGTTATATATGATTGATAAACTATTCAAAGTTTTTATATTAAGTACTTACGATATAATATAAACCGTTTGACCATGGGCTATATAACAATAGGCATATCAATTATATAAATAGCTTAGTACAATAACATCTAAATTAATAATTTAATTATAAATTGGTAATGTATACATTTAAGATATGGTCATTTTTCGTTGGCCGAATTTTCTATAACCGGCTGAAGAGTCGCTGTTTCTGCTGATAAAGACCTGGAAACGAATAATTGTATGAATTACTGTAAAAAAATAGTTTGTATCTAAATTTTATAATCATTTATATCAAAAGTTCATAATTGCTCTCGTCATAACTCACACGTGGTTATAATAAAAACAAAAGTATTGGGGTCAAACAATCCTTGTACCTGAGATACGTAATGACGGTTATAATAAACATAATGATGTAATTATATTAGTTCTAATAAGTTAATTGACAATTGACCTATTTACAAGTCATTACATTGGTAATGATAATGAACGCAATATATATACACAAGACATTTTTAATGAAGTTGGCAAACGGTAAAATAATTTGCATAAATGTACCTCCAACACACATAAGCCATAATTGAATCTTGTGATTGGTTGTAATTTTCCATACCAATTATAGATGTGTATGAGTTATTGTCTACATATCTGGGTACGCATAAGGTTCACAATACACATTATAATAAAGTAAGTTTTTTATGAATAATACAGCCTAACTTATTTCGGTAGCAAATAGAGATGTAAGATTGACTATTTTAAACGCAAGATACAAATATGGGTTTTGTTAATAAGTAAATTAATGAAAACTTAGACTAAAATGTGACGTACAGGCGAATGGAGAGGATTAGAGGCGTTTACTTAAAATTTAAGCTGAAGTCTGCAATGTTAATGTTTTGCAAAAACTTATCTAGTGCGACACACGTTAATTTTTTTATCCCCGTGATAATCTCAGGCTGCGATTAAATTAATTAAACGGAATATCTAATGTGTTTTATGTTTTGTTCTACAGAGCTGTAGCGGTAGTAAGCATATAAATTACCTAATATCATTTTCACGGTAATGGTTAGTTGGGCTTATCTCATTTGTACTTCCCGAGTTCCAAAATTAACATTCATACACTTATACTTATACACTTAATAATTGCAGATTACTATTAATTATTTATATATTAATTCTGGAAACTCCAGAGAGAAGAGAAGTAGAGGGAGAAATATTAATAATATATTGGACTGTATCGCTAACTTGGTATATAGATTTTACTTCCTGACCGGTATTATATCGAGAAGGAAGATCGAGGGATATACCCGTCCCTTAAATGGCCTTTTTTTTTTTTTAATTGGATACACTGAGAATTAAGAACATTATCTATTATTATGACCAATAATTTCTAGTCAGGAAATTAAATAAATTATTTGTCCGAACCTTAATAATAATTATGGTTAAGCACAGTACACAATTCTCAGTAATACCATGATCGAGTAATTCGAAATTTTCAAAATAACAAACCCCTCGCTGTTTGATATATGTCCAAAAAATTAAAATTAATAGTGTTTTATCAAAACAAGAAAAAAAGATGGTAACTATTAATAAAAAAGAATAATTACTGATTTACCATAAGGTTGGGGAGAGGTGGCTTCCTTCTTATATAATACTATAATACTCGCCTGACGTTTTTCCATATTGTATTGCAATAAATTATAATATCCTATTTCCTATCTTCGAAGAACTTTCATACGAAATCCGATTAGGTATAGGTACACTGTATACAGACACAAAATCACGGTATGAACTCGATTTTCTCGATCGATAACTACTATTACACAATTTAATATACTACAGGGAACACGTATGTTAACAAAATTACCAACCTTGATCCAAACCAAGTGCAGGCTCCTGGCGCCGAGTGTGATCTGTGAGACGATTGAAGTTTGCGTTTTGTTTCGTCGGCCGCAAACGGATTCTGTACACAACAAAAAAACACCATTAACGAGACTCAAATATAATCATCACTAATTAGTATTAATGAAGTATATAGAAATACTATAGACCGTCTAATAAAAGATTGTGGGGGAACGAAACCAGCGGAGCGAAAATTATGGCTTTATTGTGTATGGGGATAAAGTCTAAAAATGATCACGATTGTTGATGCAATGAAGGTGAGAAAAAGAAGGAATGGGGAACATTGGGATTTAATGAATAACTTTGGTTTTCTTGACTCTTTAAAGGGAATGGAGTACATTATCATTACCTATATAGTATAAAATATATATTCAAACAAAAACACCTTAAATAATAAAAAAAAACTAATCATTTAAGTTTTTACATAACCTCTCCCCTCCCCCCATAAAATATTATTGATGAATTATATGTGTGTTTATATACATAAATATGGTACTCACGAGGAACGAATGGTTCTTCAGCATGGCCTTGATGAGTATCAGCGTGTTGAGTTTGGGTATGGACTTGACGACGTTCATCATTTCCTCCTCGCTGACCTCGACCAGCTGACAGTTGTCCTGCTCGGTGGGCAGCGGTTCGGTACCGTTCTTGGTCACCCAGTCGTGCTGCTTGACGGCCGGCAGCGTGATTCTGGTGTCGGGGTTCTTGTCCAACAGCCGGTGCAGCAAGTGCACCAGTTGGGGCGACGTTTCCGGCTCGACGGGCCATTGCACAGGCTGAGTGCGGATCTGCTCGTGCACGGCCAGCACGGAGTCGGCGTCGTACGGTAACCGTCCATACACGAACGCGTACAGCGTGCAGCCGAGCGCCCACATGTCGAGCGCTTTACCGCTGTACGACGTCGTGGACAGGTCAAGCACTTCGGGCGCTGTAAACGCCGGCGTGCCCGCGCTGGAGCTTAGCAAGTCGTTTGTGCCGTCGAATTCGTTACACACGCCCAGGTCGGCAATTTTCACTCGTCCGTTGGCGCCAATCAACAAGTTGGACGGCTTGATGTCCCTGTGCACGATTCGCTGGAAGTGCACTGCAACATAATTATGAATTATCATTGTTATACTACTAAATGTAAACTTCACACAACAACTTGAAGCAGTTGGAGCAAAACTCAAAAGGCAAACACAAATGAATATAGTGAAACTAAATTAAATTAGTTGATAACATAATTCACAGGGTTGTTATTGACGTCGATTATATTATAACATAAATATTAGCCGTTTTATTTTTGAAATATTATTATTATGTATACTTACAGTACTCGAGACCCACGAGTATGTCTCTGAAGTAAGACCTGGCTTTGGACTCGGCCATGGGCGGATCTCCAGGAACTTGCATCACTTCTCCACGTTCTAATAATTCGAAAACTACGAAAACGCCAAATTTACAAATTATTTACAGCAATGGTGATGATAAATTGAATTTTGTATCGACGAATCATCTTGCATACCTAAATAGAGATGATCTTCGTCCGGATCCTCGAGGACTTCGACTAGTTTCACTACATTAGGATGGTCGAGCTTTTTCAACAAAGCGATTTCCCTGTATACCTTATCTAATGGGTTGGTCCCTTTGCGCCGGGCGTTCATTCTGCCTGCAATCGTCATAAAGGTAAATTTATTAAATGTACGGAAATTGCTATTTTGTATAATAATGGCTTGTGTCTGCGTATCATGTAAATAACTGAAACTCAAACTGATCCCTATTGTACCAGCTGAAAATACAATATATTAACTTAAGAGGTAGGTACTCTATTAAACAACAGAACAGCCGGCGATGGACATAATACACAGCATATAATGCATACCAATTATTGTACACTTGTAAGCTGTCTGTTTACTATCAAACTACAATCGGGTCTAAAATAGCGCTGTTACGAAACGACAATATGTGATCAGTGATTGCATATGTATTGTTGAATATAACTTATCGGCGGCCTATAATATGGAATACACAATTCGCTGAGCTGATCCTTTGTTAGGTTAGGTTACCTTTTGAAACAAGTAACAGAAAAACGATTAAAAATTTCAAGGGCGGTGTATGTTGTAAATAAAAGTTATTGCCCATTGTAGCTGGTGCAACAATAAAATATAGTACTCGTATAGGTATTTATTTTTTAGCTGTAACGTATCAGCGTTGTTAATTTCATTGTATCTCAAAGAGTTAAGCAACATACTTTTTTAAATAACTAAGTTTCATCAAAATTAAATAAATTTAAAATTTTCATTAGATAGCACCAAAGATAAAATGGTTAAAGAGGAAAAAACGGAAATTTTTAAAATACAATGTGAAGAACTGTGCTACTAAAAAGAGATAGGTTGGGGTGGATGACAATACTCAAGTAAAATAAGGTGAAAATGAGAAATTAATTTTACAAGACCATAAAAAAAAACTTTTGAAAAACTTTTCAACAACATTATCATAATTTTCGTTGTTGTTATTACTTATTAAACTAAATTTGCATAACAAAATATGTAAAAACGCTTAGGTTGTTTCTAAAGTACTATTTTTTTAAAACTACAATCAGATTATCTTTAAACAATTGACAATATATCATATCCTATCTGATGGTCATTCCACTGTTCTTTTAGTAGAATCAATTTGTTTCTCTTACAAAAACATAAAGTTAATGCAAATGATGATGAGGAAAAAATATATTTTATCTTGGCGAGTTCCGCTCAGCAATTTCAATTTAAATATGTAATTGAATTCTGACTTCGTGTTTTATAAATTTGCATAGCGAATAATAATAGGTTTCTCGAGTGCCCGTATCCTTGTCACGTCGCACAACATTATCCCTATTACGTTGATTTCCGGTCACTTGATATAAATTTGAAAATAAAAATTCAATTACCTATCGTTTTAAGTTGCGATGAATTTTTCATCAGAATACAATTATTTTTGTTCAACAATTTTTTTATTAGCTTTTAAGAGTCTTGCCAGACGCGTATATTAACCGTTATAGTAATTTGAGATGAAAACCCGAAGTTTTAAAAATAAATTACACTTTATCTTTGCTACGAGACCAACGCAAACCACTTATAGTTATAACAGTATAACAGGCACGCATATGTTCATTTACTATAAGTTAGATGACCTTCTCGCACAAATCATGTTGTCGGAGAAACACACTATTACTCTAATTAAACCTGACAAAATAAAACAGCTGCATTCATAGACCTATTAACATATTGGCGGCAAATAAGAAAGCGCGGATAAAAGTAATCGTGGATTAGTAGAAAAGGGTAGAAAATACTATTTGAATTACTTAAGTACCTACTTAGGAGTTAGGATAATTTTCCTAGAACAGCCAATTCATTCAACGTATGTGTTTAATAGTTACTTTTTGTATATATAAGACGAATACATCAAATCAATCTATGTATATATTTATGACTTAAATGAGTATCTTAAATACTTTTGTTATAAATATAGACGTGGGCCCGTGGTGTGAAAGGGTTAAGAAAGGGTCAACAAAATATTTTGAAAAGAGTTCAAAGATGTCAAGAGGTAAGGAACCAGTTTGGCTTAATTTTAAAATGTTGAATTTAGGTTAATACGATAAAGTTTTATTTGGGATAGGTAAATGTTATTTATTCCTTTTGTTCTATTTCTGAAAGTGACGACGAACACACTTTGAAAGTTTAATTGTCCAACGACCAATTGCCCAACACGTTATGAAATACTATGAACTCTTTTTTTCGTTGTTCGGCGCCACTGGTTACTGTTAAAAACCCAGCTATATTGTTACAGTGCGCATTTTAATAAGCTGTGTAACCCGAGATTTAAGGTTTGGCAAGCTTTTAGTCGTTACATTATACTCGGCTCCATTACCGAATGCGGTGTAAACAGACCATTAAAAAATCGTATAAAAAAATTTGAGACATTTAATTTTCGAAGTGTTATATTATTTCCGTTGACGGATCTATGTAAGTTGACAGATGAGATTTTAGAAGATCGATGTCGTCGTTGAAGATCCTCGGGTCGCCTAGGAAACTGCGGTTAAAACTAATGACGTGTCACGGAGGGAAAAAAATATTAGGCGCTCGTTACAACGATGATTTATATATAGTTAAACAGTCCCGTGCGTTGAACCCCCAACCTCCCCTCCCTCCACCCTTGTGCACGGGCCTGTAGTTAAAAAAAAATTGATATTTTAACTGTCACACTCCCACGATAAACGGTAACTCGTTTAAGTGCTATCAGGCGTTTTACCCGAATAATCGACGCTCGTCAAATGATTAATTAATTAGAAATACAAACAATTCTGCTTGGGCGCTGGTTGAACAATTTTTCGTATTCAAATATTTTTCAGACATTAGTTTCAATAATAACCATTTGAAGTATGATCGCGCGTAAAACTATCTATCAAGTTTAAACTTAAGAGTAAAACTTGTTGCTATTTGAGATAACCAAGTGTTAAAATGAACACTCGGCATTTTTATTCAACGCAAGTTTCGACCCAACATAGTATATAATAGAAGTCCTAACCAAGGGCACCCACAGGGAGGGGCAGGGGGGAAGACTTCCCCTAGCTCCTCTGCAAGTTAAACAAATTATATCATAAATCCATTAGTGATCTAAGTAGACCAATGAGCTTTAAGCCAGGTAGGATGTCGCAATCAACGATTTCGAGTACCTAAACAACTATATGAAAGTTATTTTTTGTTCTGTCAAAAATTAATCAAGTTAGTCGAGTGAAAAATAACGATACAATAATATTTTATTGGTCGGTTAGACAGCTCGCCATTTTGTCTGTCCCCTGGATTTAATATGCATTCGCTGGATCAAGAGATATGGTTTGACGCAGAATATAATCACGGCAGACATGCTTTTAATCCCAGTTAAACACACCAGAATGCTTTATAAGCGGGACACAGGTGGGTATAGTAATATAATTAAAAATAAATTCATTCAAAATCAATACGGCGCCTGAACACTTTAAAAGGTAACGCGCACATTTAAACTATTCTACCTCGTATGGTAAATTAATTATTCGAGAGCTTCATTAATTCAATTTGACATAACTTAATTAAAAAACCATTAGTACCTGGCGTGCCGTTCTCTTTCCGTGCAATTTATAGATAATGGATTTCGATCGCGTTTATAAATTATATTTCGATGATTTAATTTACTTAGACATATCGTAAGTAAAGAGTACAATCCACCTTTAAGTTTTAACTGTCTTAACGTAATTACTTACCGAAGCAGCCTGCCTTTTTCATTAGTTTCTTTTTAGACATTATTTTCATGGCCTAGAATAACATAAAAGAACATTGTTTTATTGATTTATTATAATAATCGATGTGAATATTTGAAAACGACTAATTTATTCATGTAAATTCTATAATAGCGCGAGTAAATAACAACAAAGCCGCGTGGCATTAAAGGGGATTACGTTAACGTAGCTGTTGCTCCTCTTCTTTTATGGTAATAAATAATAATAATATGCAATCGCTGCCTTTATTCCCATTTAATTTAAGCTTTAAAGAGATCCCAACGATGTTTCCTGCCTGTAAAGACTATCATAAAGCTTTCTACAAATAATTAGCAACACCTTTAATTAAGGCTTATACATTATTCTTAATGGCATTATATATTTGTTTTACGTTGGACTGATAGAAAAAGATAACAATTTCAGTGTTTCTATAAATGACCAAATCTCATTTGGTTTGAAAATTTTGAAAAATGAGCTTTACAGTTATTATTTTCCACAAGGAAAACATACAAAAATATTTTTTAATATTTGTCCTGAGAGTGTCAAACCGATTTTTTTAAAATATATATATACTTAATTGTTTTAATACCTGATGTATAATATACTTAGTTGTTGCATAAATTATTAAAAAATACTGCGGGGAGAGCTAGTTATTAGTAATAACTATGGTAATAACTTATTAGCATCCTATGGGGTCTATTTTCTAGTTTTGAATGCACCGCAAATTAAACATGAACTGGCCGCCGCCCACCACTAGTGTAAATAATATAATAAAGTAAAAAGTTTCTCGTAAAAAACCGTGTACTCACATAATGTTTGTCGTCTTGTTCGTTGTATGCCAATTTGACGAGCCCGTAGGATCCCTGAAAAAAACAACAAGCATAAAATATAATAATATTGCATTCGTCGAGAAAGGCACAGTCGGCTATTATTGCGTGCTCGCTCGTCATTGTATTATATTATAGTATTATTATTACTTATTACTATTACGTCTTAATATTGAGGTTAGGTGTGCGATTGCTTGGGAATCGCTTAGTCCATACTAGTTGGTAGTTAAAAAATCGAATTGTCATGTTATTAGAGTGGATCGATGGAAAGTATTTTTGCTTTTGCCGCGAACCACAAAGTTATAAGTAATAAGCAACGTATAATAGCTACCTACAATAAATATTTAGAGTTCCCACGCGATACCATAAAAACAAGCTATACACATGTTTGTGTGTGATGAGCGAAAGGTGAATAGATATTATAACTTTTTATCATTTAAATGATGGCCGCTGCACGTCGGCCTTGGGTCGATTTTTGACCTAAAAGGTCTTTACTATTACGCAGTAGGTCAATTGGTGCCGAAAAAACTTAAGGCGAAAATGTAAAGAAAATAAAAACATATCGTTAGCAATGTTGTCGGTCTTCAAACAAACGGTTCTGCGTAGGAAGTTTGTAAACACCAGATTATGTTTATTTCAAGAAAATATAATTCAGAATTACTTATTAATACTTGATCGTTTAGATTTCGCACCAATAAAAATCATTGCTCATATTCGAGTCGCACACTCGATGAATAATAAATTATGGTTACTATTCTGAATAATTCATTTTTTTCAATCGGGCCATCGACCGGAAACTGGGAACGTGATTTGTTATTCAGCCGGTATTTTACGAAATAAGAAAGTCATAATTAATGTCCTTAACGAAAAGAAATGTAAAAAAGGGATGGGCATTGGCGCGCTTGTAAAGGGCAGAGGAGCAAAAAATGTTTTTAAATTAAAACAAAATTTATAAAAATTAATTATTCTATACGAAAGTGATATGATTTTTGTCGTATTTTATTTTCATACCAAACCGATATCATTTTTTAAGCAAACAGTTAAAAATTACGTTGAAAATAAGTTGGAATACATTTATTAAATATTTTTACAGGTTTTATAATCGTTCATCAATTTTTTAAAAAGATATTAAAGAAAATCAATTAACATCATTATTTTTAATGTATATTGTAAATATTACTTTAATTTTTCTGTCATTAAAAATTGTTATAAAAATCACTAATACCTTTATTTGATTCGCATCACTTCAAATATTACCTATTTTTTGCGCCTTGATAAATAGTTGCGTACAAATAGTCAGTTACGGTTACTTTATTTTAGAAAGCTTCGGACCTGAATTCTGATATTGAGTGAAAACTCGTTATTATACGTTCTGTCCTACTGCAATTTCGCGTCTCAAACAATATTTTTGAACATTATCCCCAATCCGTTATGAATTTCTAATTTAAAACTATTTTGAATAAGTGGTGTCATATTTTTACCTGTCCGATAGAATCGATCAACTTGTACTGGTTGAGCTTTTGGAATGTGTTGGGGTCGTCTAAGCTCTGCACGTTCACCGACGTGCCGCATTCGCGCAACGGTGGCCGTCGTCGACCGAATCTCGGCGAACAAGCCGGTGAAAAAGGCAAATTCGGACATATTGGTCGGGGGCAAGTAGTCGTGGGCACAGCTGCTGTGGTTGGCGTGGGAGATGGCTTGGGCTTTTGGTCCTCGTGTTCATTCACTATGACAGCAGGCAATTTTTGAGATTGATGTTGATGCTCTTCTCCACTAGCCGAACCGTTCTTATCCGCCGATGCCGACAGAGGATTCGTTTCCACTGACACCGAAGTCCCATGTCTACTACAAAACGATAATAATGTAAAAACAGTTCAAATAAATATTAAACGCGGTAGTAAAAATATATTATTCATTTATATTTGTATAAACAATGTTTGTAAAAAAAAAACTAATAATTACATATTATTATACTCCATAAGTAGGTACTCGTATGTATGTACGTATGTACACAATCAAGCGGTCAATGCGGCCATAAATATGGACTTATGCACTTACATTTTTTCAATACCAGTTATCTAACGCCCCTTCTTCCTCTTCCTCCTACCAATTAAGTAGATCTCGTGTGTGGTAGGGGTGGACCATTCTGTTTATCGGTGCAAGAGAATCGGATCCGTCACCACTGGGACCAAACCTCTCATCACTTTAACTACTTTTCAATTTAAGTGCTCACACGGGTTTTATTTGAAAGCATAAAATTAAAGTTAGAGTCACTTGTGGAAATATAATAATACAGGAGTAAAGTTAGGCAAAATGTGCCACCATTACTTAAGTAAGCGTTAGGTACAATACTATATGTAAAGGTAACGAAGAAAGTTCAAGTATAGTTTTTCTTTGTATAATGGGTTTTTGGATACAAAATACATTTGTTTTATGATTTTATATACGAGATTTACTCGGGGTCGGACTAGTCTATATATGCTACTATGCTACAGCACAATGGATTGTGGTCGGGAAATGGGCCACTTCCCCCAAATTCACCAATGATGTATTAATTGCCCAACAGAGTTGAACAAAATCAAGATATTCCAATTTTAAAAATAACATTTTTAGCTTAAATTATAACTCTGTAGCCTTTTCCAACTCTATATTTCAGTACATATGCTAAACTAGAATACATAGGCTAGAAGTTGGAACCCTCCCAGTATAGATAGTTATACTGAATATAACTATCGAATATCTTCTTAAGAATGCGTTAAAAATATTATTATTTGATTTTTTCACTCTTGGAAAATTTGATAAAAATCACTTAATAAAATTTTGTACCACTTGACACTTCCATTGCACTGTTAAATGCAGTGAGTATTTCGATTCGCCTTATTGGTGTGTTTTATTAGTCCCTGTAAGCGACATTATTACAAAACTTATAACCACCGTCTTATTATACCAGTCGAACGGCATGATTAATGCCAGGCGAGCAACTTTTACAAATCGAGTCTAATAACTATTATTATTATCTAATTAAAATATCACGAAAGCCGTAAACAAATTATGAAAACACCTAATAAGTAATAACAAACTCGCCGTGTTTTATTACTTCAATTATGTGCTTATTAACTGTTCTGCCGATACCTATAGGTTGTTCCCAACCACAAGGATAGGTACTTCTCAAAACGATGGCCACACTCATAATTAATTATCCACAACTTATGTCTTATATAATTAATATTCACAAGTCACATACCCTTTAGCGCGTCCATATACCATACAATGAATATTAGAAATAAGTAATAATTATATGATCTAGTCTAGATAAACAACCGGTGTACCCGCAACGACGTACGCTTGTAAACGTATATTGTAGCGACTAGAATAATATATTTTACTAATCCGTTGGCACACTAGTTTTACATAATATGTAAATGTGAAGACCCACGCAGGCTAGGTATCTGGTCAATGAAACCGCGTGCGACGGAGACGATTATTATTGATAGGGCGTTACTGACGTTTACAACCAGGTTTGGCGAAAAATAATGTTTTTTTTTTCATGTAAAAATAACGAACAAAAACACTATTTTAAACGTTTGGAATACGCTTCAAGCTATAAAACGCAGTTTGTGTTATTATTAAGACCATGTTCGAAACATAAATTTTATACATAAGGCTTTTTTTAAACGTGCCAACCCTGCTGGCGCCTGGCTGGTTTACATCGTTAACGCGTTACATTACATTTACAGTGCTCGACAAAATACATTAACAAAGCCGGTTGTCGGTGTAGAAATCGGACCAATGTCCGGAACAATCGAGACGATTTGTCATTATCAACAGGTGTCGCGTGACCGCGTTGGAAAATTCATAAGCCCGTGCCAATTTCATCGAATGCCCATGGCGAATTTTAACGAGATTAAAAAACTTTGTCGCTATAACACCATCATATTATAATCGTTGTGTATTCACTATTCCGCCCGTTGTCCCGTTGTATTTATTTTTTGTATTAGTTATTACGTACATATAAAAAAAAATAATTGTCGACGGTCGTATGTATAATGAGGCGTTTTACAAACCAGTGGCAAGCCGTCGCGTCGCGTCACACGCATATGCATGTATGCATAATAATATTATGTTGAAATCCAGTTTGTGTACTACATGCCGTAAGGTTAACGCGCATTTTCTAGTCTCGTTCTCGGGTTTTTTTTAATTTGAAAATAATTGCCAAATCAAAACACATGTGTCTTTAATGTCAACGAGGCGTTGTTAAATTATAATAAATATAAATGTAAAGGCCGCGTGTGTAATCGGCTTCGGTCAATTAGGTCGTTTACGCATACAAGTGCTACAAACGGTGGAATAACATTATTACCGATCCCTTCTTAACACCTTTGATAGGGCTATACATACATAACTTTCCCTCGCCTATCAGTTACCGTCAATGTTATTACTTTTTTGCCCCACATTAAGCTCGTCATCGTTAAATAAATTTGTATGCCTGATTTTCCGAAACAAAGTGAAGCTTTTACACGATAACGGATAAAGGATGGTCTTGTATATTTTCCCGTTTTCAAATTTTTATAGAAAACTTTGCATATAAATCAACGGCGTCAATGAGGTTATTTCTTTATGTACGAGATTGACTCTTTTTGAGCTCTCAAAGTTAAAGTATAAATTCGACACTACTAACTTTTTAAATCTGCATAATGTCAAAACTGCTACAATGATATATAAATTATTGGTTTAACGTTGTAATAGATTTACTTTGTATTATACTCTAGACAGCAAAAATATATTTATATCGTAAAAATATTTTACAATATTTTAAAATCATAACTATTTTGACAGGAAATCAAATGTTATGTTTAAAATGTATTTCTTTAACATACAAAATAATATAAATATTTAGAAAATATTTTTAAACCATAAAATTATACGTATTTAGGCCGACAAATTGAGTTCTCTTGTGTAAGTAATGTGGTAGAGAAATGTATTGATGGCTTAGTGCACAGGTGTGATTGATACTTTTTTTTTAGAGAAGTTGTGTTATACGTAGCAATATATGTCTATTGTCTACATCCATCAACACATTGTGGATAAACATTGAAAGCCAAATATTTAAATGCATACTGCTTATTGTTTGCACGTAAATAAATGCACTAATCACACTTGTGTACTATGTCATCGTTATACTTAAGTTTAAAATATACGCTTTGAAATTTTGTTGAAACACTCAAATCCAAAAATAAATCTAAGGCAATTCGACAAACTTTTCCCTGGCTCGTGTGCTAGTATATTTTTTATTTGCTTGGAATGATTATCAGCTAACTTACGCTATTTGGGCGCTGACGAGGCGTGACGCTATAATGCCCGTCTTGAAACGATGACGGTTACATGCTAATCGCAGTAGGTAATAATAGCGGTGGCTGGACCACAACAGCGAAATCGATGACCGATCATGAATAACTGAACGGGTTCTTGTGGTAGCAATATCTACAGCAAATTAGGTGTATTACACTATGCGAAGGCCAGACCGAACGATTGATGATCCTAAAGGTAACTCGGTGATTATAGTGTATATTGAAATGTCTATACTTGATTGTACCTTTTTGAACTTCACATGAAAACCGACGACGGCGGCGACCCGACGCGGCCTGGCGCTCCGGGCATTGGAACGGTACTAATGTTGTTGTGCGCCGCAACAAAGCGTTGGGCTTCGCGGACAGTCACAACCCTTGGAAACTTTTTGTGCGCATGTCATCGACAATAGCGTGGCTGTGGCAGCGATGACTATGTATATATATATATATATATATATATATTATGTTTATACAATATACGTTATACATAATACAACGTATACTTACATAAAAGAAAAAAGCCTAAGTTCGACACGCCGAAATTATTAGAAGTAGGTAACTACAACGACAACGGTAGGTACGTGGAGAAGATTTGCATTGTGCGCGTAGAGAGCAAATTAATCACCGTCAACCGTTTTGTTGTGAGTGTCTGAGTTTGAATGGAATTCCACACAGCAAATGCTCTTACCCTAAACGAATTTATACATTGACATTGAGTGCACTTTTGCAGGAAGGACAAGTAAACTAGCGTTGCTCCGTCGGAGGCAAAAAAAGTTACATAAGAGAACAGAGAGAGAGAGAGAGGAAGAAAGAGGGAGAAAAAAATAAAAAAGGGACGTTTCCGTTAATATAAATAACGAGATTACCAGTCGCCGTCGCCGCCGGCAGCAACTGGTGGTGGCTGTTTTGTTGCCGGTCGTCTAAAAGGGATAGCTTTTTGTTTTCAGTCCTTTGGGAACCGACCGGCAATTTTACCTAAGAAAACGTCTCTCGACGCAACGACATCGTATACCCGTGCACGTATAATAATCGCATGTATCGTTTACCCATAACAAAACAAACCCTAATGCGTTTACCAATAATTCTATTACTTTTTCTTCACCTTACGGCTTACGTGCGTACAAGTGGGATGACTACCCCGTTTCTCTCTTCTGGCAACTTCTTTGTTCCACATTCTTATACACCGAACGCCCTTTACTTGCATCACTATTTAATTTTTCTTTCTTCTCAGAAATGCGCATGAAAAATATAAGTTCAAAATTCTACTTTTCCGTTCGTTTTTCTGCCCTCGTCACGTCTTAACGATACGTACATTTTTTTCTTCATATAAACGATTCGAATAAACTGACTAAGGTGTTCAATCTTATTTAGTACTATCGTTTTGTTCAGTATACGCCTAACTATTAATTATTTACCTGGACTCCTGATATTCCGTTTCGGCTCTACTCATTCGCAGTACATTAGTTTTCATTGCGTGCTCCCGGCTTTCTGGTTTCCAAATACTGGAGAACATATTATTTTAAACGATGTTCAAGGCCAAAATTGTTATTCGACATTAAAATATTTGATATTTAACAAACACGATTTAAATACAACTGCATATTTTCGTTTTATGTGATATTCTCTAACGTCTGACGGGCGGCGAAAGGTCGTACCTATCGGTGTTTGACGTTATCCTTAATGACTTTCTCGCAAACGAGTTTTCCGAGTTACAGGTTATAAAAAAAAAAAACATGCATTTGTTTACTAGGTAAATTATGAAACGCGACAAATCAGGCCAAACGAAACCCACGTAAATGCACTGTACGTTGTGCAGGCCCACTTAACGGATTAACAAGGGGAAAATTAATCGAAAGACATTAAACAAAATACATGCGTTCACGTTATTACTAAAGGTATATTATAATAATTATACTAAAATAATAATAGTAATTAATAAAAATCGTCATAATATGTAGGTCTCACCTGATAGGTTCAGCTGGTGCGGAAGGGGAGGTTGTAGTGGTGGCAATGCTACTCGTTAGCCTACAGCTAGCCGTCACGTCCACTGCGGATGGCTTCCAAGCCGTTATCGAAGAAGCTGAAATGGAATCAAAATCAGTATTATTATTATTTGTTGGATCGTCAACTTATTTTCATTATTAACAGATAAAATAACAACTAAACAATAAAACGTAAAATAACAATTATTAATAATTTTAATTTTAATATACCTAGAATTAAGTCAGAGTTAGAACTCGCTTATTAAAAAAAACCGCAAGGTAACGCGCAATACATTTTATTATATTTTGGTCATATGCTTTTGCTTAATTATACATCGATCAACTCACGTATAGGGACAGCACACGCAACTCAAGCAAGATTGATATGCTTTCTAACGTTAATTATGTGATATATCAGGAGAATCATTGTATTAGTGAAGCAAATATTTGACACTATTATTATTAAACTTAAATTGCATGTTTGGGAGTAGTAAATGTACAAGTTAATTATTCTTGCAGTTAAGCAATTTCATGTTAAAAATACTTAATTGTCGTCACAATTGTAATAATATTTCATTTGAACAATGAGCATGCAATAACATGCACCTTGATTCAAAACAATAATGTTGCAACATTATAGTCTAAATTTCTCAAAGGCAAATGATACCCTTGTCATATACAACACTCAATACAACAAAACATCTATTACAAACTTATTGTTATATAAATGCAATTATTAATACAATCACAATATTGTTCTGTTAAGGGGAAAGCTCGTTTTGCAAATAATATATAGTATAATACAGAGTTGGCCAATTAGAGCGCCTCGTGTGATATCGAAGTTTGCTTGAGGCTAGCTAGATGGTCCCTCGACCCTGTCGTGGTGTTCACAAGCAATGATTATTTTTTAGAACAAACACTTACACAAACAAGACCACTTAAAATAATTATTACTTTTCTGAAGCATCACCTGCAGCAGTGAAAAAAAACTTCAGACCTTGGTCGTACATTTCCAAGCAAATCTAAAAAAAAATGTTTTTCTTTTCGAAAATAAAAAAAACCCAACCTAAAGTCAATGTTAGTCGTAATGCGTACAAAATACTTTTTAATACTTAAACGTACTACAGTAGTTACTATCAGTATTATTCAATTTGTTTCTGATATTTATTTTATTATTTTGTTAACCTGAAGGATACCTTTTTAGGGTACAAGGGAACGGTGTCTCTTGTGAAAACCTATATTTTAAATTGTAGTATAATGATATAGCGGTCAAACATGTATTTGTTTACATAAATAATTGTTTGTATCCTTATTATAAACGGCGTTCTTGATTAACCTACCTAATAATTTTGTATTTTATAACAAAAATAAGGTTTTTTTCTCTCTAACTGATGTACGACCATATAATTTTGATTCTTGTGAAACCGGCCCGATTTTGATTAAGGTCAGCCCAGGTTTAGTGAAATACATAGTAATTCGGCCTGATTAAGGCTTTGAAAAACTCAACCAAGCTGTATGTAAATTATTTGCAATAAATAAGATACAAAATGAAAATGTCTTAGGTATGGATTAAACACAGTGTCTACTACAAAATGGCTACAGTGGCTACAAATGCCAGTAACCGGATCCTATGTTGGTATACTATATTTTAAGTTGGGTGCATTTTTTTAATAAAGAATAAATATAGATAATAACTGTGCAATACATCTTACATATATAATCTTATAATTAAACAGTTAAGATATGCGTGCTGCATAAGTTAGTCTACTATTATTTAAATTCAATAACGATTTACACTTGTCGAGTACGTCATAGTGCTATCGCGTTATCGTCATTTCGACAGTAATATTTATATTAAACGTCAATGTATACTATATTTTAATCTTAATAAAACACTGAGGTCATTTTAGACGTGTATACATGTTGTGTAAAAATTACAAATGGAAGGGTCGATACGATCGGTGCAATAAAAATTATCGACACCCGCGTTAAAATATTAGCTATTGCTGTTAACTTAACCAAAACTTTTTAATATCTAAAAGAAGGAAATTAAAAACAAGAGTGCTAGGGTGAACGAATCTGCTTAATGGCTTTACTAATTTTCTTTTCAAACAATTTATCGATCACCTATAAATAAAAGTAGAGAAACGGATTAAACGCAATGTGTCTTTAAAGTAGTTTGAGTCATTAGGCAATTATAATTTAAATGTAATTTTTTCAAGAAACAGGTTGAATACAATTTTTTAATAGCTCGTGCAATGACGAGTCATTATATAGTGACTCATTTGAGTTAAGTTGAGACAAATTCATTAAAAAATATCAATTGCATTATACCTCTTAACTCCAAATGTTCGTTAACAATAATTTATGTGGAGTTTGTACATTTGTGATAAACTTTAAACCCAATGAAACCACACTACACATCGTTTACATAATTACGAATTACCACAAAATATGTTGCTATATTTTTAAGTAACACGGTTAAATGTAGGTCGAACGTAAGTAAAAACTCAATAAAAAAGCGAACACTATATTATTATATAAACAAAAATATATGTGAATTTTTAAATTATTATACAAAACTATTCTGTTTTTTTTTTTTTTTAATGTTATTATTATTACTATTTACCATTAAGTTTTGTTTGCGTATGCTAAATCGCATGCGAACTATAAGGTAAATAACAAAATAAAATGAAAATTATATTATAAACCAAAATTAAGGTGTTTTTTTCGGTATAACCGTTATTGATTGGGCTGAGTAAACGACTATAACTTAGGAAGTTATTGTACGAATTGTGTTGTGCTGTGCGAACTGTGAGTCGCGTGCAAAGGACTTTTTTCATAAAGGCAACTCATTAACGGGCTCCCTCACTCTTTTATGTGCGTTCGCTGGAGGAACACAAAGTCGAAAAATAAAAAAAGAGAAGCTTAACGCAAAGGCTCTTGCATGCCAGTGTAAATATTATAGTTTACACGCACCCAAATTTAAATTATAAAAGCATTGTAATTTGTATATATCCGTTCGGATCCGTCGGTTTACCGCAAATTAATGTTTACAACGATACGGTATGCATAACAATTAACAATACACCATCGAGTCGACACGTTTGTCGATTTATTGACAGTGGATTTTTGTTAACAAGTTATTTTCGCCAAAAAGTATATATTGATAGAAAAAAGAGTCGTTACTGATTGAATTGTAAAAAAAAAAGGGTTATTTTTTTAGTATAATGCAGGTCATGCGCTAAAAGCCTATTGTTGTAATGTTTGCTCAACAAGTTTCCTGTCCCGTGAGCACATGTACACCTTTTAGTCAGTGGGCGTTCTGAAAATTGTAATTAATAGGATAACGCTTACCTTGTACCGAAGTCATGGGGTATTGTTGCATGCGAACCGAATAAAACCGTTTGTAAATCCAGCGTATAAGCGACCCGTGGTTTCAGGTTCGCTAAGTGATAATGCCAATAAACTCGAACTGAAAAAAAAAAATTAAAAATGCATTTTTATTATGTGTCTTTATCAACGTTGATCGCAGCGATCGAAACATAATTCGGTTCACCGACAGTGGATGACTAAAATACGATACCAGAGTGAGTTCGGGCGGTTAAGTCAGTATTTGGTTACCTTTTTGTACGAATATATTTTAATATGGTTAATGGTCGACCGAAGAGATGTAACGCGGTCGGCTATTATTCGTGGAATAACAACAAGAACACTAGTCACTAGTGTTCCGCACCGATCGGATTAAAACGCAGCCAAATGTAGCCCTTTGGACCGGACCAGGTTAGTTGCAAGTTGCAAGTACATGACGTGTGTGTGCGCGTGTCGATGGTCGGTTTAAACCGCTGCGCAGGTATGTATATCATCTTATATTATTAATATATAATAGGTTTTAGTCAATCTTTTATTTGTATAATTTACGCGCATATTTACTTAACTGTACACATAGTCACACACACACACACACACACACACACACACACACACACACACACACACACACATACTCGTAATGGTTTCGCCTCGGTGTTGTCGTTATACCCAACACCCATTATATGTACAGTTTCAGTAGGTTAAGTTTCGCCGATGGATTTGTGATAAAATACGATAATATTTATCCATGTGCGTGTACGATCGGAAATATTGTATAAACTCACGGACAGTTCGATCACAGTCGAGCAAATAACGCGAAAAAAATATGTACATATTACGCGGTTAACAACTTGTGTATCGATTGTATTGGATTTGAATAATTAATCACTCTGGTTTGAGGCTATCCTGAAAAAAATGGGTTGAACCGAGCCGTCGCAATTATAATCATAATGAATCTTAACAAATACTGCATAATATAATATCGAATGAATATTAATTATTATTACATGGCCGGAAGGGAAAAACGTCGGCTTCTAAAAACACCACACACGCCACATAGGTACACAGAAGTTTCGTCATCTCGAGTGGTAGAAGTCTGAAATAATAATAGACGATTTTTTTTTTGTTCGTGTCTGTTGCTCAATTGGTTAAATTAGCCAAACGTTTAGGAGCCCATTAATATTTTTACCAGTTTGATGGAAAAAAAATCAAGCAATAGTCACGATCGCTTTATGCAATAAGACTTCATATTATTTCTGGCACGTATATGCATCATTTTGCGCGAAAATTGTCGTTTGTTAAAACTAATAAAACACTCGTCTCGTCAACGGATTTTACATATTGTATAATAGTTTTTTTTTATAGTCTAAGTATATTATAGAATAGGTCAGGTGCGACAAATGATGGAAATACCTCGCCTCGAGTAACCTGCCCACTTCTTTAAAATCTCTGATAAAAGATGGACAAAATTTAAATAAGATGATATATAACAGATAATTTGACGAACAATAGAACATTTTTTATTCATGAGTATTATAATTTGTTACTCAGTTAATAAAAGACAATTGGTCAACTATTATCTTTAATTATTTGTTGTTTATAAGTTTTTACCTTGAAAATGAATAATGTAAAAGATGAATCTACTGTTATGATTTGGACATTGAAACAAATAATAAACAAACAAGTATCGAGACTCAAAAAATAATCGTAAACACTAAATAAATTAAGTCGACGGTTAATTAATAAATAATTGGAAACAAAACATGAATAATTTTGACATACATAACCGAATACATTATAGTATAAATGATAATATTTTATTTATTGCTTCGTCAAATTAAAAAAATTATCCGAGTAATGTCAAACTCTGCTCATGATCAACAGCTGACATGACTATTTGTTATTACTTGTTAGAATAATCAATACTAAAGCTGAAGCGACAAAAAATATATATATACAAGTTGTCTCAATAAAATATAGTATTAATATTTGTCTATTGACATCTGGGATGAGTGAAATATACATTATATACTATTTATAAATCGTTAGTTATACCATAGTTTTTCAGAAATAAGAATATTTATGACAAATAAAAAAGAAAGTACCTATTGAATTTCTTTTATTTACACAAAACAGAAAACGAAGGTTTTATCTATGAGTTGTAAAGAAAAATCTCCAACAGTATAAAACATAATGTTTGACTGTCATCAATCTATTCGTCTGGCTTAAACTAAAGGGCAAAGACGTGAACTCCATTGTACTCCCACGCACAAACTCATTGACCCTGAAATGACGGCTACTGCCCCTCTTATCTCCTACACCCAATCCCTTTCTTTTATCACTTTTGAATCTTATTCCAACTTTTATGTGAGAACTCAAGAGCACAAAAATAAAAGCTCACAAAACAGAATTATTGTGTTACACAAACTATATAATATAGTTAATATAAGTACCTAAGTAAAAAATGTATCTACTGTGTAACGTTCTATAGTTATTAAAAGTGACTAACTGTATGAAAGAAATAATAACTGTCCGTTAGCTTTAGGAAAAATCAAATTTGTTACTAATTTTTTTTCATCGGCAATAAACTTTGGACAAATTATAAAAAAACTTGTATTACTTAGATTTAGTACAGTAAAGTAACTTGTTAAGTTATAAAATCATAGATTAATTAAACTATATTAATTAACGTATAAGTCAATGGAACTGCACTAGCCGCGGCTTTTATATATTAAAAAACAACAAAATTTAATGATGTAGACTATTTTTATTATTATTATTGTAACCAAATTATCAGATTTACAACGGTACATAAAACTCGTATTTGTCAAAAAATAACAGTCGACGTCCAGTACAGTTGGTAATTATTTTTTATTATCTGTAATATTTTTTTTTTTTTCGTAGGTATAAAGTTTCCCAAATGTTTTTTTTAGGTTCAATATTTGACAGTTACCTACATGTTATTTTATTAATGTTTTAGTGGTCTCCTCGATTTTTGCTAGCCAAAATAAGATATAACAATATATAAATTAAGCAATGCCAAAAAGTAGAATAGATACTTTATAAATATAATGGTTATAATAATATTATGTATTTTTATAATAGTATCAAAGTTTTTTTAGCATACCCAATAACACACAGCACACTAGGTACGGTCAACCGTCTACATGTCATTAGTAACCCGTGTCACGGTGCATTTACGTCACAACATAATATTTTACCCAGTACTTATAATAAATTTATAAATGCGTGTTTGTTTTTTTAGAAACAAATGGACACACAATAAAAATTCGTGTCCTTATACTAATGTATACCAAATTTACTAATTACGTACATTTAGAAAACAATATTATTGTTTCCACTTTCCATAATTAAAAATACAACATACATAAATATAAATATTTTAATGATTTAGGTTGGTTTATAATGCACTTATAGAAGAACAAATAATATATTTTTTTTAAGTATAAATTGGTTATTGATTGCATAATGACACTCTTGAACAACAGTATATTTTTTGCGTGTAAAAAAAGTTTCAGAACAACTGAGGTGTTTTATCATGATATTACATCTACTCACATTATATTAATCAATTAACATTAATAGGTATACAATTTTAGAGTAGATATAAACCATGATTAATTATAAAATACAATGTTCCATAAACCAGCTGCTAATAAAACAGTATTTATCAAAAATCACCTGTATCGAGATTCAGGTAGTCTTGAATCACGATCTTTAAATTTGTATAGATTGCAAGTACGCACGCTAAAACTACTCAGCTCTTCTGGAAAGTTCATCTCCTGAGAAATGTTTTAGTACAAAAATTGCTAAATAACTGCGTTGTAAGAGTTAGATACAAAAATGACCGTCTATATTAAAAATTGGGATTTTTGCATTTTGTTATAGTCGGTTAGCTGCTGAATACAATGGTGTCTCGATCACGATGATCCGTTCAAAAGTTATGAAGTTTTCAAGTTGGAACTTCTAATAACTTAGTCGGATAGTAAAAAGTTACTTTTGGCTCTCCTGAACAATTTCTACGGGAAGATAAGGTACCTTTTCCCATGGACGGTTACAAATGTTTAATGTCAGTAAGAATTTATCATTGCTGATATTAAAAATATATGACAATAGGGATCTCATAATATAGTTGATATTTGATCTAAAATTATATTTTAAAATTACCTAAAAATGAATTGTAGAAAAAAAATTCTGGTGAATAACTAAGTCTTCTAAAAAAAAAAATATTGTAAAACAGACCAAAACCAAATAATATTTATAAGAGCAATTTTTAAGGTCCGTTCCCAATATTATAAGAAAACTTCATAATAATTAAAAATAGTTTTTCGGGAATTTTTATTCCTGAAGATTTGTACTTTCATTTATCCTAGCTAAGTACAGCTCAAAACTAAAAACTAGTTAAATACAATTATTTTATACTACTTTCACGTTATGATATTATGGGAATTGTGAATACTATTATAGTATACTACTCAAACCGTGAACTGTGCCCAACCTAGGTCAGTAGGTAGTAGTAATATTTTTATTAAAATATGATGTTGTTTTGTTTTTACTTTTATAATGTATTATTACGTGTATAATAATACTAATAAATTAATTCTGAAATCTTATGACGCTGTTAGGAATTCAAGGTAATAAAGTTAGTAAATAATTAATAAACGGTTAATTTGTCTAACTGTATAAAACCCGACTTGTCGTAATCATTTAAATATATATATATCTATTATTTTTATATGTACAATTAGCTAGATAACTGCTATGATGTCAATTAGTAATATAATTGCATTTTAAGTCTCGTTTGTTGTACCTATGGGCTATGTCTATAATGAGTATTGCATTCTATAAATATAATTGTTTCCACACGAGTGTTATTAAAAAAAAATCAAGTTTTCCTGAACATATTTTTAAAAGTTAATTAGCGCTTGCACAGCAGTATACAGGCTACAGCTTAAATTTAAGTCCATCATTTATGATATTTATAATTATATTATGACGTGAAATAAGACAAAATCTTCATAACATTTAACTCGTTACTCGTTTAATAACTAAGCAAGTTTTACAATAGTGGCGATAAAAGGT